ATCTCAAAAATAGCGCACTCCGTTAGCAGTATTGTACAATAATAAAATTCTATTAAAAAATAATAATCAAATTAATATATTCTCCGTACATATGTGTCATAATAAAAACTATTCATAGATTCTTATATATCTTTTTTTAACAATTAATGTTATCATATCCGTAATAATAATGATGAGAAGGGGAAGGCTCCGTTTGTCTACATTACCGATTGCCAACAGCTTCGTTTGCCCACAACATTTTGCCGACAGCCAGTTACATGTTAAGTAAAATGTAAATCATTATTATAAATAATTAAAATTACCATAATCGTTGCAACGATGAAAAATTTACGATTTTACTTTTTCTACTTGCAAATATTCCCAAGAAAGCATCGCGAAGAAAGTACAATGACAATAAATAAATACAAAGAAGCTCATATATTTAATAAATCACCTAATAACAAAGGGCTTATAATTAGTAACAGAGTGTTCGTGTCGATAATAACATTTTTATGTAAATTTTTTGACATATGTGTGGTATATTTGATATATAAATAATAACAAACATCAAGATTTTATTTTACACTTTTTAAGAATTTTTAAGTTAATACGTCGTGTATAAGTATATAAAACGCTTTGCACAAAATTTGATAGAAATTTGACAATTTAAATTAAAGAAATCGAAAAATGTTACGACATTATAAGACTGTTATAAAATACATCACAATTCTCAGAATAGATTTTTATACGTCCTGAAAGGAGGGGTCAGAAGCTACTCTAATAAAGTTTTATGTAAATTACATATTACAAGATTACACATAGATTGGATGTCTGAAGCGCGATTGGCTAATATTATATCGCTCGGTGACTTATTATTTTGATAAGGATTGCGTGTCATATGCGACACAGCGTATTTTATCTGCTTCTCTGTTTGATCATCAACGATCGTATCGTAGTATATCAGGACAAGTTTAAACGCAACAAAATCGCAATCGTAATGAAATCGCAAAACGTTTAATTTATCAAAAAGTAACAAGGTGCTACCTAAGAAAACATGAAAATACTTTAGATTCATAACTACAGCAGGAACGCAACTACCGGTGATTGTATATAGATAAAACTATTTATATTTTGCGATCAGTTGATTGGCATAATCAATGTAGGATTGCTTTGCCACTTCTTGCGAGATGCCCTTCTTCTTGTTCCAGGCTTCCCACTTGGCTTTCCCTTTCAAATCCAGCATGCCGGGTTTAGCTGAAACATTACACGATATACATTAGTGATATGATATAATAATAATCATTTATTTTTCACACAATTTAGAATAAAGCAACCGAATAAATGAATAATTAGTTTTCCCTGATTTACCACTGAGATAAATATAATTTAGCAAGTATGTATTATAACATTATATTAATATACAAGGTATAGGCCAAAAGTATGGTTATAATCGAATATCTCGTAAATAATGTATTTTAGAAAAAAATATTTTAGACAAAAATTGTAGGGATTAAAAAGATCTAATTACTGACCTTATTAGTTTGATCTTACAATTAGATGGCGTTCTTAAGATCAAGTTAGGGTCACTTTGAATTTTTTAAATTAAACTTCTTATTTTTTATTACATATTCTTGTAACATTTGTCAAGACATTTTCAAAACACTATAATAAAGCTTTCTTTTATTAAGAATTTCCTGAGATATTTTAAATTTTGTCACGATATTTTTAATACGAAATATCTCGTAAAATATTCACTTTCCGATTATTTCACCGTAATACTTTTATACGTAAAATAATAGAAGGAAGCGATTAATAATATTAATTTTTACATTTGTAATTTTGCAAAATTTAATGCATCTATAACACAACGCAGAATTTATTAAAATATCTCTTTTTTATTGTTTTTTTTTTTTTTTTTACAACAATCGATTCCTTTCATTATTCTACGTATAAAAATATGAAGGTAAAGTCATCGAAAAGTGAAAGTTTACGAGATATTTCATATTTTATATGAAAACTATCATGACAAAATTTAAAATATCTCAAGAAATTCTTGATGAAAGTAAGCCTTATTATAGTGTTTTAAAAATGTCTTGACAATGACTATAAGAATATGCAATAAAAAATAGGGGATCCAACTTAAAAAATTCACAGTGACCCTAACTTGACCTTAAGGACGCCATCTAAGATCAAACTAATAAGGTTAGTAAATAGATCTTTTTAAATCCTACAACTATTGTTTGAAACATTATTTTCTAAAATCCATTGTTTTCGAGATATTCGACTGTACCCATACTTTTAGCCTATTACCATGTATACATACACATGGACACGTGAAATTACCTTTTTTAAAAAGATAATTTTATTCTGATATACATAATGATATACTTGGACGCGTGAAATTAAATATTATCATTATATATCTAATTTTCATGATATCAGTAAGAACTTACATGTGTTATTGTCGCCAACTGTACCTTGTTTGAACAAGGCGTAAAGCTCCAAAAGCTCCTCGTCAGTAGGACGCTTCGTGAGCGCCTTTACGGCCTCGGCAGCCGCCTCAAATTGCTATAAAGAAAATATAATTTCATTATTTCAAAACAATATTACATTAGTTATTCACGTATAACTAATATTACGTTAAAAAATTAATATTATACAGAAGTTTTCGTCAGAAGCGCACTGTTGTTAGTCAATACATATTCAGCAGCGTATTATGTTTAGCAGCTTATAAATATGGATTATATTCAGAAAAGGCCACGAAAGTGACCTTTGTGTCGTGGATGACTCTGCATTAAGCTCCTTAAAAAAGATGGCTCGCGTTGCTCAGATAGTAAGCTGACGTTATTTGTCGTCATTTTAACGTTAAAATAATGACAAAAAACGTCAACTTGCTACCTGAGTACTAACTAAATTCAAAATCAGACCAAAATCACAAGCCAGAATTGTGCACTTAAAATTGCCAACGTCAATAATTATACAACAACAGTTTGCAACTTCTTAGTCATATAATTTTTAAGGTCACGATAATGAACGATTTCAAAATTTCTCGCCAAAACTTCCAAACTTTCCTCAACCGGGTGCATCCAGATTAAATGATAATCTACTGTCTGTCCCGAATTTCTCCTCGGAGAAATGCACACGATAATATCACGCACGATATAATGTAACTTGGGGATCAATGAAATTAGTATGCTGTGTCGCCGGTCAATTTTCGCGGCTCATTTCCGCTTCGATTAATCTGTCGACGTCTTTCTGATGCAGCCTATAACTCCGAACTCCGAAAAAAATAGGTGCAAACGTGGAAAATGTATTTATGCACGATGAATGTACTCTTCACACTGTAAACGTCTAAAAATGTCACTTTTGACTGAAGCTTGTTTTAAATGTTTTGTTGCCTGTTAAATTAATACGTTTAATCGTATGGAATTAAAAGTTAATACGTTTAACTGGATTAAACGCGACTTAAAACGACAAGAAATGTATAAGAAGAGCTTTAGTTAAAATAACACACTTGAATTTGCAGTGCTTGCGCATAACTGTAACAATGTATTTCTTAATGCATTGCGATCCGAAATGAAAGAGAATATATGTGATACCTGATCGAGAGACATCCTTATAGCTAGTCGCACGACTACACCGTTGATATTCTAAGTACTTTGTGACCGTCGATCGAATGCTTGCACAAGTTAAAAACGCTAATCCCCACCTCGCGAAACTTATCACGATGCGCGAGCCAGGGTCGGACAATACAAATTTGTTTCTCTTTTTCGGGGTATTGATAGCTTGTTATAGCAGATTACTGCAATCGGTTCGTGAACATGTGTTCCATTTTTGCAATACTTTCATAATAAACGACACAATACGGTAAATTAAAAGTCATGTGGCTAAAGCTGATTGATACACAACATTGTGTACATTTACTTGCGAATCATAAACAATAAAATAGAGATATTATACAGGATAAATACAAAAAATGTCAAGGTCTATGTTATACAGGCCTTAATATGCTCAGTTAAAGAGAAATTTAATTAAGAAACTAATCTTGAGATATAAAACAGGTCAAAATAAATAAATCTTAAGAGTCAATATGATATTTGTAGCATTACATTTTTAACCGCGATTGAAGCGAGGAACCCAAATAATATTTGTCTTGAAACACTTGCCTGAATCATCTTTTTCATCACGATTCAATAGTCGAATCTTGAGAAAAGATTTCATGAATATGTATAAATTCGTTCAAAAAAGTTTGAGAAAAATAGAGCATACAAATTTTGATAATTTTTTCAGACAAAATTATGTAACGTTTTTCTTTTCTCTGTTATCACGTTTTAAAATTAGCTTTAACTTAAAACATTAAAACAGTTTTAAAACAGTACAATAAATAGTTAAATAAATTTATTTATCAGAAATAAGAAAGCAAATCTTTAACAACAGCATGCTCAAAGTTATAATAAAATGACATACTAAGTTAACTATAAATATATAGATATTCATTTTATTCATAAGCTCCCATAAAAAAAAATAGAAATATATTTTGCAGCAAGAATGTACCTACATTTGTGTATCTGTATCCCAGACTTTTATCTATATGTACATTTATGACTAATTTTAAATTTCTATTTCCTTTAATAAAGGAAGGATTATTTGATGCAAATTATCAAATTCAGGTATTATATTAAATATAACTAAACTAACTAATTCACAAATTATATTACAACTCGATTAAATAAAGAGTAAGGTTTACACTTCCAGGATCCAGTTTTCCAAGAAATACTTATTATCAATCGCATTTATGACTTAAATCAGATTTCTCGGTACTTTAATCCAGAAATAATCGCTTCTAACAGAAGATATATAAGTAAAGAGATATAATTTCATAAGTCTGGAGAACTTTGTATTTACTCTGTGTGTAAAGCGGTGTACTGGTTTTAAGATCGACCGCAGGAAACCCCGTTATAGGCAATCGTCCTCGACATTCATCTATGAAGCTTTTCGCGACCTCGTGAATTGTGTATATGAGAATGCAAATACACAATTTTGAAAACAACACGATAATATTAAACACAGACATTCTATATATCAGTTGAAAAACTCTGTAAGAAATGTAAAAATTAAAAGGAATTATTGAACATTTTTATTTTACGAATTTATGAATTCTTTAATCTTCAGAAGTCAAGAGTTGATATGATAATTTCTGACTCTTTCTGTACTTTATTCTATTTCTTTTTCTGTTTGTTCTGACAAAATTTAATAATTTGATAAAGATTTTAATAATCTCTTATCGACTTAATCATCGAACATTTCTCGAGTAATTTCTGATTTCGTAGATTAATCAATTTCGTGGAATTTTATTTTGTAGATTGAATGCCCGTTGATTAATTCCTTTTAATTAATCTATATTTCTTGCGTGAAAATAAAGCAATACCTGATCAACCGACATCGGGATGCGAATCCGCTTCGTGTGCAAGTTAACTGTCTACTGACTGTAGCTAGTAATCACGATTCTACGCTTCCCGATCGCCGCAGAGTTTATTACTCTAGCATCAGAGGTGGGGGAACACACGGATCTCGATCTTGAACTGATTATATAGTGCCATGGTTATTACGCTGATTGCATACGTGCAAGTAAATTTAATCGCGGCTCAAAGTTTATAAGTAGATTACAATCAATCGATAAGTGTACTCAGAAAATAATCTGAATAATTTCGGGATAAAAAGAGTAATGTGCCATATATAAATAAACATTGTAAAAGATTTTATTTGGAAAAGTAATTAAACGTATATAACACGCAAACATTATATTAGTAATTGCTAAGAAAGGTGAAGATACATTTATATCGAGAACAAAAATCGTAGTTGAACAAATAATTGCACATATTTCATTGCCTCTCGAAACATTAAATTCTTGTTTGTCACACCGCGATTTCAGTGTGTAATTGAAGTAGGAACATACTCGCAACTGCAATTAATTCGTCCCCCATAGCGTGATAACGAGGCGAGCAAATTAACTGGAGATAATCTAAGAATCTATATACGAGCCAGTTTATCTTTTTCCTTCCAATGTGGAGTAAAAAAGATAAACTCTGAACTAGTGCAGCCAGTTCAGTAACAGAAAACACACCCATTGATCGCGTATAATATAAGCTCGAGGCCCAAGATATACGTTCAACATTAAATAACATAGAATAATGCAAAAAGAAAAGAACAGCAAACACGTGTCTCAAGTAGTGTTTGTGTAAATAATACACCATACGCGAACACCATTACGTGCGAATTACATTTAATTTCAAGATTTATTTGAAAAGTAAACTCGCGCGAAAGGTATTCGCGTAACATAATGAAAAACAAATGCTGATGAGCTGCGTAAAAGTGGCACGCAATGTTATTCACTGTCCGTTTTGTTCTTGTTTCCCCTCGGTAACAGATGAATCGATTGAACGTATCATATTTTATCATGCTCCACTTTGCAAGAGGAGCCTTCTCCGAAATCACAATTTCGCTGGTTCTCGCGCGCGGCGCGGCACGACGCGGCTCGGCGTTCGGGGAAGAGCGAACGGGGCCAATGTGCTACATCAGCATCCCTGCAGACTCACCTGCGCAAGAATGTCGGAATTCCTGACTACCTCTGACGCACGGTGTATCACGTTCTTGTATACCCACGCACACGCACATCTAAACGCCTGTACACGTGTTTATGACCTTTTGTAAGAAATCAACTCTATTGCAATATTGTTTTATCCGACGCATATGAAACAAATGCATTAAATAACTTCTTAATAGATCGCGCTTGTTCAAAGCAAGCGCAAAAACGTTGCGCGATTTACAATTTCACAAGCAAGCGACACCAATGAAAAGTATCGTAACTGAAACATATTCACTTGTAATTATTCATTTCAGTGATCAGCAGAATCTTCCAGGATAGTATGATTTATCATAATTTTAATATAAAATGGAATTAATAACACTATCGTACAAATAATTTTTCAAGACAATATAGCGGTTACAATATTTTTCATTGCCGTCGGAATAATACCAATAATTAAACGCTATGTGTCTAAAGTTGTCTTTTAATGCAACTCACATCACATCTACTTAATCAACTATTATTTGTTTACTGCAAGATGTTGCGGAAATGCAACGGATGTGTAATGCACAAAAAATTATCGCGTTACGTATATAAGAGTCAGCAGAAAGTTTGATTACGAAAACGTGCGCGGGCACGAGAACGAAACGGAGAAATTCCCGGAGAAAGAATGCGGAATCACTGCTGAACAATATTAGACACGCTATATATGCAATTTTCTTGCTCTCATCAGTCGCGCATCCTTCACCACAGCGTGATGCATTGAGCTGTAAAGCCAACATACTGCAAATGTTTAATAGAAAGTAAAGTTTTATTAATGAGAATATATCTGAGAGAGAAATCTTGACAAATATTTTGCGCTTTTGTACAATAATACCGCGGTTAGAGTAAAAGTATAATTATAAATAATTTAAAGTGTTTCTTCTTGCGTACATCTTGAAATCCGCAAGTTACTTTCACTCCAACTGTGCAATCTTAATATTATAAATTTAAAGTAAATTTTAGAAACGAGATTGATGCCCGCTTTAAACGATTTATAATTCGTATCAGAATTTAGGATAGAATTCTATTAGTAATTTTATGAGCCGTGTAATACGAAAAAAAGAGAATCTTATATAAAAGAATATAAACAAAATTAATATTAAAATACGTATATACGCGTCAAGATATAGCATACAAATAGAATTCTATGCTAAAATCTAACGAATTATAGATCGTCTTATTATAGGACAAAAGAAGAACTATAACTATTAACAAATAATAAATATAACTATTATAAAGAAGAATATATATAGTTGCAGAAATATACGTTTGTTTAAATATTCAAAAGACCGTGCTGTATATCATAGTGTGGACTTAACAATTAGTTTATGTAATCATTCAAATAATACATTTTAACAAATTGCATTTACAAATAAGAGCGTTATGTCTTTACAAACGTTTTAACAAAAGCTGAATAAAGTTCTTGTAATATCGGCAGTTATCGATCGACACTGATAGAAGTATGTGTAGAAGTGGGGGGCAGATTAATGCAGTCGGAGTATTCATCAGATAAAATTTGATTTATCTTATCGAGTGAAGTGTAACGATTGATTTTTTTTCTTCAATATTATATTATTATATGATCAAATTACTTTACGAAAATCTTGCTTAAAAGATTAACGATTACACTAATTCTAGTACATTTATGCATATTTTATAATGTTAAATAATAAATTAATTGAGTGATTACCTCAAAATTCTGCAGTTTTATAACATTTCAACATTACGCTATTAATTATTACTTACCACGTTTAACGAGAAAAAAACAAACACGTTTGTGAGAAATAACGAAAATGTCACGATTTAATCTTTTTAATAATTAATTTATCATTTTGTTTCTTAAAGACAGATAAAAAGAATTTCATAAATTCATACAAGCTCGACGAAGGCACACGAGAATCCATGAATCCAGCGATCCATGGATCGCTGATCTATGCGCTACGGTACTGACGCGCGAATCTCGCCGAGGATCGCCGAGCGATACCGACGTTCCTCGAGTCTGGTACCGCGAACCGCGAGCCTTGCGTGCGCCGCGAACGGCGAGACTCGCGAGAGTGCTCCGAAAATCCGGCGCGAGTGCGGCCGCGTGATTTGTCGCCGCGCGCACACGCGCACACTCGCTGCTCGATCATCGGCGATCGATCGTCAGCGTGGCGTGGCCGAACCGAACCGTCGCGCGATCAGTGCGCGTCGCGCCGCGTGATCGTACATTTCGTTTCGTCGCGTCGCGCTCGTCGTCGGACGAGCGCACGTGCAGCGCGCTTACTAGTGCAGTGTGCGTGCGAGTTTGCGCGAGATACAAATTCCTCGCTCATAACGGATCCGAGATTCTTCGAGGAGGTCGCGGCGAGAGCGGCGGTGCGCGAAGCTTCAACGAGAGATCGAACGGAACGTGTACCGTCGTCTTTTTCGCAAAATAACGAGTTTCGCGCGACGTGACGCGACTGATGAGTTAATAAGGAACGGCATGGCAATAACCCGCCGTCGCACAGCTGTTTTCTGCGAAACGTACGATGTACCGTCGCCGAGCTCGTCCTCGCGGTTGTAATATATATTGATGCTACGTGAGTTTAAAACGAAAGAGTGCTTTGAATCCTTGATTAAACCGTAGAACAACTGTTTTTTTATTATTTATACATTTTAAATATAATATATACGCAACCAATCGTTGTTACAAAATTATTCAGGAATAAACAATTTAATAATCCATTTCTATTATCATAAAATTTGCAAAAATAAAAACTGTTGTTTGCTTAATGGAATCTTATTGCATCGTCATAGTAACTGAACGGCTTCAATTAACCTACTTAATCGAAATAAAAGCAGAAATTGGTTTCGTAACTGAATAAGCTAGAATAATAATCCTGTCTAACAATTGAGTGAACTAAAGTAACGTCTAAATTCTGCACAATCACTTGAAAAAAAAGCAATCAATCTGGTCGTTTCTCAAAGAAATTAAATCCGAAATAGTTTAGAAATAATTAGAATTAACTGTAGCGCAAGATACGTTTAATCTAAATTTATTTGATAGGTCAATAAAAATAGGACGCTCGAGCGGCTTTTCCTCTGATAACAGATATTCATTCTAAATTCCTCGAGCAATTCCTCTAATAATAGATAATTGCCGTAATATCTAATCTATAGTTATCTAATACTAGATAACTAATAATAGATCGTGAAAAACAAGGAAAGAAAAACAAAGACCGAATAGCCTATGGCGGATGGCAACTCTTGTTTCTCGTGACAATTAATGGAAGCTGCGATAAGCTTATTCACCAATTGCCCATCCGCCTGCATGATTAGCAATCCCGGATCTTATAAAAACAAATAATTGTATATCGATTATACGAAGTCTTACCAGATACTCAACATGTGTCACAAGATTCAGAGACGTCTGCTGAAAATTGTATCATATAACGATAGAAAGAAATATTACGTACATTCATTTTGCATAATAAACAATCACTGTAGCTGCCAATGGCAACACACCGCGATCGGCAATAATATGCACGCGTGATACCCGTGATAAGGGCACACACATTAACGCGGCGCGGCTTATCAGCGTTTTCGCGGAAAACGTTTGGACGTGCGGTTCTTTACATCCTCTTTGTGCCAGATTGTGACTTGCGACGATGATTCTTCTTCCTGCACTTTCGGTTTGCGTGATTACTATTGTGCCATAATCCGGAGACACGTAATAATGCGCATGAGAAACGCAAACTCATCGATAAGTATCTGCCGCGAACAAAGCAGCATAAAGCATATTTTAAATTAGATAGATATATAATTGGAGTCAATAATTTAAAAAAAAATCGAAAAAATGTTGCAAAAAATAACATAAAAATTGTTTTGAAACTTTCCAAATTAACTAATCTTATAAAAAAAAAATTGTAAAAGGCAGTGCGCGGTGTGTAGGTGTAAATTTTTAAATAATCTTAAAAAGTTCTCTAAAAATATAGATATTGTAAGGAGAAGTAATACAAACTAGATTTCTATTCAGTTCCTGAATCTACAAGACGCATAATGAAAAAAATAAAGATAAAAAAATATCGTAAAAATACAATCGGCACTCATTTCAGATTGAAGAAGAGGAGAATGAATAAGAATAAGAACATTGAACAGCAATTCACATAAAAGTAGAGTGAATCGACTGATCAAGCCTTGAAAAAGGACGAGATGAATCCTTCACCTACTGCCAATCGGAGTTTCCTTCACGGAAGTGGCAAGGCTGCCCTAATCTCTAACAAAGTCGTTTACGCCACTCTCGATAGCTTAGCCCTAAAACGAACGCGATTACCTCTACAATTGCTTCCCGTGGAGGGCGACAATGTCGTAGATATACCAGATAAAAAAGAAAAAAGACTCGTCAATGGAAAAACTTTAATTAAACGACCATCTTACAAGGTATGTCACTATTTGTATAGATATTTTGCATTTACTTTTATTACAAGTCCTTAGAATGCAGATTTTATTGCAAAAAATCCGAGAATAAATTAATTTTAATTTTTAGAACAGGCCAGTATTTAACAAACATATTTAGTATAAATATTTTAAGATTTTTAATAAAAATGTATGTTTTATTGCAAATAAGAAAATATTTTAAGTAAAAGAGCTTTTTAAGTCTAAAACGATTTTATGAATGTCTTTAAATGTCTTAGAAATTATTAAAGATGTCCGAAAAATAAAATTCAATTTTCTAATGCTAGACAAATTTCTAATTGCGTTGTTTATTGCAATTTATGCAATTTAATAAAATTCAAACAAGAGATAGATTTTTCTAAATTCTTAAAGGTCCAAAGAGACTCTGTCACGATTATTTTTACGCATAACCCGGATATGTATTTAAAAACACAAGAGTTTACGTGGCTCCCTAAGAAACCGAGTAAGAGTTTTCTCTTACGTACGTGAGAATAAGCACGGGATACGCACATGCGGATACACGAGCAAAAGGATGCTAATAGTCGGAGGAGTGGCTTGTTAGCTTTTACGACGTTAGCTCACCATATCGGATAAGAATCACAGAGATGGAGCACCTCGATCCTTCAACTATACCTGTCGCGCATTTTCGCGACATCGTTATGCGAAAAAGCGCATTCCCATCCGAAAATTTAATCCGCGATTAAAATGCGACTTTTCCAACACGACATCGAGCGACTTTTATCGCACGATATAGTTTATTGCGGAGCAACTGCGATTTACTTGTATCGCCGGCATTCCATCGGTTTGATGAGAGTACGGAATGTGACCGACAGGTAGAAATCACGGCTTTATACAGCCGACGCACGTGTTACTTTCTGTAAAATCCACTTTAACCACTTTATCGTACCTTTCTCACAATAAAATAAAATATTTTATTGCGAGAAAAATTACTCTTTGTTTGTTGCAACAAATTTTATTTTTACAAAATTTTTTTGACTGATTCAACATTTCCCTGCAAATATATTTTTACAGGAAAAACTGTTCCTGATTTTTATTATCAAAGCTAAATATGTATTTATATATGTTATTTATATATGTTATGTATATACATTCTTTGATTATAGACTGTATACAATAGTTTCTACGTTAAAATAAAGAAAAAAATGTATTAATATTAAAGATTAATTTTATTTTTGTAATTTCTAAATCTTTTATCATACAAGTGACATTCAATGTAATCGACGATTGCAGAAAAAGCATTTGTTGATTAAAATAATTAACATTTCTTTTTAGAGAAGCATTGTATCATATTTTATAAACACATATTAGGTATTCAGTGATATAGACATACTTACATTTTAATTATATTACTGTGAAATGGAATTTTTTCTAACTTTTTAAAAACTTTCTCTCTTAAAACTTGCAACGATCAATACAATTAGTCGTCCATTTAATTATGCCCTATTTCGTCATTAGGTGAAATCCGGAACGAGTCATCAGTGGAAAAGTTACTCCAAGTGCCTGGCCTTCTCCTCCACGAAGACGGAGAACCAGTCGACAACTCGTGCCACCAGAATACTAGATTCCGGAACCGAATGCAATATCGAAAATACTACCGCAAAGGAAATTCAGACACCAATAAATGCGACGGGAGTCGTAGAAAATACCATAGAAAGTTCATTTTCTACAAGGCTGTCGGCGAAAGAAGAACTTCACACTAAGGACTTTCGAAGCGACAATAACGATGATTCAGCACCGACGCAAACGGAGACGAATTCTCGCGATGGTACCAATCTCGAAGATCAAAATGAAAAAGAAAAATGCTCGATCGAAAGAAGAAACTCCAATACATCCAGCGACTACGAAAGGATTAGCCTAACAGACTACAAAGTGTCTACATACGATCTTCAAGTTCCAGATGAGATAACTCCCGAATCCATCGTACACATTTACAAGATCGAGAAAAATTCTCCGGTTCCTCCAAAGATAGTCACGAAGTCGCAGTCCGTGAACGATCTAGCGACGAGAGAGGCGTATGAGAACCCATTCGTGGAATACTCGAATCAAGACACGGGGTCGATTACGAGCGACGAGAACGATGACGCGTCGTCGTCGCGGCATAAGAAGAAGAAGAGGCGATTTACTAGAAACGTACTGCACTATGTACCGCGGCCTCTGGTAAAGCAGCCTAAGAAGAAGAAGAAGAAGCTAAAGAAGAAACTCACTCTGAGTAGCTCGCTGAGCTCCCTGAAATCATTGCAAACAGCACCCTTTCCGGACCGGACCGTCCCGAACTCGTGCGCCAAGACCAGAAGCCTGTCCAGGGACGAGTTGAGGACCGCGATTATCTCGTCGCCCACAAACTTCGTTCACGTGGCGTCCGCTACGAATCCCAACCTGGTACGGGACCCCGTCGGTTTCGATCTGGAGCAGATCGTGATTACTCATCAGCAGATATGCGCCACGTTACCTCTACTCATTGGAAAGGACGAGCGAGGTAAGAATGGAAACATCGAGCAGCCCAAGGTTATCGCGGGAATGCGAATGCCTCCCGCGAACGACGTAATTTCCAGGCAATCCAGGCAAAACCAATCAGCCATCGAAAGTGTCGCGAATGCGTTCTCTTGACACGTCGTCAGATTTCTTTGTTGAGTTCGATAATCGTGAAAGAATTTATGCAAATATCGTCTTGCTCAAGTACGGCTTGATTTGCGCAATTGTGCCTTTGAATTTATACAACGTCAAGCCGGATAATTGAAAGCATTGAGCAAACACGCATAATATAACAATTCTGTCTCTAGTGATAAAATTAATTGTTATTATAAGTAAATAGCATTATAATTAATTACATTATTCCATTTTTTTTTCAAAGATTTGGTTACGTTTGAACATAGATTTTAATTGTATTAAAATATACACGTTATATTAAACGATATCTATTTATTACATCTTACACTTCCACGAGGAAGCCACTATGATAAAATATCAGAAAAAAATGCTATAACACTGTTCAACAAAAAATTTGCACATTAGACCTTATATTAATTATAAATATCTTTTTAACTATATTCTACACAACAAATTCCTTATAAGGGCTAAAAGTTCTAACAACATAATTCATTTTGATTGCAAGAAAACTTCTCCAACACGTCACATATTGTAGTTACAATATGCCAAAATACTAAAATAGCCTTTTTTGCAACTTTAATCACCACGTTCTCACAATTGTGACATGATATAGTAATTTAGTAAAAACGGAATCGTATTCAGCGCCTAAAAAACTAAACAATTATCTTCATTTGTATGCATTTTATTGTTGAATATAGTGTAATTGAAATTGAGATAACTAATAATAATTATACTTTTTCTAATATTTCATAATTGAACTTTCTGTTAAAAAGAGTGAAATTTAGAGCCAATTTAGAATCACGCCTTTTGATCAAATTAGAGTAATATCGAAATATATTATGCTTTTCTTAAGAATCTGATAGGAGACATCAGAAATTCGTAAACAGAGTAATTTCTAAAAATAGATATACAAGTGTTTCAAAACATGTGAACAAACTTCAAGAGTAATATAAGGGCAAAAGTTCTTATAAACGTTTGTCTTATTTGTCTTTTATCCAAGTTACAGATAGTTTTATATTTCTCATTACAAACTGATTCACAGATAGTATAAAGTATTATCACTAAGTAGCTGAAATGAGTGAAATCGGTTATTACATACTGCAGTTTGCAACATAACTTCAGTATAATTTTGAATTATTAAAATACAAAACTCGAAAAGAAGATCAAATTATACAAATAATTATACAAATCTTTTTATTACTCTTATGTCTCCAATATACTTTTGAAATTATACCAATCATATTTTAAAATACCCTGTATAAAATACGAGGGCAGACGTTATCTGTTTGTACACAAAGTAGCACTTCCTGCGATATACAGCGATATCTACGAGGTAAGATTCTGACGACGGATTCTCTTGCAGATAAAAGCGATCGAACGAACTACGCGGAGATACAGAGCGACTTCTCGCAAGCGGCACAAGTTTTGGAATCCGCCCAGATAGTGAAAATCGCGACTGGGAATCAAACCGTTTCGCCGGAAGAGATGTACGAGCCGGTCTGCGAGTCTTCCCCTACGGCATTGCCACGGGCCAACTGCAGCTTTCTGTGGAGCAATCATGGGGCGAAGACTTTTCCAAATGACAAGCCCGACGCGACGGCTACGTACCATGCCTCAAGGGAAAACGACGACGGCACCGACAGCGAGGGATACGACGACGTCGGACCATCGAACTTCGTCGGTCAAGCGGTACGGATTATCGTGTGTACGGAAATTCCGTTATCGCAAACCTCGACAAAATGGAAATTAATTTCTGCAAATTAACGTAACTTTGTGCGAATAACGAAGAGTGTGTGAGCATTTCGAAGTAAACAATTTTTTGCGCGACAGCTTTAAAAGTCTGAGGATTTTCGAGGAAGAAATCTACTTATTTTATTAAACGGAACAATTGAAAGACATTATGTCTGTGTGCAAAATTGCCATTTAAAAAAATTAGAACCAAGTAAACGCTTGAAATGCATATAAAATTAATTTAAGTAGATTATTGGAAAAAGAGGCTTTAGTTAATTATAATGATTATTATTATGCATTCTCGAGTACATTCGCAAACGTCGACGCAAACAAGCTTAGCTTTCGCGTGATTGCTAAATCAGGTAGTGCGTTAAATTGGCAACCGTCAGCAAAGGTGAAACGGAATGTCAAATAATCGATTCGCATCGCGCGATACCTGCATGCTTGCAAATTGCTGCCGGAAATCAGGTATCACGAACGATGCATAATTCGATTCACTTCTCAAATTTCGCTTTCAGGGCCACATTCGCACGCGCCGTCTTTTTCGCATCAAAAATTAGCGACGGTTTTGTCGACGCGTGCACTCGACCGCTCAAGTGCAACGTAAATCTTTCGTTTCTTCATATTACAAAAAGAATGTACGATGATGAATTTCTTATCAGGAATCCGACTACGACGACGTGGGTCCGCCAACCTCTCGCCTCGAGGCGCCCATCGCTGACGCTAACTGCGAGGAGATTTACGACGATGTGATGCCGCCCAGCTTCAAGCAGGACAGTTCGAAACCCGTCGACGAGAGCGATTACCTGATTCCGGAAGCCAGCAACGAGGTGTCGCGAAAGGAGCCGCCCGTGGAATTGCCAGCGACGTCTAAGAGTCGCGCGGCGGAGACGAACGACGATCAGTATTTCTCGACGACGAACAATGAATATTCCAGCGTAGACTGCGAAAGTCATCTGGGCGAGGAGGAGCGGGACGAGCTGGGTGTGTATGACGACGTCGGCCTGCCGCCCGGCGAGGAACGTGTCAATAGCCTTTATGCCGGCTCCACACGCGTCTCCGTCACAGGATTGACCTCGATGAACGGCAAGGAATCCGAGTGGGAGGACCTGGAAGAGGCCTCGTGTGCCTCGCGCTGCCCTTGTCAGTCTAATGATCCGTGGTAAGCGTGGGAATGAGAGAACAGTGGGAAAACTAATGGGGTTTCTTGAAGAAGGGGACAAAGACGCGAATGATATTTCATTTTTCACGAGAAGCAAAAGGTTGAGAGACCGCGACAGTTGATTTCGAGAACCATGCCGAAGACATCGCAAAGTGCAATGTCCGTGTTTATATTGTGAATACTCGAACGAGGCATGTCTTTAAAAAACAGGCTGTCCAGCTTTTCCCGTCTGAATAACGCGTCAGGCAGGTATCGCGAAAGGAATTCGCTCGGCGCGCGCGCGCGATAAGGCTCGCTTCGAAGGTACGCACATTTTTTCCGCGTTACAACGATAACGGAACGGAATTGAAAACAGCGCGGCTAATTGCCTTCACCTCGACCGAAGACGATTAATCATTATTAGACCCGCGAAGTTAATACACACGCGCGGCGAATCGTTCACCGCAAATGTTTCGAAAACACAATACGGGGATACGTCGTCACGATAGCACGACGATAGCGCGCGGCGCGATTAAGAACGACATTATATTAAATATCGTTATCGCATTCCGTCCAGAGATGTACATACAAGCGTTTAACATGATTAATGCGACGCTATCTTACCATAGATAATTATAGCGCTGACAAAGACACGATAAGAGCTCGAGATTATTAAACACTGTTATAAACAACATAGATTCAATACGATTACGATAGATACATGTGAGCCTAAAATTTCAGCGATAGGGGGACCGAAGGACAAGTCGCCCCGAGCAAGAAGAAGCTCGCTCAACGATGGTCACGGAATGTCAGGAAGCAACGGTCCAGGAGATCTCGCAGAAGCATCAAAACGACACGGATGACCCGCGATACCGCCGTCGACGGTGAGTACCGAAGAAGGAGATTTTACTGTCGGGTAAACGGCGCGTGCCGTAACGTAATACCGCTAAGAATACACGGGTGTCTCTCCTTGAAGGCATGCATCTCCCGCTACAACTGGTGTTCTGCAAATTGCGTATAACGTATACGTAAGATTTTCGCGTGAGACTTGTTTTTCCAGAGAGAAACGCCGCGATGCGCTATGCGCTCATTTAAAATTACGCAGCGCACGTGCATGAATTAAGGTCCACCGTTGCAAGGATGTCGCGTGACACTCGTGGGAAAGTGAGAAGAATGATAAATGTTACTTTATCTTGCACATTACATAAGCAACGTGCCGAATGTTTAGTCGTGCGCCATACGGCAGCATCGCGTTCTATTTGCTTATAGAGATTTTAACTGAATTGCATATATAAATAATTTCGATGAGAGAGATTACTTATCTGTAGTGTCACTTGCAAGACAGTCTGCCGGCAGTCTGATTGCTGACGGCAAAAATAGACGCGCCGTTAAGATAGAATTGTTATATAGCTATCGTCGACAATATCGATATTTATAAACGTATTACACATACGCTCGCATCACGGAACTACCCAGTGACTTTTCAATGCTGGGTGGCTGTGGTTCTTCCAACTGTGTTTCGACAATTCGTACTTTCGACATCGCCCGATGATGTAGTCTTCCTGAACGACACGTCAAACACGTGACGAGACTTGCCCAAGCTTTTTGCCATTCGTAACGTGTACTTGTCAGCAAAAAAGAAAACGAAATACCGCATCCGTAAACATTCGTATTCGCATAATGTTCGAATAAAAGACGAACCGCTATTATCGAGATCTCCTTGCCGAGATAATATAGGTAGACAAGAAATACATTAAGATGATTTGCTACCGAGAAACTGTTACCACTGTTATCGAGATCCTATTATTAGAAATGAGTGAGAAGTCCATTAGCTTTAATACTACATTGCAATTAAAACTTGAAAACGTATTGAAACTGTATGAAAAGTAAGTATACCGACGCGAACTGATTTTATAAATCCAAAAATAATTCCTAATCCGAAATTTCTTCCGATGCTTTCCAATTTACTGCTCTCGAAGGACAATTGCAACTCGACGTGGAAATCGTCATCATCGATAGGAGTTATTCTTTTGAAGAAACACAACAATCAAAACCTCTCCTCTTCAAGATCCTATTATTGATTATGCGCGAGAGGTACATTCGCGAATTGACGTTTATATAGATCGAACGTGAGACTTTTACTTTCGGCAAACACGTGTGCGTGTTCCGGCGAGTTTAGAGTAGGTCCATAATTATACCTGAGAAAGTTCTGATGCATGACGATACCGATTTTCCAATATCGCAAGACGTTGATCAGCGATCATTCGCCACGTCTTCGGGATTCCCAGGCCCGGCTTGGCAGCGTCCGGGAATTAATATGCCAGAAACGACTTTACTCCGAAACGAGTATTGCGACGGTGTGTCGAGAATTGCAGTACAATAAGATATATAGCGTATTTATCTCAACAGTGTCACGGCCGCAAACACGACATGCGATTTTGTGCAACGAGGCAACGTGCGAGTGAGCAAGGCGCGGTAAATCCGTAATCGCGTTCGTTCGCAACGAACGTCGTGTTTGAAGGACAGTGGGCGGTGGTAATTGACTCGACGTACATATCGCTGATGCCGCCTTTAATGTAATTGAAAGACAAGGCCGCGCGAGGTCGAGGTGCCACGACAAAGCACCTACTCTCCATTAATTCCGAGTTCCGCTGCACATCGCCGCGTGATCAGAATGCGTATGTAGTTGCGTACGAGGAACGCGAGCCAAACCGTGCCACCGTGAATGACCCACCGACGACGACGATTTTGACATCGAGCTGCAATCATTCTGCGAAAGTTGGGTAAACTGGAAAATATCAGAGGAAAATTCTAGCCATCGCGCGAATTGAAGATCGCGAATTTCATACATGGCAATTACATATATGATTTAGCGATGATAAAATACAATAGGTAATCTATAGAAATTGCAACAAAATTATTTTTTAAATTGTTAAATCAGTGCTTTTTTAGCTAATACAATTTTTTTCAATCTGTAGGTATATTCTTCACATCTTTACTCTTCATAAAAATAACTACATTCGTAAATCTAAATAGTATAGGCAATAAAAAAATTAAAAGACATAGATAAACATATGTTCTATTACTTGTTTATATATTTTTTCTACTTTCTCTATCCCTATTTGTTTTATTTATCATCAATTATCAAAATGTATACTTTTAAGAGTTAAGCTATTAAGAGAATTTTGTTTGTTCACATTTGACATTTGAAAGAATTAGAAAAGAATTCAACAATTAGTGCGATAATACCTGATTTTTAAATTTAATAATTCAATTTTACAGAATTTATGCAATTTCTCTTAATTCTCTTATCTCCCTCATACTCTCTATTCAAGTATAATAAATGGAAATATTTTTAGAGTTTTTAAAACATAATTTTATCAGTTATTTAAAAAGCAATAATTAAACAAATTTAAAAACTGATTTTATTACGATGTTTAGAACATCTATTGCACTGTTATTGCCGAAAACAAATGTATACATAATTCATATAGATAATTTCACAGAATATTTCGTAGAATAATTACTGCGTTGCATAGAATACTAATAAATGGATTTTCACCGCTCCAAACTTTTCTCTTACCTCTTGCCGCACACTAATTACGCTAATTAATTCACGAATATCGTTTTCATGTTAATACGGTCGGTCATCTGGAAAGCATCGGCATTCTAATGGCACCGTGTTGTATAACTTGTCAGATAAGAATTTCAATTTAATTGAATCTAGCTTAGAATAGAATGACGAGCGGATTTATGGATAAAAATACCTCGCCGAAGACGTCAATTCAATTTCGCGGGGATGACGGCAGGGCTCGCACGACGCATTGTACCGTGATATCAGTAAGGATGATCGCACAGTCGCGCATAGTGTTCAGGTAAAAGCTACTTGTTCGTCACACGTGTTTCTGCGACGACCAACGGACGTAATCACGTAACGCGCGCGCACATGCGTGCGTAATTGCCTTTTTTTTCTCTTCTCCTCGCAACATGCGACCGCCATATGGGCCGATAGATGAGGATGTCGTAAGCTGTCCGTTGTAATACGAAATGCGTCTTAACTCGCGGGAAAACGGTAATGAGAGATGCGCGAAGCGAGAAACGGTAATTTACACGCGCGAATCGAAGGATTCGCTTTAACCGCTCGTGTGCGCGAGATTGATACGAGAAACCGATTATCAATTCGAGACGGCGAATAAAGCGTGATGCGAAAACGAAGCAATGACAAACAGTTAATAATAAATTCAATGAATGTCGCTCTCGCTAGCTAAGGCAAGAAATTGAAAACGGTTTCGAGTGTCCCGTTTTATAGAAAAACGATTTCATTTTGCACGGTCATTGCCTCGAATATCTAACGCACTAACGATCGGCTTGATCGTAAGCTCGCTGCTCGAGTGCTCGCTGCACGCTCGATGCGCACGATAATGAAACGCTTCCATCCTGATACTGCATCTGTATATTACTGCATCTGTACATTATTAACTGTACTTTAGGAATGAGCAGGAATCATTTAATGCGCTTAATAATTACCTGATGATATCGACTGAGTATATTTGACACCGTAAAGCGTTCATAATAACATTTCCTACGGGCACTCGGTGAACTTTCGTAAACTGAGATTTCTATGAAAAATAAGATTTCGTTATTCTTCACGGAAATGCTTGATGAGATTTCTCACGAACCACAGCGCTTGACAGGGTAAACTTATTTCGTCAAGAATAAGTACCAGTTTTTAAAGGGGTTTTCACACAACTAAACTGATTTAGCACCGGCACTCTGTCAGTAGCACACATAAATTGATGAAACTTATTATCAGTGGTACCTCTTTAGATAATTATTACGAATAAAATCGTCAATATTACAAATTACTTTGGTTCTGTCTATAAATTCTTTAATAATTATTATTGCAGCTAATGATTATATATAATCGGACATGAAGTAATTTTCTTTAAAAATATTTCAAAACAAATAGCTCTTACATCATAAGCCATAAGTGATTGAGGATCTTGAAAAAGTGCTATATTTCTACAAAATATTTATAAAGATTTTTTTATTTATTATAGAGGTTTGATGCAAAAATGATGATTAAACCACAAAGATAACAGCTTCCATTTGCAAAATATGTTTACGACATAAAATATGCAAAAAAAATTTTTCTGGATTGTTTAAAAAATATTATATCACTCTTAATTTCAAATTTTTATTTCTATTTACTCGTAGAGTAACACACTATGTCATAGTTGCAATGTATCCAAATCGTGCACCTACCGATTATATTTGTATCTATAAGGAAAGACATTAATTTAAATAACGTGCGTTTTCAACAGAAAAATTCTCGAGTACCATCTCCGCATTTTCAGGAGCTCCCGGAAAACCGCCGAAAGTGTTTTAACATAGGTCTAAATTGTCGATGCACACCTTATGACCATCTCTACCAATGCAAATAAATTTTAGTCTTGGTTTAAACTCACTTTTTATCTTTTTCTAAGAGTTCTAAGAGTCAGAAAAAGATAAAAGATAAATTAAAGCCGAAATTAAAGTTAATCTGCATTGCTGTAAGAAACGGATATTAGCCTTCGAACAAGCCTTCATCGTGTGAGAGTTGCTTTAAAGAAATCGTGTGAGGGCTCCTTAAGAAACCAGCGTGCGAGGTGAAAGCGCCAATTGCGCGCTCTCATTGTCAGTCACGGCCGAGCCGCGAGCTGTACGGTCGCTTCTCTCGCGGTTCTCTCGCCGAGTTTTCTCGCAACGCGCGAAAATCGGCCGGATCTCGCGCGTCGATCGCGCGCGAGAAACGGAGTTTTTCCCCGCGGTAGAGGAAGCTCTTTTTCCTCTACCGCGTCGCGGCGAAAACGTCTCGCGCGTCTAAACGAGGCGCGCGGAGCGCGGACGCGTCCCGCGCCCGCCGGCGCTCGTCTCGCTCCCCGAGCTGCGCACCGAGACGAGATGTGGAAATGAGAGAGACGCTGAAGATCCGACGACCCAACACGCAAGGTAAGAAAAACGAGAGGGGCCCGCTCGTCACGCCGCTTGCCTGCGCACGACCGCGTTCCCGCGAGCACCTCGGATTTCGCCAAATTTCGAACAAGGATCCTCATTATCCTTAAACTGATGGGGAACAACGGCGGCGCGGCGGGAACTTTCCGTCATCGTGAGACTTCCCTCACAAACGTCCTTGATCCGTCGATCAAGTCGCTCCACCAGCGAGAAATCGCCATTGCAATTATCCGATCGCGTCCGATCTTCCTAATGATATTTTCTATATGTTCTCTTCTTCTCTATGTTTAGAACTTTTTCCAAGTTCAATTAATTGTCGCGTCTTTAGCCCAATTCCATCGCTATTGCGCGCGATGATTTCATTACACTACAAATTCGATAAAGTATGTGACGTGTACATTTCAGTTTTAGCCTTACATTATCTTTTATTTTGTCTACAGCTCCGTTAAAAATGATTCTAATGACGATCGCGATTAACTTGAATCTCGGGAAAACGGCTCAGGAGAATAATTAGAACATCTACTTTCCTCAGTAATTAATGAGAGGTTGAAAAAGTTTGCAGTAGACTGCGCTCTCCTTTCCTCTGGGAGAAGCTGACTCGAATTCGAGTTCGTCGAATTTTAATTTGTCATTAATTTCCCAGACAGCACCATGTCCAAAATCGAGACATAAGACGTCTTAAAGACATCCTTTTAGACATATCATAAGACGTCTTATGCCCCGATTTTGGACATGCGTGCGTCTGGGTCTTTGTCTTTGCGCATCAGACGTTTAAATCAATATTTTATACATTCTTCGATAGCGCGAAATGCGTTACATAAAATTGTCGATTGCCGGCGGCCGACTCGGCGAAAAACGAAAGTCGTCGTCGTCGTCATCGATGGACGCGAAATTCCATCGCGGTGGGGAATCCGATCGCGTGTTCGGCGTGTTTCGCCGTCCCACGGCCTTATTTGACTCAACTCCGCGCCTGTTTTGTGTCCCTATCGCCTGTTTCCCTCGTTCGCGAACGTGGTCCAGCACGCGTAGGCGAGAGAGCGCGTGCCTCTGGATTCCTCTGGTTTTGGCTCGGCTCGACGAGTCTGACCTTGAAACCGGATGATTTCAAGTGGCCGTCAGCCTGGGCGGCGGATCGGTGCTTCTCATCGGCAGCGAGCCGCAGAAGAGCGCCGGGGAGCGGAGATCGGCGGGCCGGGGCGATGATCTGCCGCAAAAGACCCAGGGCCTGGTGCAGCTGCGCGTTGTCAGCCTCGACGAGGACGTGGACACCCAAGAGACGTCATGTTACGTGCACGAAGGTACCTGCGCGGGGTACTTTAGGTCACGCGATTAAAGAGATGGAAGGAATTGTTGGCGTTACATTTAAGTTCATTACCTTTATTCTCGCGTGACATTAAATAATTGTAAGAGACACGTGAATTCACGTGTATCTACTTGGAAATCGTTCGATGAACGCATCTCTATCTGTCCTAACACGATTTTTCGAACATCCTTGCAACGCGGTCTTGCCCAAGAGATATTTAAGGAATAAATAATTGTTAATGCGGCAATTTAACTCTTTGCGACATTGGAATGTGTTTACACATTCAGGAAAGAAAGAACCCATTTTTGCAGTCTTGACGTGAACACTTTAGAAATATGACACGAAAGTATATACGCGGGGTTAATACTATTGGTCACGCGTGAAAACGCGATCAACAAATAGAAAGAATTGTCATCGTGGAGATTATTGATTGATATACTGTCTGATATTATGTTCACGTTTGCATTTCCCTTATCCTTGCATTTTATTGACTAAGAAATACATCAATTAATGTATTCGCAAAGCATCCGTGCGATAAACAGTTTTTTTTTTTATATTTGCTCTGATAGGATTTTTTGAACATTTTTGCAGTCCGATATTTAAGGAATAAATCACACTGTTCAACAAAAAATTAATTTTTTTCAACCACAAGAACGAGAATTGCTTCCCATAGTTTCTTGGATGCTCGTTCACCAAATTGCTCTATTACGTCACAATTTTAAGAAATTTGTAATTGAAGTCGTAAAAGACGGCTATTTTAGGGCTATTTTATAGCATATTATAACTATAATATACTAGAAAATAGATATGACGCGTGCTAGAAAAATTTTATTACAATCAAAATTAAATATTATATATTGTTAGGATTTTCAACCCTTAAAAGAAATTTGTAATTGTTTCTATAATTTTTTTCCATAAAAAAATTATAGAAAACCGATTATCTTCGTCCTTTTTTGCATTTTTTTTATATTAAACATCATTAATTATTATCAAGTAAGAAAAAACGCGCATTTGTAGACATTTATGCATTAATCTGCAGAATAGCGAAGCTATTTAAATATTAGACTGGAATATATATATATATATTAGAATCTATATCTTGAAGATTTTTTACGCTTCTCCAGAATTACAGAAAGAGCGAAGAATGAGCGACAATATAACATCTTCGTAACAGCTCTTTGTAACTTCCGGTTTCCCTGATCAGACTTTCTCTTTATCAGACAACGTTTCCGATGACAGCACGTACGAGAGTCTGTATTCCTGCCAGCCGGATGACTTCAGCAGCGATTCGGAAACAGAAACGAGCATTACGCGGCAGCCGCATGGCGATCGTGTAATCGACGCTTATCTAGAATGCCCTACGAGGCCGACTCCGCCGCCGCCAAGAGAGGCCAGTCTAACTCAGACCCTGGGCAGGCGGATAAAGATGCTGCGCAGGACCTGGAGCATCACCAAGGGCAGCCTGGGCAGGATCAGGCGGCGAACGTCCATCGACGAGTCCGGCTTTGACGACAAGGAGCAGTCCGTCGTCAATGAGCCTCACGCCGACGCTGGAAGGTACTTCAATTTCCGGTTGAAGCACTTCAGCCGAAAGAACGTCGTTAGCCCGCCGACTTTCTATCTTGATGAGAACGACGGAAACGATGGCATTCGCGACAACAACAACGGCAACGTCAAGGAGGCGATTTACACCAATAGCCAGTACATGGGAAGCGGCAGCGACGACTCCTCGAAAACTTCGACCGGCGTTGATGTCGGTGAGTCTCGATGATTTACCAATCATCGTTTTTTTTTTTTTTTGTCTTTTCTAATTTACAGCAAGGTGTGCACGACAATGATATTGAATTCTACAAAACGAATTCTGAATTGATAAAGTATGAATTAAATTATAGTGGATAATAATATCTTATAAGCATTATTGCGGGCATTAGTCCAAGATTCTAGAAACACAGAACGATAACTAGAGATAATTCGTTGTAAATTTCTCTAAATAATAAATTAGAAATCACAAACGGTCACGAGGGAAAACGAGTTTTATTGGCACATCTGCGAGAGCGACCCAATTTTACCACAGGCACAGGCTAAATTTAGCGATTCTCACAAGCGAAATATCGAGTTTTTGCTCTGCGATTTTCGGAATATTCCCATACGCGTAAGAATGCCACACGCTGCACCGATGCATAAAAAGCATACGGTTGTATACTTTCACGGGACTCTAATGGTACTTCCTTCTAATTAATTAACGTACACGCCAGAATTTACGATCCATGCGCGCTCGCCGACGCTTGAATGTCGAGAGCGCGTTCACGCATGGGAATCAGCTGCATTGATAAAATATTATTGTTTTAGATCATTACAGTGTGCTTGCCGATCAGGAGCCTCTCTATCAGTTTTATGCGGCCGCGGTGGCTCGCGTTGCTTTCGAATCGGATTCCGAAGGCTACGAAGAGGTAATGCTCTTAGTTATGCTTAAAATTTAAGGCCATCTTCAAAAAACTTTTTCAAACAGATTATATTTACTAGACATTGTCAGAATAGTTTTCAATAGAATGTAATTTTTAAAAATTGATATTTTTTCTGATAATTTTTGTGCAATAAAACATATTAATACATTCTTTGTATAACATAAAAAGATTTTTCTTGTTGATCTTATTTTTTTAATAATTTATAGTTATTCAGAGAATAATACAATATTTAATTTTTTTCTCCTTCTTCTTCCTCTTTTTATTTTATTTTACTACATTTTTTTATTGCGTGGCTCACCAAAATCTATAATTTTTTAGTTTTCTTATTTTTTAAATACTGTTTAAGATATGGTAACGTATTTCTTTACTTCATGATTTATAGAATTTAAAATATTGCTTTATACAATGTTCCGTTCAGGTAGAAGATATGATGTGGAAAACGGAACCAGCTGCGGCAGAGCTTGCTAGATCAGGACAAAGAATGCTCTGGTGTCACACTCCACAAGTAATACATAGTGGCCTCTTACGTAAGTTAAAAAACCGTATATTTAATTGCAGAGATATTTCTCATGTAGTAAAATATATCGAGAGTGAAAAAAAGGGTCATGAAAAATTAGCAAAAGAATTTTTAATATTAGGAAAACTAACCCCGGAAGAGAAGAAGATTCAGGAAGCAAAGTTCGAGATCTTAACGTCCGAAGCATCGTACTTAAATTCTCTTCGAGTCCTAGAGAACGAGTTCCTCAATAATAATACACTAATGAATGAGATTCTAAGGCCGATCGAGAGAAAGAAATTATTCGGTGGGGTCCCGAGCGTGTTATCGGCGTCGCAAACGTTCCTAGCTGAACTGGAAGCTGTGTGGAGGGAAGATCCGATGTTGCCAGGCTTATCGGAGGTATTGCTGAAGCATGCCGAAAAGTGTCAGGCCACGTATGTGGCGTATTGCTCGAATCAAGTCAGCATTGACACAACCCTGAAAGAACTCAAGTAAGATGATCAATGATCCCATAAAATACATATAAATCGCTTTTTATATTTGTGTTTTCTGAAGGATTTAGATAGTATATTTTTTAATTGAACAAGACAGTAATAAATAGACATTGTTTAGCATTTTATAGTTATCACGCTCTTTTTATTGCAGAGATCGGAGAGGCGTAAAGTTCTTAGAAGCTATCAATCGCATACAGATGCGACCGGCATGCCAAAATCTATCTCTGCATTCCTTCCTAATGCTACCAATGCAGCGTGTTACAAGGTATGTACAATATCAGCCTCAAACCAGTTATTTTAACTAAATTCAAATCTCATGAAGTTGATTTATTAGATATCATGTAAATTTTAAACTTCGTAATTGTTATTAATCAAAAATTTATATAGAAAATGATTTACACGCTAATAATTTTGCGTAGATTACCCTTACTAGCTGACGCCATTCTTTCCAAATTATCGATGGGAAATTCAGACAGAATGTCTTGGGAGAAGGTTTTATCGACTTTGAGTAACGTCGTTGCTGAATGTAACGAAGGTGCGCGGGCTGCTGCGCAAGAAGCCGAAATGGAAGCTTTGGCAAGGTATGACATGCTATTATTACTTGGTATATTCTCATTCTTTTATTATATAAAAGTATTGCATAAAATAAGTTACATGTATTTAATTACAGGAAACTGGAGTATGCCTCGAAAATTAAACCAATCATGCTGAGAGGCAAGCAATTAGTTAGAAGTGGATCGGTCGTGCAATTGTCAACAAAAACGGACACCGAATATAAGCTCACATTCGGGAAGAAATTTATCAAGACGCCACTCTACCTTCTACTACTCACTGATTATCTTCTAGTCACAAAATTGAAATCTAAGTAAGATATTATTTAACATAATTGTGTTTTCGTTGTTCCGTTGTTCGTTGTTTCCGATTCTGATTTGCGTGTATAACATGCGTGCGTGCAATCCTTGGCTAAGTCAACGGAGAGCCAAAACGGTTTGTATAGAAGCAGCTTCGTCGAATTCCGTTGGCAGGGATCGTTTATCAGTAGAATGTTGATTTTCGAATTCTCTGGTCTGTTATTGTTATACGGGGAAAATACATAACATGTACCTTTTGAATAAGTTCTCTTATTGATGAGAAAACTCAGTTTAAAATAAAATACTTTGCAGTGCTCATGACGAATGCTACACCGTCATAGACGCGTGCAAACGTAATCTTCTGGCCCTAGAGTCGGCTTCCGAAGAATCGCCATTTGCCGGTCGGAACGCTATGATATTGACTTTTCTGGAGAATCATTGCGGCAGCCACGTAGAATATATCTTGACGTGCAAGAATAATACGGAACGAGAACGATGGTTGGAGGCTGTCTCGCCGCCTAAACGTGGCTTAGTTGGAGAAACGTTGTATGAATCTTGGGACTGCCCGCAAGTGATGGCCAAGCACCCATATTCACCAAATCAACCAGACGAGCTGTCCTTACAGCCAGGTAATATATCACACATTTAATGTATATGTATACATATGTGTATTATATATGAGGTTTATGCAATAATATTTTTATCACGTTCTACATATCATTAAACAGATATAGTCAATAGAACAATTTTGATTTTAAGAAAAAAAAACAATTTTTAAATAAGAATTTATCTTCTCCAAGTTTTATAAACATTCACAAATTAAATCTTTACAAAGTATCTCGTATAATAAAAAATCAAAACTTTTAAAGGTACTTTTTCTTAAAAACTGATTCTTCAAAAAACATTTTCTCTTGCAGTTTAACAATTCAGTTATAATTATATTCCTACTAAATTATATTATAGTGAAAAAATCATGATTCTAGTAAATTTGGTTGCTTTGTTCTTTAGGAGACGTAATAAACGTACTAAGGAAAATGGCAGATGGTTGGTATCACGGTGAAAAATTGTTAGACGGCGAGCAAGGATGGTTTCCGGCGAATCATACAAAAGAGGTTGCATCGGAGCACGTGCGTGCACGGAATCTAAAGCAACGACACCGTCTTTTAGCACTCAGCAATAGCGTAATACAACAAAGAAGAGCGAAACAAAATCAGGGGATTCATTGACGAAATTAAAATGTGATCTGAGCTAGAATCACTCAGACATTGTGATCGTTAATAAATTATTTGTTTATACATACGCGATTTCTATGATATTTCAGTATTGAATATCCTGATTAACTATGTGCCAATGTAATGTTACTCGTTAAAACAATTTTCTAAAATCTTTTACTGTATATTGAAGCTACAGAAAGCTGATGAGAAAGGTGTAATGGTATATTTTATATATTTCTCCTTTGGCTTTCTCAACAATTGGGTTTTTACGAGGTCGGGGTGTTAGCCCGACGCCCAACCCTCCTCCTTTATCCGAGCTTGGGACCGGCAGGGAGACTTATCCATAACAAGCCCCCCAGGCGGAGCTATTTTACATATATATTGTATATAAAGCTGTGAAGAGAGAAAAAAAGAGAGAATGTGTAACAAAAGTATGTCATTTATTATTTTTATACAAATACAATATAAACGTCATTTATATACTTCTTTATTCTTAAATATGTTCGACTTGGTCTAGTATAAGAATGTCTGAACTTAAAAAATGGAATAAAAATCAGTTGAAATGAAAGATACAGAGATACTGAACATGTGGTATTCACAAATACGTATTGCAGTCTTGTATAATATATAAAAAGTGCTCTCAACTCATATATATATATAAATATAATTAATTATATTTTCATTAATAAAATTTTATTAATAGATAATAAAAAAGAAAAAATTCTGAAATAAAACTATAAAAATTATTAAAAATAGTGTTTAACATATATATTGACGTAAATAATATGCTAACTTCGATAGAAAATAGAAAATATTATCAATGTGAATACTTTGTTACGTTTTCACGAACTGAAAGTTCATGTTTCTATTTATTTGATCGAGATTAATCTTCATCCAAATACATTTATATTACTCATAAGAAATTTTTCCATATATAAATTCCTGAATTTCTTGTATCTCATCGTGTTTTCAACATTTAAACAGTCTCTGAAGAGTCATTGCATATGAATTTGCACAATGGCATAAAAATAACGTATAAACGTATACATTAAACTGATAAAACATACAAAATCATGATTAAAAATTCATTAATCGAGATATTTACGCGTTATAATTTGTGCCACTGTCTATAAATCTTAATCATTTGATGCAATGGGCTTATCACAACCCATATTAAATGATGCTCTTATCGAGCAAACAATTGACTGCAATGCATCGTTAAATACGTGTCTTGGAATGTCCAGATGGTTTTACGTCGAACAGCTTCCTAACGAAATATACTTGGACCATAGTCGTCAACGTAATAACAAGCACCTGCGCGATTGACCAAGTCTGTACGTACGAGTTATTGTCCGACAGCAGGTTTAGATCCCTGGCCTCTCTACCCCTGCTCCAATGTTGAGTTTGGAGCATCTCGTTAATATTTTTCTCCACATTCACGATTGTATTCTGAAAAAGAAATAAATAATTATAATAGTGATATAATAATATATAGTTATGTAACATATATTTTATATATTAGTAATTATATATTATATATATTAGTATTGTATATTACAATATGTATATATAATATATATTATTAATATGTAATTTAATTTGTTTATCAAAACAATATACTTTTTATATTTGTAATTGCAACGCCTACAGAGAAGCTTACGCGACACACATACCGTAAAGTTCTCGACGGAGAGATTCAGTTCTTCTAATTCCTGTGTATATTTCTGCCACTTATCGTATCTGTAACAATGAATAAGATAAAAAATAATAGATGTTTTAACATTTCTCTCTGATACAGCACATATTTTTGCAAAATTAATCATAAGAGTCTCACCTGATCACCGTGATGTACAGATTGACTAATTTTGCAGCAAATCTCGAAAACTGGTTATCAATACACACGCTGTAATAACCACCGTTCACCGATTGATCCTGATAATCAGCGTTGGCACGCCATTGATAAGGATAAACTATAACTCCTTCTGGATTTCTTACTGCAAAACCAGCTTTCCCATCCCCACCACGCAGAACCTAGAATCAAAACAAGCTATTTGAATCGGTGTAATGTTGACGTATCAACATATCAGTTATTATTTTCTATTCTAACGTTTGTAATATGTTTTTCTTTGCAGTTCATTTGCTGTTATTAAAGCGCGCCTTTAAACAACTTTTGATAATAATTCTTAAAGGATCTTGTTGATATTGCAGTCATATAAAATTATTCTTTACATACAATCAAGATTATCAATTCCCGGGTTCTACATAACAAAATTACAGACATGTACATCCTCTGAAAAATGGGTGAGCAGGTGTCACCATTTTTTTACAGCAAGGTAAACGATCGTAAAGTTTACAAACGTATTGTGACCAGCATGAACTGTCAGAGCAAAGCACTCAAGATGCGTGCTCTTTCGAATCGTGCATCGGAAAAGATGTCCCGAAAGAAAGTTGTCTCCAACTCCACGTAACCATATGGTCAACCGCGAGGGAGTCCCGTATCCCAATAACACTCATGCTGAATTTCTCATCGGCCGAAACGGCTCGCTCTAGGACTCGACGGATATCTGGGCGACGGTACCTGGAAACTGACGTAGAACGTCGCGCCCGGGTTTACATATTGGAAGTAACAGTCCTCCTTGCCGGCGTCAATGTGCACCTTGTAGTCCATCGCGACCGCGGGCAGGTCCTCGTAAGAGAAACCATCGGCCGGTCGCGCGATCAGGATCAGAATCAGGGAGAGCACGCCGAATAGCACGCTGCCGAGCTGCACGAGGAGGGACATTGCAGCGGCATAAGCATCACGTCGGCGACAGCCACCGATCACCGAGATCACCGGACCCCGCTCAACGGAACAGACCACGCGTAAACTCTGGAGGATCGAGGGATCGGATTAATTCCATCAGAAGCAGAACAGCATTGCGCATGTGTAACGCACGTCATCGACCACGTGACCGATCGCAATAGACACTCTTGCCTCGTGCTCCGATTCCTGATCCTGATTCCTCATTCCTCCGAATGCTCCGATGTTGCTCACAGCTCACAGCTGACATAACTTCTTGGAGATGACGTACAATAGGCAATTCCACGTCAAATCTTTCTACATCATTTAAATTTACGAAACGACAGATTCTGCTCAGTTTCTGCAGTCAATCTGCTATTATATTAATATAATTTCGATAGAATGCCAGCAGAAATATATAACAGAATTTTATCAGCAGATTCTATTATATATTTCTGCTAGCATTCCACCGACAATTTGCAGACACTTTCGAAATTTGTTCTCGGCAGACCCAGGTAGCAATTAATGTCTAAAAGACATCATAAAGACATCTTTAAGATTTCTGGCATCTTAAAGACATCTTTATGATGTCTTTTAGACATTAATGCTACCTGGGGATTTGGCTATCGGTGTCGGTAATATATCATAACTCAAAGCGCACGCTGAAGCAACAAAAAAGGCTTACTACGTCTATTATGTAGACCGGATCTTAACGGATCGCGTGTACGGGAAAGCGTCGTTGAGGACCCCGCGAGCGAATCGCTTGACGACATTGGCGTAACACGTATACGGAATTGCGGATGTCATTGCGATTTCGGCGGAAATAGCCGGCGCGTCACGGTGCTTACCGCGTCGCATAATAATCGCGCATCCAACGATTGCCAATCGGGACGGAAGAAAGCCGGCAGCCGGCGGCGGTCGGTATATTTAGCGTTTCGAAGTCGCAGATTTCACGGGACGCGACCGTTCACCGTCGGCGTAGAGCATGATGCGCGCTGTGTGCTATACGTGCGTCTCCCGTCTCCCTACCACGCGGTCCACGCGCCTGACTGACCCACTCGCGCTCGCGCTCGCCGATTATGCAATTGACCCGTAATATTTCGCGATCGCGGCTCCGATGTCGTTTGCGAATGAGGAGAGTCGCGCATTGTTGATCGCGCGTGTATCGTGTATGCGCGTAACGCGCGACGGTGAACACGTGTTTAGACGCACGGATCCATCATCGGTACGCGTGTGTGCGCGTATATATGTACTTGATCCCTGCTTTTTGTTGCAAAAGTCACTTATCATTGTCCGACACGGGAATAATTCTTTCGCGGAAGAAAAAAAACATCTTATGATAGTTAAAGTGATTTTACATCCTTAATACAGCACATTATCTAATCGTATTTACTCAATCTTTGCCTCCCCGTGTGTACATTCTTTTTTTACTAGCTTTACTTTATTTATATCCTTATCAGTTTGATATTGCTTTCAGATTGGTACTGCGGATGTTAGATGCAGAAGATAATTGCTGGGTGACAAACCGTGAGTGTCAATGAAATCTCTTTTAAAGGAGTGAGAATTGAGACAAATGTATTAATTAATGTATTTTCTATTATTTTGCAGAGAATGGCCGGTGCTGTATACGTGATAGGAATTTTGCTGTTGGGAGGAGCAGCAGCTTGGACCAGTGACATTATACCTGATATAACTGTACATATGAATCAAGTGATATCTGTGCCGTTCAGCATACATAATGTCAGTTCGCCCAATCCACAAGCATGGACTGTTAGCGCAGATCATCATATTGCAATACCGAGTTACCAAGTGACAACGTTAAACAAAACTTCTTTTAACGGTGTTTTAAATATCACTGGCGTATTCCTTGGTAGGACGAAATTAACGTTTACTCTGGCAGAAACGACGGTAAGTGCTGAGTAAACACTCAATTTTGTTGCAATGTTTTTGAGAATAACTAAGGGGTTTCTCTTTTTTGTAGGATATTTTTTCAGAAAACAGTCAGGAAGTGTCTCTTATTACCGTAACACGAGAGGAACGCACAATAGACTCTATATTTACTGCCAGTGTAGCAATACTTGTATCCATCTTGTATATTAATTTTGGCTGTGCCATGGACTGGAGTGTATGCCGCGATACATTAAGAAGACCGATAGGTCCAGCCATAGGTTTCTTCTGCCAGTTTCTGATCATGCCATTGGTAAATCTTCTTATCCGTAAACATACTATAGATGCAATATACAGGGTATCTAATAATAGGTGTAAAAAGTCCTTTACCGTTTTGCGATTTTCACGACCAAGATCTGCACCGATCAATAAAAGACTTTCCTATTCAGTTTAACCTCTGAATTGTTTAACCCCCTGACTTGTGGTCAGTGTTACACCTATTATTAGTCACCTTGTATAGATATTGTACTTTGTATTTCGCATGCTATTTTGTCAATCAGATTTCTGGCGATCCTAATTTTATGTTGTTTCCAGTTAAGTTTTCTCATTGGACATCTTTTATTTCCTGATCGTCCCGAACTGCAAATAGGCATGTTCTTCACAGGAATAAGTCCAAGCGGTGGCGCTTCCAACATGTGGACACTGCTACTTGATGGCAATCTAAATCTTTCGATCACCATGACTACTATATGTACCATTGCTGCATTTGGTAAGTAAAATGTATGACATATGAAAACATTTCTTGTACAATATTCCATTAAATTTTGTTACTCTTCATAGGAATGATGCCGTTTTGGGTCTTTACGTTGGGCAGATATATTTTCGCACAGGGAGCAATTGCAGTTCCCTATCGTCACATCGGCACGTTTGTGATCGGTCTCATAATTCCACTGGCCATAGGATTTTTCATTCAAAAAAAGTTTCCAAGGGTATCGAAGATATTGGTCCGAATAATGAAACCTTTCTCTATGGTCTTAATTTTATTCATCATTATATTCGCTATCACGACTAATCTATATATATTCAAATTGTTTTCGTGGGAGGTAAGTCCACATCTTTCTTAGAAATTCATGAAAGAGACATAAGAATGTAATTTTATTTTATTTTTTTAAATCGCAGATTATAATTGCGGGAATGAGTCTACCTTGGTTGGGCTTTACGTTTGGCTTTATAATAGCGTATATCTGCAAACAATCTCAAGCTGATATACGGGCGATTGCTATTGAAACTGGCATTCAAAACACGGGCGTGGCCATCTTTTTGTTACGATTTACATTGAAGCCACCCTCTGACGACCTAACTACTGGTGAGTCTATACGAATATACATATATGTGTATTACCTTAATCGGCGTCTAACAAAATGTTTTCTTTTTTAGTGGTTCCTGTAGCTACTGCGATGATGACGCCAGTACCATTAACAATTCTATTTATAATAAAATTGATTTATCGATACAGACAGAAAACAAAAGCAAAAGTAACATTAGATCCTGTTCCGTCATTAGAAAAGCTCCAACAAACGGATATTTCTACCATCACACAGTTAAATGAATCTAGATTGATTGATCGTGCACACACAGAATAATGGGTGCGTTCAACAGAACAAATCGTTTAGTAGCACGTGAACGTCATTACGTATTAATTTTTTAATTCTTACTTTTCAGAACCAACAAATCAACGTAGAATAAGACAGTTGATAAGACAACTCAGCAGTTGTTCTGTTGAACGCGGCTAATGATGTCTTGGATTTGCATTAATGACATATAAGGAAGAACTATATATATTTTTTATATATTTCATATATTAATGTTAAAAATCTAAATTTTAGTAAGGATAGGATGGTTGTGGATCATATCATATAATTATTTATAAAAATGTCTATGTCTACCGTTACTGTCGAACAATACTGTTGCAACAGTACTGTTGTTGAGATTGTTGAGATGTATTTTTTACGCCGATGATACTTATTAATTATAATAGTAATTCGATTTATTTAGATACAGCGAGGAACGGTTGTTAGCGAACAAAAATATTTGTTAAATATTTTATAAGTATTGAAAATCTCGTCTGCATTTATATATTTTATTTTTTAATGCGGAAAAAATTAAAAAATTGTACTTTTCTAAGCTTATCTTTTATTACCTGACTGAATACCTGATGGAAGACTAGTTTTAAAGGCAGAATTTGTATAGAAGCGAAAGTTTTAATTCAAAATACACCGTTAAACGTGTAAATTTCAACGAAAACAGATTCAGAAAATATATCTGTCGTTGGTAGAGAGAAATCTATTTCAAAGTTCGCGCCCGTCGGTATTAGCGCCATCATTTGACAAGCTGAATATAGCAACGTTTACTCGGCCAGTGTGTGTAACAAGTTAGAAAATCCCTCGTGATTCCTCGCGCTAATGGACGCGTTCAGCAGACACAACTGTTGCACAACTGTCGAGTTCGTCTTATCAACACTCTGCGTTGCGTGGTTGGTTCTAAAAGTAAAGCCTTGTGTCCACGATACTAGAAATCGCTCCGAGATCTTGGACGGAGAAAAAATTGACCAATCACATTTCAACAATTCGGCATTTGACCATTGCGATTGGTTAATTCTTTCTCTGTCCGAGATCTCGGAGCGATTTCTAGCATCGTGGACACAAGGCGAGCCAATCACGTGTTCGATTGCTACTGAGCTGCTTGGTCTGTTGAACGCGACCAATGTAAAGCCCCTTGCACAATAGGCGATAGCGATAGCGATAACGACAACGACAAGGTTGCCGACAAAGCTATACCTTTGTCGGCAACTTTGTCGCTGTCGCTATCGCTATCGCTATCGCCTATTGTGCAAGGGGCTTAAGGTTATTCTACACAGAAGGCGTAGTCGTGAGTTGTAAGAAACTGACCAATCACATTCGAAGTTGAGGAGAATATTCAATCTGTGATTGGTCAATTTCTTACAACTCACGACTACGACTTCTATGTAGAACAACCTTTAACTGAACAATACATAATTCGATACGTTTTATAATTATATAACAAAACCTTCACTCCTTCACTGGGGGGAATGTCCGCGCTTTCTCGCAAGAGATTTTGTTGCGCAACGAAACATTAATCGTCAAACTTATTCTCATTCATTTGCGAGATGAAAATTAACGCTCCGCCTCACTATATCATAGAAGTGTAGTATTATTATCATTGGGCGCGTTCAGCAGACCAAGCCGCTCAGTAGCAGTCGAACGTGCGTGGCTCTTAGGGCCCGGACACACACTTTTTCGTAACAGTAACAGTAGGATTTCGACCAATCGTGTTACTCGATTCGGGAACGTACGGCCGTACGTCACCGTACGTTTTCGAATCGAGCAACGCGATTGGTCGAAATCCTACTGTTACTGTTACGAAAAAGTGTGTGTGACCAGCTTTACTTTTAGATCCAACCACGCAACGCAGAGTGTTAATAAGACGAACTCAACAGTTGTGTCTGCTGAACGCGGTCGATTACTTCCTGAAATCTCGATGCATATGCAGCAATAATAATTTGTCATCATTTTGGCCCATTTATTATTCTTTACAGATTGAAGACATATCCCGTAAACGAATTAAATTAATTTAATTCCCTTTTATAATCGCGGGAGAATTTCCTATACTGTGCTTTCGATTCGTCAAACAACAAATAACTCGTCCCCTCGAACTCACCACTCGCCACGGGCGTCGCGGCAATCGAGCGCGCGGTGATGTTGGCCGCCCTGCACTTGCTCCGTCGCCGCCCGTTCTTGTCGCTAACTTCAGTGCGTGTGAGATTTCAGTTTACAGCCGAGCCAGCGGAGGTCCGAGTTCGAGGAGACTTGGTGGTGCGAAGTTGCGAAGCGTGCGCGAGTGATTCGGACTTTTGCGGTTTTGCGTTGACCGAAGATGCGATCTGATCACGTCTGCCGACGACACGCAGATTGGTAGCCGCGATCAAGCGTATTCCGGGCCTAGGTGCCACGATTGTGACGCGCGCATTCCCGCAAACGAGAACGAAAGAGAGAAAGAGTAAAAGAGGTAGGGAGAGAAAGATAGAGAGTGAGAGAGAGAGAGAGAGGAGAGTGAGAAAAACGAGCGAGGGACGGAGCGGAGCATGCGACCGCGCCTCTGCGACGTTACTCGGCGTGTCGATGAGGATGGGAAGTGCGCCGCCGCCGTTGCCGCCGACGACGACGAGGACGAGGGACAAAAGTGAGTCAGGGATAGCGTCGTTGCGGTACGTCGTGCGGTGCTGCATCATCATCGCTTAGGAATGGTATCGCCGTCCAAGCACCAATACCAGCAGCAGCAGCAGCAGCAACAACAACAGCAGCAGCAACTCAGACAGCCGTCGAGAGAGAACAAGTTCGATCCGCGACAAACCGGACAAACGCCAGGTAGGCCTTTCGACCGCGTAATTCCCGCATTGCATAATAACCCGCGCCGGCCGTTAATGGACACTGCGTAGAGACGTTTGCTCGGTTTGTGTTTGACACGCGTTTTACTTGCCTGTCTCTCGCTCTCTCTCACTCTCTCTCTACCCACATACACACGTAGCACACACACACACACACAAACACACACGCACACATATGCATAAACATATGCCGAGGGAGCGTTCAGTGATCCCTGAGAGTGCTCGGAGTATCTTCGGCGAAGAGACGATCGTTGTATACATATGTACTGTCACTGAGAAACTCGAGTTGTTTTACAGAAGATCGAGATGCCTTCCGAATCTGTGTTAGCTTGGACGCCACGTGCAAATAGCGAAATCTTCGCCGATGATGGAACGAGTACTCTGAACGATCACCAGCGTTCCCTTCGCTGTACAGTCCAAATACTAATGACGATTCGTTTTGTATATCCCGTCTTGTAATACGTTCTCTGGATGTGAGTAACAAGACTGTTATTATTGCTTGATTAGAGGCTGCACCAATTTGTCTGTATCATGTGATTTGTACAGCGGTTGGTACGAATGCGAGACAGCAGCTGAGATACGATAAGCGCGAATGCTCTCCCGGTCTTCCCCGTGACGCGTTCGTCGAAAAACAAAAAGTTATACAAGTCCGCGAAAAAGAGAAAAACCTTTCCGATGATCTTATACACTTTAACACCTATCGTCAATCGATTCATTCGGGATCGGCAATCGAATAGCTTTGTCACGCCTCGTCGCGCCTACACACAGGTGTGACAAACGATCGTTGCCCACCACCGATCGCAGCGTGCAAAAATAAGTAAGGTTTTTAAAACTTCTTTTGTAGATATTCGTATACGAAGGGGCCCGCAACCTTTGGGAGAGAAGTCATTCTATTTGGACATAAAGAACCATGCCGTTGCGGCCAAGCTAGAGGCACAGATCAGGGAGTTGGGTGGTGTGAGTTGCATTTCATCTCCTTGCTTGCGCGATGCTGCGTTAGAACGGCCCGCAGCCCGGAGCCCGCGTTTCCCGCTTCGTTTCTCGCCGCTTATCGATTTGTCAGAGCGTTTTGGTGTATTTCGGGCGAGTGTGCGAGCCCCCCTCTCACTTTCTCTACCTGCCTCTTTCTCTCTTCTTCCCCTCCTCCCCCTCGGCCCGCTCGCCATCTCTCTCTCTCTCTCCCTCCCTCCCCCCTCTCTGTTCTTCTCTTCCCGCCATTTTCGATCACTATGCCTACGGCCGCTTCGACGTAACGCCCGCTCGCTCCCCTACAGAGAGCGCACACACGCACACACACATACATGTACGTACATAAACGTTCACGCGTGCGCGCACGAAAAAGGAAAAAAAATTCGAATCTCCATCTCTCGCGACCGATGCGCTCTCCGGCCATTCAAATCGACCTCGTTGCCACGCGATATTGCTTGTGAGTACGCGCGCGATTATCGAACTGCCGGAACACGGCAAACTCGGTCCCGAAAAATTCCGCTCGCGGACTGGGTCATCCGCTGATAAATTTGTCCTCTGATGGAAAACTAGATTTTGAGATCACGCATTCGTCGGTATCTTCGGCAACTGAAAGGAAGTCGTTTTATTCCTCTATTGTATATGTGCAGTAATAGAATTAATATTAATATAGATAATATATATTACGCCAAAGAATATTTATATTAAAGGAAACTGCCGGTAGACGATTGTTTTAACTTTGCTTCGAGAGATAATCGCGATTGCCGTTTTATTTTTGCTTCTATTTTGTAACTAGGTCGCAAGCCAATACGCAACGGCAATCTCCAATAGAAAAAAATACGTTTGTTATACCGAAGCTGCGCTATAATTTCTCCTCGGTTCGATACGTTCGATTGATTCCTCGCGATCCTGACGATGCTTCAATTCATACATACCATTTTTAAGACGTAGGTATATCAATTATATCATACGCGGGGTGTATTGCTACATAAATATTCTACCAAGATAAAAATTTCTCTTTCCACAAACGGTACCGAAACAGTTTTCCATAAAACATTAGCCTACTCGCGCCGCGCTCGTCCTCGATCATGTGATCCGCGCGAGTCGCGCTAAGTTGTCTCCAACCATCTCCCCAGTTCCCCCCGCTCTTCCTCCTTTTTTTTTCTTTTTCTCCGGAGGCGATGCTCGTCTTGCTCGGAAGGTTCGGAGCGCGCGGAGCTAGGAAAAAAAAGGGACAGACGATCCGACGCTCTCTCGGCTGACCCTCGCGGCTCGCAGACGTGACCGAGCGTTGCGCGCGAGGAAGCGGGTTTCCGTGCGTCCGCGCCGGCCGTGGTTCTTCTCGCCGCGCGAGGCCGCGTCGTTGCCACGCCGCGCCGCGCCGCGCGGGGGCTACGCCCTAAATTCGAGCCGCTCTCGGCAACGTTTGCGCCGCTTTAGCGACGACGAACGCGCGACGTATTCACCGTCTCGGGAGCCGCGCGCGCCTCGGCGGACGCGACCCCGATCGAACGATTTTTCTGTTGACAAACAATTCCCGCGGCGAGCCTCTCGCGTCCCGCGCCATCTTCAGAGCGGTCCGCGAAACTCGCGACTTCGAAAAGGGGCCGGGGGGAGGGGAAGGCGGAAGAAAAAAAAGAAAAGAAAAACCGGGAAGCGATATTGCGAGGCGAAAAATTTGCGCATCGCACCGGATGAAGGGTAGATAGTACGTTCCTGTATGCGGGCCGGTTATTTAGCGGCGTAATATCTGACAAATGAGTAGAAAATTCTCTTCGGAGATATTGGAAGGGAAAACTTGAAAAGTAGAGATTTCGCGGTTAATATAACACGCTCTAGAGACGCGCGACTAAATTTCGTGCGCGCTCTAAACGTGCCGGAATATTTTTTAATCGATACAACGATATGTTTCACTTGACATTACACATTTACGAGCTCCGTATCGGTTTTTTACTGCCTTAACTTTCAGCGGTTTAACCGGACGAACGAGCCAATTCCTCGCGGCGCGGAGCGGAAGGGCACGGATACAAAGTCGCCTCGCAACGAGGCCTATTAATAGAGCAGCTGTCAAACCGCGGCGTGCGTCGAATCGTCGTCGTTGAGCGGAGCAGAGCGGAGATCCGTCATTGCCGTCGCCGTCGTCGGTCGTCGTTATCTGTTGACAAACAAATCGCGAGCAACCGGCGCGCGTCGCGCCATCTGCACCCGCGCGCCGCGAGAAATTCATCTGCCGTACGGTGCGCGCGGGTGTGCGCGAAAATTTCGAAAAGCGGAGCTAGGGCGTGGGGGGGCGACGCGACGGCGACGGCATTGGCGGCGCGCCCGACGACGCGAACGGACGGGACGGGAGTCGCGCGCGTGTCCTCGCCGTCGACGTCGGGCGCGAGAGGAGCGGACGCGCGCGCCGTCTCCAGGCCCCCGTGCCAAGCTGCTAACGGCGAATAGCCATTTTGTGCGTGACAGTTGTCCGCCGCGGGGACCAGCAGTCGTAGCGAGCGCGAGTGGAGTCGCGTCGCGTCCCGTGTCCCGTGTCCCGTGGCTCATTCCGCCCGGCCGTGCTCCCGTCCTCTCCTCCTCGAACGTAGCTTTGTCGGGTCTCGTCGAGACGCGGCGTCTTCCCAACGTGCCTGGCGTAGGGTCGCGCCGCGATAATCGGCGAGCCGCCGCCGAAGCGAAGCGGAGCGGAGTGAAGCGGAGCAGAGAGCGGTCGGTCGCTTGACAGGCGGCGAACGCTCGTGACTTTCGAGGACGCGTCCTCGGTCCTCGCCCGACTCTCGGTCGCTACGCGTCGGATGCGCCTTCGTCGCCGCTCACGCCGGGGGCCGCCGCTCCACGTGTTGTCTCCTCGCGTCTACCTCCCGGTGCCTTGGACGAGGGACAGCTGGCGGCCGACGCGCCGCGTCGTATTATTAGAACAACGCTATGCGACCGGTGGCGGGTGGCGAGTCGCGGCGTCCGCTACATGAAGACCAGTCGTGACGGCACGCGCGCGCCTACCCGGCCGAATCGCCTTCCTCGGCGTAACGGTCGGCCTCCGTTGTCACCGTCACCGTCACCGCCGCGGACGCGGACGCGGACGCTCGAGGAAAGCCGCGAAATCACTTGACGTCAGCGTAACACGATGTGAGCCAACCCATCTCGGGCTCGCTCGCGCATCACACCAGCACACGTACGTGTGCACTGTTGGTACGTCGCGCGCGCGACGGCGACGTTTTGCTCGTTGCGCAAACGATAAACTTCCTCGAAAGTCGGACTGTCTCTGTCGCACGCACACTCGCGAAGGTCTCCTTTGTCCGCGTTGGAGAAGCTCGAGAAGCCCAGAGAGAAGCCCCGCGTTTCCCTCGGAAAGTATGCGATCTTGATATGTTGGTTGATCACTTGTGTCGTACGCTTGTGTGTGTGCTCACCTCTCTGCTTTTTGCCAGCTTTGCATTTTTTTCCCCTTGTCCGACCGTTCTTTCAACTTGCTGTCCTTTGTTTCTAGGAGGTCGAATTGTTTCTAGTGCGCAGTGTGAATCTTGTAGCCAGTGATAGAGTAGATAAGGCAGGTCACACAAACTTCGAGGTACATAGATGGGCTTGCGGCGTCAGTGGTGGCAGTGGAGGACCTCGCTCCCTGAAAAGCGTCGAAGTCCCGACTCCTACACCCCCGACGCCGTTATTGAGTTCTGAATGCCCCTCGTCCAATTCTACTCTGCGGGGTCAAACTACCCAAAGATCTGTAAGTAGGAAAGATGAAATGGAACGAGTTGTGTCAAGCTTACAATGTATCACATAGAAACTGTGTTCGGTGCTGTTAATATCGCGATTAAGAAATCAATGTTATTATCTATCGCTTTGTTCCTGTGCATCCTCTCGATATTCCCTTATCTTTTGTGAAAGAAAAAAAATTTATGTAACGTAAAATTTTCCGGTATAGTAGATTTGCAAATCGGTAACACGACAGTACGATAATTTCGAAATTGTTTTATGTATCCAACTCAATAGAAATCGCGGGTGGATGCAATGTTGGAACGTGCTCTGACGCAACCACAACAGTGTTTCGTGGATCCGCTAAACAACGCCCACAGTTGGGGAATTCCTATCTGGACGACGGATAAGTTTCAGACTTGGCTCGACAAGATCTATGAATCTATCAAGAATACTTCTAACTTGAAACAAATCAATCAACATAGCTCGACGAAAGTCAAGCATTTGAAAAGACCATACGTGAAATTTGACTCTATCCACAGGTAATCGTCGTTAGTGATGTTACGCAGCATTTTAATTTTGCGTATATCTGTCCACTTGTGAAATTATCTCCCATGTTACGTTCCTATTTATAGAGCTGCCAGACCAGTGTTCCTGGAATTATCATCGTGGCCCACGTTAAACTTCGACGGTGATCCTGGTTCGTGTCCTTTCGACGCAAAGAAGCAGGAGAAACGAGAAAGCAAATTGACGAACAAAGAGGTCAAGGAGAATAAGAGGGATATTGAATCTATAAATAAAGCGGAGGTGCATCATTCGCTACTATATAAAACATAGCATATTGATGATAAGCAAGTAAAAATATTTAATTGAATTTCTACGTTAAGAAGGTCATGGGCAATTTTTTTTCGAATGGACAGGGTAAAGAAATGACTCGGAGACCCCGTGCCACCGCTGCACGTGCCCGCAGAACGGAACAGCTGGTCGCTGGCTATTGCGAAATTTGTCGTGTTCATTATGACGATTTGTCGAAGCATGTGCAAAGCGAGCAGCATCTGAACTTTGTGGGGAACGACGACAATTTTTTGTCATTGGATACATTGATCAACGGAGGCGCCAACGTGGAGGCGTTCTTAAAATTAAACAGATCAAATATTGAGTAAGTATCCGAAAATAAAATTTTATACATAATTCTCTTCTTTAATTTCATTGATATTTAATATTTGTTGAATATAGAAATTATCCATGTTCGTGTCGATCGATATGTAAAAAATTATCGTTAGCATTTCGCCCATTTGCCAATTCGATTTATTTCTATCCGTTGTTTCGTAGGAAAGACTGTGACTTATTCCCCAATGGAGATGGCAATCTTCATAACGTAGTACTGCCCGAGGAGAAAGTTAACAAGAACACCAAGACTTTAAGTAACTATACTGTTGAGGATATAAAAATGGTGAATGGTGCGCGCAGGAACCTTAATCTAAAGTTAAGCTCGCCGCATAATCTGCGTACTCGTACGAAACACGAGAGCGGGCATCTCCTCAGGTCAAAGGGCAGTCCGTGGCACGAAGTCGACAAGAGTGATAAATTGTATGACAAATTGGATGGTTTTACCATCAAGAAGCGCTCGAAAGGTACTATCTGGATCGAGGAGGATGACCCGGACGAGAAATACACGGAGGATATCCTGAAGGGACCCAAGCAGGAAGACTACAAACTCAGACCTTTCGCGAACAATATCGAGTTTTACAACAGTAAGGAAGATAATATCAATAATAAGCACAGTAATCTGGATCCACCAAAGTTGCAATCGATGATCGTACATAGAAATGCGCAAAATGGTATTATAAATTCGCGTCACATATCGGAGGATCCAGATTATCTCAATAACAAGAACGAATGTAACGGTGATGAAAACGCGGGTATTTTAGAGTGTGCGGTAAAAGAAGTCGACGTAGTCGACAATAGTTACATTGTGGGAAGTTGCAAAGACGATCCGTTTCAGAGAGACAATTGTGCGTTGCAAGCGGACAAGGTGACGATAGACCCGAGAAAATTTTCGTTGAGTGATGCGAACGAGATCATTTGCAACGGGCATAACGACAAGAGTGAACAGAGGGACTTGAAAGTGTCGCAAGGAGAGAATACTCGGCACGTGAAGCCTAAGCATCCGCGCGTGAATCGGAGGGGCGGCAGAAGTATTAGAGGTCGATATCGACATCGACTATCGGTGGAAGAACGTTTGATAGAGGACAATCGTGCCTACTACAAAGTGGAAGTGTTGGGCAATAAGCTGCGATCAAGTGCGGTGCCAGGCGGCAATTCGCAGCACGCGGCATCGAAAGATGGCGAGGACGAGGAGAAGAAGGAGGCTCCGTCGAACGAGAAGCCAGTGGTAGTGCGGTTTAAACGCGTGAGGAAATCGGAATTGTCGTTGTTGAGCGACGAGGCGGAGTCCTTTATGTTCGGCGAGCCAAAACGAGACGATTCCAGCGAGCAAACCAGTGATGGTGAGCAAAGTAGTGTGCTGCCCAGAGAGACGGACAGCGAGGCCAACGAGAATGTCAATTCATCCATGTCACCGAATTCGTCGTTAAATTCCAGTCCCATTAAGCAGGAGATTATCGAAGAGGACTCGCAGGATTCCGTGCACCTGGGCAGAGCAAGGAAGAGAAGACGTACACAGGCCGAAGCGTTCATCAAGGACAATACCGACTACTACAAGTTCGAGACGCCTGGCAGCAGGCTAAGGTACCAGGCTCCATTGACCGGTATCAAGGACACTGCCGTGGATGGCGGTAGGGAACACGGAACGACGAAGAAATCAGCACATGAACCGGAAGATTGCAAGCTGCAAGCCGAAAACGTTGTCGAGAAAATTTATCCGTCCAAGCCGTCGGCAGAGATCGAGAAGATGCAGTTTTCCTTCGAGTCGGTACCTAAGTCCGAGCCGTGGTATCAAACGTATCAACGTCAGGACACGGGCGCCGAGTTTTGGCATTGCTTTAGCGAGTGCGACGCGATGAAGCCTTTTCTCCTGCCGTACGAGATCGAGAACTTCCATGAGACGCTGTTGAAGGCACAGAGCAGAATCGACAGCGGCAGGAGAAGAGGCCGCGGTCGCGGCGTAGGTTCCATGGGACGTTCGCCAAGGAAGAGCCCGCGTTGTCACGCGTCCACGTTAGCTATTATGTCCACCATAATCCGCAAAAGGGAACAACAGTCGTCGACTCTACCTACGATAGAAGAGTCGCCGCCCGTCAAATCGCGCGTGAACACCCCCAAGCTCGAACAAAAGCCAGATCTCAAATTGGACGTGGACGAGGAGATAAAAGAGATGGCGAAGACGATCGATGAGATGTTAAGCACAAAAAATATGGCCGAGTTGGACGATTCGTTTGAGCCCGATTTGGATTTGGCGCAGGATGGTTTTTGTGATACGAACTTGCCGAAGGGCGCACCACCGAATCTATTGGAGTTGCTCGACAACTGTCAGGACATCACCAACTGTCTGGAGAACAACTCGTCGTGCGCTAGTTCGGAATGTGGTGAGGCAAGCACGGACATTCCTCTGAAACGACGGAAACGAAGAAAAAATCGGACCGGCTGGCCAGTTGGTAACAAGATGAAGAAAAAAATACAAGCAAACAGCAAGATCTTGGCGGACTGCGACCGGGAATCGTTGGCGGAGAAGAGACCCTATTCTGATGGCGGTTTTGCCGGACGTCGCACGCTGGATACGGCCACCAGATTGGAGGGAGCTGATTCTCAGGCGTCGAACATCACGTTGCCGACGGCTGCAGAACGACTGGGTGTCAATCAGAAAAGCAACGATGACGCTTCGTTGGAAACCTGCACCACGTCTCACAAATCGTATCCCGAGGCGCCCGGGAAGAGAAACAGAAGCATAGAGGCTACCAGCAATGACAACACGGGCCTATCAGTGTGTACGGATAACTACATAGAGTCCGTCTCGGAAAATGCGTGCGACGATGGGACGAATAAGACTCATCTGTCGAACAAAGATTATCCATGTAAAAAATCTCCTCTGTCGGAGATTGAGGAGGTCATGGAGAACGATACGGGCAACGATGAGAATCACGAGAACCAGAAGAACCTGTTCGGCAGGAAAGATGTCAACGCGATCGCCGAGAACTTGGTCGCGAAGTCATCGCCCATCAGGAAGCAACGGCAGCGCGACGTCACCGTCACCAACGCCGATGGCTGCGAGCCGCGGGACACGGAAATCGAGAATCAGAATAATGTACAGTTGCAGTGTAAAAAGGAGGAGACCGGTATAGTTCCTAAGAAACACCACAATTCTAGTTCCGAGTTATCGCCGAAGCGGCAGCTGCGCGGTGGCAACTGCGAGGAGAACTCGTCCGACACGGGGGAATTGTTGAAACGTCGTCACAGTATAATGTTCGCCGCGACGAGGCGCGGTCGGATAGGCTCGCGGAAACGGATCTACTCGAGAAAACGTCAACCGAGAACGGCCGTTACCCGCAACAACGTTAATCTATCGTCGCCTGATCGCGTCGGGATGATATACGAGGTCGAGAATTGTAAAAAGGATGCCTACTTGAGTATTACGCCGTGTAACAAGAAACAGCCACCAGGTTCCGGGGTGCGCGGCAGCGTGAAGCGCAAAAGCGAAGCCATCTCGTCGTCGGACAACATCCAGGAGTCGTCCGATCCGACGATAGACCACGTGTCGGAACGCGTCAGTCCGTCGATAATATCGTCCACCGAGCTCGAGCAGCGTCGTTCGAGCATCGAGTTCCAGCCGGTCGTACGGATGATGAAGCTCGACGATCAGGTGGACATGGATCACAATATATTGTCGACAGTGACGGTGGCGAGCAACCGGCGGTTGAGAAGTTCCGGCGGCTCGCCGCGATCGAACCCCAAACCGCCGAGGAAACGCGTCAAGTCCGGCCGCGGACATTTCGGCCGGTGGTTGAAGAGCAGCTGAAAACCTGGAGAACGGAGACGCGGAAGAAAGAGGCTGCACTTCGGCTTAGATTTCAACGATGGTGGTCAGTTATCGATCTCGCGATCCGATATCCCATTCCGCCACAGTGTACATTGTGTATAAAAATATTATTTGTGTACGTAGAATAGTATTTAACATCATAGTATTATACATACATATATATAGGTATATCTTTCTCTCTCTTTAGTGATACCATTCTACTTAGTAACGTTCTTTCAGGTGGTTAGTTTTAACACTCCCCACCCGGTATGTCCCACTGTGTACATTCTTTAGATACGGTCGTTGTGTTCTCAGAGACGGAGCAGTTACATCTTTTTTTTACTAGTACCATGTCGTTCCTCATTTTTTTATTTCTTTTTTCTCTTCCGTCATATTATGTAAACGAAAATTGTGTATCATTTTTAATAACAGTCGTTTCATTCAGATCACGATTAAGGATTATATTTCTATTTAGAGTATATTACATTTTAGAGTACGCAAGACTGCATACAGCTTTATAACATTGTAATCACATACATACCACACATACACATACATACAGAAACACATACACATTTCTGTTACATTGTGTATATTATTGAAGGTAATAATCTTTATTTTCGATTCCCCAGTATATCCAAATACATTATTTCAAGCAGAATTGCTGTAAGTCGCTCATGAGTTCAGAAAGAGAAATTATTATTAAAGATATGCAAATTTTCCATTAAAAATCATTTTATTGCACCTCCTTGTAATCCCAAATAATCTTCCTTAGATTAAATTACCAATAAGTTCAACTAACTCTGGTCTAATTTTAGATTGTTTTTTATCTTAATTATAATTTCAGAGACCAATTAACCAGCTAATAAAAATTATTAGTCCTAAAGTAAAACGGAGCTTTTGTACTTCTGGAAAACGATCAAGTATCTCACAATCTAAATTCATTGACTTTGATGGATTTAATTGGTTAGCATTAATAAGTCTCTTGTCTGGCTTGTGTATAAATTTTATTTACTTCTAAAACTAAAATCAGGTTAGAATGTAAATTCTAAAGGTAATTTACACGAAACAACTTGCGTCACGTCAAGCCTTCGCGTTCGCGAAACGCTTTCTTCATTTCGTTCAGTTTCCTTCTTTTGTAGTCTTGTCGCGTCTGCTGCTTTTCCTCGAGGGCACGTATCTGCGCCTCGACGGAGCGCTCTTTGTTCAGCAAGTTGTCAAGTTTTGTCACCAGGAGTTCGCGCGCACGTTTCTTATTGTCCCACTGGCTCCTCGTCTCGTGGCATCTGACAACGAGCCCCGTGGGCTTGTGCTTCAATAAGACCGCGTTGTTCGTCTTGTTCGTCGCCTGGCCACCCGGACCGCTGCCGCGGATGAACTGCTCCTCAAGGTCAGCCTCATCCAGCTTGGGAACGTTCGAGTAATCGAGATAACGCTTGAACGACTTATTGCGAACTTGTACGCTTTCACAATTAATCGCGACACCTAAGGACTGAAGGAACTTGTCGCGGCTGCCCAACGAACAAATGCCATTGTGGATTTTTAAACACGTCAACACGGACCTCGCTGACATGACTCTTCCTTTGTCTTCATAAGTCTTTTGGTGCAGCAAAATGATATCTATACCACTTTCCTAGCTTCCAAGAGTTTCATACCCTTCTGAAAGGAGAAATAAAGAGATTTTTTAGTCCTAAATGATCAACAGGGAACTTTTAAGAGATTACATAACGCCATACATAATGCAATCAAAATTTAAACACTGGAAAAGAAATTAGGCGTTATAAATATATATGACATTTAATTTTTCTTTTTCTAGTTTTAAATTTAGATTACATATACACGTAAATATATATGTATAATAAAAATATAATCTTTAATATGCAGATAAGGTAGATTACATAAACGTAACAAAGAAAAATTAATCTCGCTCTTATATGCCGAATACAATTCCATGAATTTTAACTTTTCTTCAGATTAACGTAGCGCCTTCAACCTCTCTTCGGAATCCGGAATTATTTAACACGTAGTACACTTAAAATAAATATTGAAACCACAGTTTATAGGTTAGAAACAATGAGAGGTTATAAGCGGTACGCTACTCGCATTTCGATACGCAGCGTGATTACCTTCAATTGGAAGTCTATCGTCGCTTCGTCGGACAGATTTTTGTTATTCCTAAAAGCCGTCTGGATCCTGTAGCGAAAATACTTCTTATTTGTGAGCCTCAAAGTTTCGCCGTATCTCAGAATGTCCTTGTAAAGTCTTAGGACGGCTTGTCGGCTCATCGCGACTTGTCGGAATCAACTGAATTGACTGGATGACTGGACATATATCCAAAATAAGATATTATTATCGCGTTTTGAATCGATTCGCATAATGCTAGAAATATACCGTTTTTCACGCCACGCGGACCACGCAGGGATATTGCACGGCAGTTGAGAACATGCGCGGCACTGGTGATAGTGGTGATACGCGGTGACATTGACGAGCTGGCGTTTTTTTTTTTTTTCCATTATAGATCAGCTGACGGGAGTATTTAAAGGGCCATCTACAATGAGTCGCAGTCGCAAGAGTCGTAAGAAATTGACCAATCACAGTTCATTATTCTTCGACCGCAAGGAGAATAATGAACTGTGATTGGTCAATTTCTTACGACTCTTACAACTGCGACTCATTGGCCGCGTTCAGCAGACACAACTGTTGAGTGTCGTCTTATCAACACGCTACGTTGATTTGTTGGGTCTAAAAGTAAGAGCCAATCACGTTCGATTGCTACTGAGCAGTTTGTTCTGCTGATTCAAGCAAGGCGTGCAAGCACTGCAAGCTCTATTGGTTTTATTTCAACGACAGATTGTCCTAATAATATTAAGTTCACTCCTTTTTATAAAGGAACTTGAGAAAAGGGAGGATCATTGTTTCGCATAATTACTTAATATACAATTTATTAGATCCTGATAATAGTGATAATTATTAGTTAAAATTAAAATTCTAAATTTAATTTTATATGACCAAATTTCTTGAAAGCAGATTTTGCAAAGTGTCTACTATAAATTTTGTCTGTAAAATGACAGCAAAAATATAATCAAAGTATGATGGTTGACTGTAAAACCCGAGCAAAATCTGTCAGTCTATAATATATTCTATTTAAACGGTTATGAAATAACAGATCTTGTCTGGTTTCTACTGTTAATCTGCTATCAGATTATGTTAATAAGTTCTACCGGTAAAATACATGCTTGCTGAAATATTCCATTTGAATCTGTAGGCAAACTGCTACCATATTGTTAACATTTTGCTCACTGTGAATGCTGTGATTCAAGTAGATTTATTGAACTGAAATGCATGGATATATAATGCTCATATTTACATTTCAGTGGATGTCAGAAAAAAATACTTGCTTATTTCTATCGCTCGGTGGAAAGAAAGACAATTTAAAAAGTCATAATATTATATTTCCAAAATTAGACATTTTTAGTATAAAATCTCTCAAATTTGAAATCCCTATACAATTTTTTTTATGCATTTCTCAGGTTTGACAGAGGAGCAGCCTCAAATAACGTTAGAATTCTTGGAATTCTAACTCGAAAAGCTTCTGTATGACGTCATCTATTTGCAGCTCCTTTGCGATCTCCGTTATCAATTCATCTACGAGCTTATCAGATATCCTGTAGACACATTGTAAACACATTTACAGGATAAAATTCTCAACATAAAAATGGTTATTATTATATTTACCAAGCAACAATGTCCCATGGTTTATTTTGCGTATTGCTAGAGTACATTGGAATCGATTGCATCGATCGTTGATATTCCTGCCTATATTTCAAAAAACTCATCTCTATTTCCTCGGAAACAACAAGCTCGATGTTATTCAGCGAGTCTGCCATAAGTTTTCCTTCTTTTACCTATTGCATTCATATAATCAACATAACAATGTTACATTTGAGTTTCAAGATATCTTTAACCATTTTTCAGTGTTTATTTATAACTTACTTTTGTCTCAAAATCCGGCAATTCCACTAAGCTCTCGTAATCCGCTTGACACGACGCATCACAATAACGAGGTACTTTTGATGCATTTTCTATCGACGACACACAAATCAATTGCATATTCTCGCCATTTTTCCGCATCTCCGTTAAAGTTCTTTAAGACAAAATAATAAATTGAATCTCATTTCTTTAGCTATCAAAAGTAAAAAATAAGGAAAAGTGTATTTATAAAATGTAACGTGAATCACACACATTCGTACCTGTTTGTTTTAAGACATTCACATTCACTGCCGCCTGAATAACATATATCGCAGCTCGTGCTTGTGTTTATTTTTGCATTCATGCTCTTAGGCAATTGATATTTCTGCAGGAATTTCATCAATGTATTCGTACTAGTTTTAGAATAAGCTGGCCTCGTTTCTGATTCATTTTGCTACATGTAAATTTGCAACGCTTACGATAAAATCGAATTAGAGATAAATTAGAGATAACTGAATAGTCTCATCTTTTAAAAAAGATAATTTAGACAGCATCGCGCTGCAGTTCACCTTATTAGAAATAAAAGACATGAAATCTGCTATCACCGGCACCAAATTAGATAAATGATCCTCTGTAATCGCCGTCTCTCTTTCGTCGTCATTATTTGTGGAAGTATTCTTAACAATATTTTCTATAGTTTCTAATTGCTTTCGATTCTGCAACTTGCCAGAACCCTTTCTCGGCACTTTACATATTCTCCTAGTGAGCATTGCATTATTATGCCTTTCTTGCGTTTCGAAATTGTTGCCCTGTAAAGTAGAACAAAGTATTTCAACTTTAATGTTACAAAAAATCTGTCCCATATTGTTGCAATAAATCCTTTACATCTGAGTCTATAGGTAATATATCCATCATGGTCTTTATATCCTCCTCTTTTGCGAACGTCCTATGTTTTCTAATGCCAGTCTGACCTGTATCCTTAGATGGTGTTATAGGACTAGGATATGACTGATCCGTTATTAGCTCGTTAGAGACTCTCTTAACATTTATTGCATTATACCTTTTATCTTTTTGATGATAATCTAAAAGTTAATGCACATAGTGTATAAGCTAAAATATTGCAAATAATATACATCAAACTTGATAGTATATAAAATGATTTTACATACTTGTCTTGGGTTTTGAAATATTTTTGGAAACTTTGGTGTCCATGCTGTACATGCTTAACCGATTAGATAATTGTTTGCGATTGAGTCGCTTTTTATTTGTCGAGTTTGGAGTGAAGGATGCCATTGAGGGAGTTTTGTTAGTATCGGGCAAGTCGTTATTCGCATGGACTTTCAAATTTGACAAAACGGTATTGCATTTGCTTTCAATCTCCTTCCCCTGCGAACAAAGAAGCAACTTTTAAGCAAATTCAATTCTAATGTTTCTTTCATTTTTGTAATTTTGTTATCAATCATCAGTTAGCATAAATTCATATTAATAGCGTAAACATAACGTTACCAGCGACAAAACATCAGTGTCCCCCGAATCAAAATAATTTAAGTGGAGCCTATCACACATAGTCTTCAGATCGAGAACTACTTGCAATATCTCTCTAAGCTTTCCAGGCTGTCCCTTGGGAATACAGCTGGGAATGTGTTTGCAATAGGCGACCAATGCGTGCAGCAACAATTGATGAGCGGCAAGAAGTTTGTGCTCAATGGCATGCATGTGCAGTCCCAGATTTCTATGATTCGGCCTTATTATCGCACGCGGCGAGATAACGCACATATGCCTCTGGATATCCTTGACGTATCTATTAAGATCGTACAGATAGTTCCTCGAGAATCGTACGGCAAATTCGGCGACGCACTGCTGCCGTCTCTGAAGGTCCTTGATCCCGTCCGGCGCAGAGATGTTTCCCAATCTGAACGTGATTTCGTCCAGTACGTCGCAGACCCTTCTCTGCATCGTCAAGATCTTGTGCATGGTGAACGGATCTGGTCGTACGTAAATGACTCCATTCGCGACGTCGTCGCGGCGCGCGCTGCTTTCAGGACTGGAATTGTATTCGACACCGTTACTCGCATGGTGCAGCTGCCTCGAAGGTTGCCTCTTTCGCGATATTGCGTGACCGGAACGAGACTTTCTGGCGTACGACTTGAAGTCCTCGGGCTCATGCCTTCTTTTATAAGCTGGAGCGTTATTCTCTTCGGGAATCGTAAGCAGCAACGTGGTGCTACCTGTCCCGGTATCTTTCATAATCGGCACTTTCTTTGAAGCCGAGTCCCTGATATTATTTACCTATTATTATGTGAGCTTTAGCGATCTAATCAATGTAACCTCATGATACTATTTTCATAGAAAATTTGCTTACCTTCAGCTTTTTTTTCTGATTGTTTCCAGTCTTATTACTATACTTTTTCCTTATTTCGTCAGGCAAAATGTCCATCTCCAATTTTTTAAGTTCTTTATCCGCTTCCCTCATACCTTCATCCAATAGCTGTTTGATACTCTGAACAGAGGACTGAATGCCATTTTTGTCGTAGCCATTCAGCTCTTGTTGCCTGACGAAAGATGCCCATACGCTTTCCTCCTCCTCCCGACATCTCTGTCTGCGTACGTCCTTTACTATGTACTTGAAACGATTTGTAGGCACATACTGTAATAGAAAAAAAATAAGATAAGTGTCTTGTTTCGTATTGTTTAAATCAGATGACAGATAGTTGATACCAGTTGATATTCTATTCAAGTCTGTGAACTGCTCAAAGTGCTAATAAAATTCGAAATAGATTTTGCAAAGTGTGTACTACAAATTTTGTTGACACAATGTCAATAGAAATGTAATAAAAAGATGTTGATAGAACGTGATGGCAGATTAACTGCAGAAACGAGCATATCCATCATTCCATAATCATTTATAGTATATATTGTTACTAGATGACAGATTCTACTTGGTTTCTGTTAGCAGTCTGCTGTCAGATTACGTCAGCAGACTTTGCCAGGAAAACGTGAGCGGACGCAGCTGATACCAATGAAATCTATCGCATCTACCCGAATCTGCAGGCGAACCGCGGCGCTAACATTTCGCACATTCCTTGGAAGGGATATGCACGCGGAATGAAACATTACGTGAACTGTCTCGAGATTCCGCGGAATCTACCTTAAAGTTAAAATCATCGTTTTCATTTCCAGAAAGGAACGGATCCTCCGTCACGTCGTCGCTCAGGTGCAGGACGGTTTCCGCGGGATTCAAGAGGAGCGACATCCTATTCCTTGGTTATGTCCGGTATTTCGAGGGGTGCGCGTTCATTCGCGTCCCCTCGGCCGTGCCATAAACGACGGATATCAAAGAGGGGGGAAGTACGATCTTGAAAAACGGGACGCGTGGCACGACCCTCGTTTGCATGGGAACGCGGTGGACGGACTTGGGTCGACTTGGGAATACGAGCTTCTTGTCCGGATTGTATAGTGTATAGGCTGAAATTGGCGCGACACGAAAAATCGATATCTCTCCCTTGTTGGATTCTCTCAATCCCCCCCCCCCCCCCCCAATGGTTCAAGGCCGTTCCAACGATATTAAATTCGATCGATTCCCCCGCGATGAAGCGTTTCGCGGACGGAAATCCGGATCGAGGACGGGAACGCTGAATCGCTATATATTGTATTGTTCGCGTTTCGTCATGCGGAGCGTTTCTTCGAGCGTTTTTCCAGACGCGCCAAATTTTTTTAATCCATTCGATCGATGGAAGAAAAAAAAATTCGAATTCGAATTTCAAACTAAAATCTCGCGGTGGAAAACGATTTCGGGAAGAAAGAATATCGTCGCTATTCTTTTTCTCCGCATACGCGGAACGACGGTCGACGAGGCGAAGGGCGAAGGGCGAAGGGTCGGGTTTTTGTCAGCTGCGCGATTGGGAGCGCGCCGGCTACGTGAGATACGATCGGGAAAAGGCGTGGGCGCGGCCACGCGCCGCGGATCAATACTCGCGGCGTCTCGGCGGCACGGGTTAACCCGCGGCGAACGGGGTGTAATCGCCAGCGGTGCTCAACGCGCGGCCTCCTCGACCGACCTCGACGCGAAACGGCTTTCCGTGCGTTCCGCCCACGCCGGGCCGACGCACCGCGTCGCTCGCTTCGATTAATTACTCATCCCGCTCAATTTAGGCAAGTCCGATTCATCGCGGGCGAGAAATGGCCTCCGCGGCGCGCGTATACAGGAAATGCTGCGCCGCTGGGAAGCGGCGGAGCACCTCTGCGAGAGGCGGCGGACTCGCCGATCGTGAAAAACGCGCGAGATTCGAACGGCGACGTGGAATCGCGGTCGAAATCGGTCTCGCGGTTCGCCTTGGCGACGCGTAAACGCGGATGGAAGGTGAAATGGCGCGTCGGCCGGTCGACCTTTCCGAATTGCCGCGTCTGTCGCGTTCGCGGAAAGAACGATCGCTTAACGATCGCTACACGACGGTCGCTACACGTCGCGGATCGTTCGAGTCCCGCGGCTCGGGGTTGCGTCACGCTCGAACGTCGCCGGCCAATCGGCGCGCGCGCGCGGCGCGGCGCGATGACGTCACGCTGCGCGCGCAGGACGTTCTCATTCAACCCTCGGACCTCGCTGCGCTGCGCTGCGCTCCGCGACTCATCCGCTCCGCTTCTCGTCCTGCGAACTCCCTCTCGCCGCGAGCTCGAGGGTGCTCGGTAAGGCCGCCCGATAATTTTCTCACTTCGTTACGCGTTTAACGAATAGATAAGCCTTCGCGCGACGTGTCGGTCGAGCCTCGTTAATTTGTTTCCCGCGATCGTTTCTCGGCAACATTTATATAGACTCCCCCATGGCGTTGCGAGATCCGAAAGAAGTGTTTTCAAATCCTACGATTATCGTTCGTGTTCTTTTTTTATCCATAACGCTCGCGTAAAGAAAAATACGCTTTGGCGATTCGTGTTGATTTTGCGGCGCGTTCGATCCACGAAACCAAGTCGCTGAACAGTGACGTGTTCGATTGATTGACGCTATTGCGTTTCTAAGTTTCTTCGCTCGTTCGGTTCCGTCCACCACTTGCTTTCACGAGTGTAAAACAAATAATTAAATAGCTCCTGGATCGACGTTCTCAAGAAACTGTATAAATGTCCCTGTGATCAAGTGTGAAGTGGATCCTTCGCGACTCTTGCGATACTTAGATTCTCGTATTTATAAGAGAGTGATACTAATTGTGAAATTATGCATTTTCCACACAGGTTGCTAGAACACTTGAGGAAGCTTTATTCGCGCTAACAAACTCAAGTCGCAACTGTGTAGTTTGAGTGCGTGTCTTAGATCACTGGTAAAGGTATAACGGATATCATAAAAAATAGGCGAGGGCAAAGCCAGGATACTGACGACTAACTTCTAACTGGTATCAACCGACAACTTCAGGATGACATCTAAAGTGCTAATGAAACTACCAACAGTGCCCTTCCCTCAAGTGAGTATACGCTCGTCTTCTCATTAAACGTTAAGTTACCATTCAGAAAAAATGCTGTTTAATTTGATTAAAGTATATTTTAATCAAGACATTGACCTAGCTTTGATCAATGTCTGTTATCTTTTCAATGTAGAAAGTACATAATAAAATTCACTGATGAGATTACTTGTTCGATTATTTATTTGTTTGAGTATAAGAGAGAAAGGCTCCAAGTTTTAAGATTCGAGTTTTGTATGCTCTTTTATTACAAGAGAGAAAAACTTTAAATTTTTAATAAGCCTTTGTTCGTATAAAAGGGGAAGAAAGCACCACCCGACTTGGTCTCCTTGCCCGAAAGAAACGATGGATTCGCACACGTCAGGCATCAAAGCTTGAACGTGGACAGAGTAATGCAACTGGAGCAGAACATGAAGTTTCTACAAGAACAACATCAGGCAACTTTGGTCGCTTTACATCAGGAGATAGAATGCCTGCGTCAGAGAAATAGAGGTAACAGATAATTATATTGGTTCTCCTCAAGTATTTTGCCTCTAATCTGTTTTATAAACGTTTACAGATCTGCAATTTCAATTAGTATTTTCTAAAAGAGCACACTATGGTGTGGCTAGTAGTCCTTCTTCGCCCGAAGATAATGGAAATGGGTTTGCGAAATCAAAGGTAACGCGATACCGTTATTGATCATTTGATAATACCTGTGTCTTTTGATGGATACCTCGAGCATCTAAAAGTTTGAATCCTGAATTTACAGGGTAGCCCAATATGTGTCAATGTAACACCTTTGCAAGTGGAGCTTCTGGAGAAAGACTTGCAAGATATTAAGGTGTCGTTACAAGAGGCGAAAACACATAACCAGTACTTGTCGAACATTATAGAGCAGCAAAAAAAGTCAGTTGTTTTACACGAAAGTATATCATATGGGCCGTGTCGTGACAGTAGGCTAACGTTTCTTTCTTTTATTTTGCAGGAGATTGGACATAACGGAAGACCAGAGAAACAAAGTTGAAGTGGCGGACGTGGGAATTCAAGTCGGAGATCCCGTGCAAGCGAGCCTAGTTGTGCTTTTGGAGGAATCGTATGCGATGGTGAAACGGTTGCACAAGGAGAATATGGATCAAAAGAAGGAGATAGCCTCGTTAAAGGCGGCTTCCTCGGCAAACTACGCTGGTACTAGCAGAAACGGACGTTCCCGCGACGGTAATAATTCCCATTACAATCGTGGTTCGCCTACGAGTACGACGCAGGAACAGACGTCTCGTAAATTTCCACCGTTACCAGTACCGAGCTACTGGCATCGTAGATCACCGAGGTATAGCTAATAGAATTCTATCATCTATATCTATAAACTTGTAAATTCATCATAAAAGACATATTTGAAAAGTCTAAGCAGTCATTTAAAATCTACATGCGAATTATTACAGGTACAGCACGAATCGACACGAGAAGCAAGACCACCAGGCAGATACGGACTCGACCGTTTTGCCGCAACTCCAGAACGGCAGCGTGAAGTCAGCGGAAGCGGCCAGTTTCGAATCGCCGTCTTATCGATCGCGCGAGTACCGCAATTACGGCCGCGACGGCAACAATCGTAAATACAGAGGTCAGGCGTCGCGAAGAGACAGCAATCATTATTACCATTCTCGCGAATTTAAAGACAGAAATTCCAAGGATCATCCGAGAGACATGAACGACACTGGTGAGGGCTCGAAAGACGCGGTTAATCCTCGAAGACAGTAGATCGCGATACACGTTGCCGATGCGTAAAGATAGTGCGATCTGGCAAGGTTTATAGTCCTCTGGGACTATAACGCATTGAGATTTTAAACACATGAGAATTTCGATACTATACCAACTATAAGACTTATCGTTAACGAGTGATCAATGTTCTCTTCACTGGTGCTGATCGATCACGAGTCTCATGCATATATAGCATGCAATAGGATAGCGACGACGAATGGGTATAAACTGTACGATTTTCGATGGAACAATCTAGTTTATATTCTAATTTTAATTGTTATAGGCTGCCATAAAGGGATGTAGGAACTTGCGCTTTGTAGATTGACGATAATCAGCAGAGTGTTTAGCGGAAGACTTTTTGCTAGACAAGAAGACTTTTTTTCTTCCTACACACAGAAACGAGAGAAAATGAGTACGACCAAGGGCTCACTATAAGTGCTAGCTTTTTGGCTGATGCTCGTAACTTCACAGACTTGAGCTTAATATGCGTGCAATAATCCGATATGCTGTCGACGCATGTGTGTACGTGTATTAAACTTTTAATCGATAATGAAGCATTAAAGAGTCGCTTCTGAGAGTCAAATCTAGTCATTTTCACGTATTCTATTGAGACAACAAATCGTTGAACGATTTAGCATTATATACACATAGATATATAATACATATACAAATATATATACATATACATATAAATATGTATATATATATTTATATTTTTTATTGGTTTTATGTGTATCTATATTGTTAATGTATTTGTTACGTACAATGCATTATATTTCATCAAAGTAAAGTCAAGTTATATTTTATTTTGATCTTGCGATAATATTATACACACAACCTGATTGTCTTGTAAAAATATGCACGAATCTATTGCATTTGATTATTCTCCTCTTCGACAAGTTTCTTTATTTTTTCTTTGACTATTTTCAACTACGAAACATTTAAAGATTATTGGACTTGTCTACATTAGGCAAGAATTTTCGTAATTTCTACTTATAACCGAGTCTTGAATTTTAAAAATAGCAGAATGTATGTAGTATTGTTAAATTTATTCATTTTAGAAAAATTCGCGGATACCCTGCGGAATAACATGGAAAAAATTTGCCACATTAATCGGATTATAATACAGAAGTGTACTTTATAATTACGTAAAATCTTGTACGCTTATGAATGGATGAATTATCAAAATAATATAATATCATAACAATCATGTGCGTAATTTAATTTTTTGAAAAACCATCTTCCACGATTATTCTATATATTCCATATATATTAAATAAATCTTGGCTTATCGTAATCTTTTCATTTATCGTCACCATTATTTCAAAATATTTTACTTAATTCTGCGCTACATACACATCTATATTTGTTTTAAGATGTAAAATTTCAATGCTTCAAATATATTATTACAATCATAAATTATTTCGTCAAGTTAATTTGTCTTTCTTGTCTTAAACACGTTACGTGACAGAAAACAGAAAGATTTCGCTTTTCAGAAAAAGTTTATTATAAAATATACCTTAGTTAAGTACATATTCAACACTACATACGTGAACAATCTCTGTAACAACTACAGACGCGGCCGAGAATTGCTAACGTAAAAAGAATTGTGAATGAGAATACCCTGCAAACGGAGAAAGGCTCTTCAGGGCGGTCCGCACGTGGGAGTTTTAGTAAAAGTTACGTTCTAATTAAAATTACCTTCTAATTAAAATACAAAAGCGCATGTTACCCGCGTATAGAGGAACAACGCTGGACATCGCACTTGAGCGTTGTAGTATTTATATTTTTATTACAGTGATACACAGGAATTTCAAGACGGAGCACATAATCAATGCCGTAACGCCGAATATTGAGATAAGTTACCGAGTTACGTTTGCATGTGCCACCGTTTGCATTCCCGTGAGTCTTAATGTTAACATCACAACCACAAACGTAAAGTTACACGAGTGAAACAGAATCGCGACGGTCGGACGCGACTGAACTTAAAACGCATATTAGTCGATTATCAGTCCATTAACAAATTACAGGTAGTTTCGTCGATAATAAGAGTAAATGTAATGACTGTATATAGGACTCGATCTTGACATTCTACATGATTACAGGGCCTGTATACGCGGATCGTTTTATTAAAAAAGAAGAAAAAAATTCACAAAACTCGTAAATATGCAGGAGAGAAGCACATAAGACACATAAGAAAATAATTCCCGGGATTGAATGTTTATGCGCCTCACCCTGTATAGCCGACGTTTATTACAATCTCCATCTACGTACTTTATTCAACGGTTTCATAATTTCGATCAAAATGACCCCGAAATGTCAGTCTTTCCGTTTAAATTTTGTTAATTTCATTACAAGTATAATTGAGCATGTGACTGCTGTCCAAAGTGACTTATTGAAACTCCCTACTTATATTCTACTGTTTCGCTAAAATACAATTTACATACGGTAATCTAGGAAATGTTTCCTTCACGTACGATGCGACACGGCACAAATATCGCGTATAATTTTTGCGACGTTACATTGTACAATTTCGATAAACTACACCTGCAGCACAAATATTTTGTTGACGCCTGAAGAAGCAAAATGTGAAACTCGCGTAAACAAGAGATCGTATTTCTGACTACTAATCTAATAATTCTGTGCAAATTAAATTGAATAAAACGCTCCGTGATATTCGATGATTATTGTTTGTCATTTTCGCGTAGAAACACAGAGTACCGCATGTCTTACATTACTTGCTCTATGATAGCCCGTACATATGTATAATTATCGTTAAATGCTAGAAACTCGTCGTTAACAAGAAATAAATTTTAAAACTGACCTAGGGCATTTGATTATCGAATCTTGAATGGCTAGTGTTAATTATATTCTTTCTCTCTCTCTCTCTCTCTCTCTCTCTCTTTCTGTCATTCATATTTCATATATATTTTACCTCACTGTGGTTTGTCTATTTATATTTGAACATTCACACGCGTCAGCTTGGTTAATGTTAAAAGAAAGAAGAGTAACAAAATACATAGTTAACAAATAAATAGGAACCAGCCTATGTTACACTTAAGATACTAATGGACAAAAGTGTGAATGACAGTAACGCGGTATCCGAAATGCAGTCCTGAGGAAACATTGACTGATTGTGAGAGGGTATTTTGTTACTTTTGTTCGCTTTAATTAACAATGAATTGCGAGAGATAATGTCTCTATTCAGTCGCGAAAGTTAATAACCGCTACACCATCATTCTCCTCTTCTTACCGTACGCCATTTTCATCACGTTAGCAGTTTCCATCACGAGAGTGTCCAGTATAGCTACCGTGAGTCCATTCTTCACCGCCAACTCGTCGTGATGAAACTTCGTCCATTCGTCCTCCTCGGCTTGAGCCTCTCTCGCCAGCAACTCGTCGACCCTGTCTCTGCGTTTCCTGCTCCAACGCATCACCATGTTTTCTCGCTGCAGCTTCGTTTTGAAACCGAACAGCGTAGCGACCTCCTTGTTAACATACTCGATCAGTTCCTCGACGTTCTTCGGGATCTTCATCGTGGGCTTTATCTTCACGTTCGGCTTCGTCCAACTCGGGCCAGGCTTCTCGTATTCTGCTCGATAGACCTCCACGATGGTCTCCTTACAGAGATCGAAAAGAAAAGTGTTGTAGATTCGCCTGTCCCTTCTCTCACTCTTATCTTTGGTCACGTCGTAGATCTCGGGAGGCGCTTCCAGATTCGCGATATCCTCACCGGCCAGCTTGGCCTTGTATATCAGGGTTGTGGCTTTCTCGGTGAACGACGTTAGCTCCTCGACGTTCGACGGGATTACGGCGGTGACCAGCGAAGGCGAACTGAGCGAAGCCGATAATCGGCCATCTCCAGGTGGGGTGTAAGGAGGCGGTGGCTTGTTCGGTATCTCTCGAACGTAGTAAGACACTTCCTCCGCTTCCAATTTCTTAATCTTAAAAATAGTTACGTATGCATTCAAGTAAAATGTCCATGTTTGCGACGATCTGATCATACACGGGATACGTACCTCCAACTCGATTTGCAATTGTTGGATCCGAAGCAGCTTAGCTTCCAACTCGGCGACGTCCTGACCAGGTTGTCCCACTGAAGCTGTATGGAGTAGAAACGAGAAATATACATATCGATAAATACGACAGGTAGGCAGAGATACGAGTTTCTCGAGTAAAGCAACACGAGCCTTCACATTACATCGGGGGTTCACAATTTATATACTTAATTTGAGAGTGCTCTAAGGAAAGGAACGGTTGGAAAATAGGGAAATATATCAAGAAAATGTTTTAATGCACATATATATATAATGCATATACATACATATGTATTATATATATATAAAATAGTAGAAAGCTGTGACAAGGTTGGACATTCCATAAAACACCTGTACACGATAGTAAATCTCTTCTGACAAGTTCAGAGGGAAGAGAAAGGTAGATATATATATATTATAGTAATTTATGAATAATTGTGTGCGATGCATAATATTTACAGGCCTTTCTTGTGCGCATACGGATCAATAATGAAAGGATCAAGCATTTCATGCGACACTGATTTGTACAGAGATAAACAAGTCAATGTTCGTATCATTCGTAGTTTCGTGTATTACCTTTAGACAAATATAATCTCGACTTTGCTATTTGTCTGAAAATAAACAACACATGGCTATACCAGGCAACGCTTTTGCACAGGAGAGCACACAGCCATTATAAAAAACAAAAGGTGTTTCTGTAGTATATAAATGTGTTTAGATCAAGATGTGTGTATGTATCGAGTGTCTCTGAGATGGTCAGCCCACATAAAAATTGCATCGCATGATTTCGGTCGAGAATGACATAATTTGTTAAGAAAGAGAAAAAAAGATCCACTATCTCTCAACATATACAGGTTGGCTTGCTTTGAAATATGTTATTCGACTCTTGCAATTCAATCGCTCGAATAGCATCTTTCAAAAATTATTGCTTTGCAACGTATCACGATTAGATTATTTCGCACATTAGACCAAACCAGACATCCATTCGATAGCGATATCGACTGGGTTACAATATTTATATAACTCTTATAATGACACACATAATGTTTCAAGTTTGAAAAAAATATGTACAATCGGACGGAGATGAGTACTATAATATAGGATTGATACTCTCACACATTAAAACTCTAGTTAATATATGACCCAAGACGTTATAGTTGTGACTCTGTATATTCTTAATTTTATATATAATAATATTCTAATATTACTTCGATTATCGTAATAGAATAGGCGAGAATACCTTTTAATTCGTAGATCATAGCTTCGATGTCCTTGTCGGATGTGGTAACGATGGACGCGGAATGGAAATTGGTCTCCATATCGATGCTCTGTTTCGTCGCTTTAGTGCCGCTCAGCAGATCATCGTCCAGGATATCAATGTCCAGCCTCGAGTCATTGAAATCTCTCGGAGAGTCCATCTCGATCTCGGACACACCCCTCGGAGTATCGCCGGCCTCGCTAGATTCAGACGAGCCATTCTGTTCCTGCAGTTGCGAGACTCTCTCGCGCAGCTCGTATATTATTCGTGACTTGTCATCCTCATTCAGTCTCCAAGAAACCGCTTTTCCCTCAGATAAGCCGTCCGCGTCGTTAGCCTCCACCGATTGTCTGTCCTGCAATTTTGCTTTTTCTAAGAATCGACCTTTGGTTTCGTCCACTTCGTAAGACTCCTCCTCGAGCCTGTTCGTCGTTCTATTCATCTCGGGGGACGAACCATCGTCCTCCGCGGAAACCTCTGCGCCCGAGGCCTCACTGATCTCCTCCGTTACACTCGGCGCACTCTGGTCACTCCTCTCATTGTTTTGCGAATTGCTTGCTACAGAATCGAACGATGACTTCTGTGTGATTTCGTCCAATATTCTCAATACGTCCTCCGATTTCTGGATGGTTTGATACCTCTCCGGCAAGTTAGCGGCCTTCTTCGCGGCGCCTGTTCTCGGGAAGTCATCTTTGTCTAGAATCTCGGACACCTCGAGACTTTCCTCGGAGATGTCCTCGTATTCTGGATCTTTCAGTACGTCGAACGTCTTGTTGATATTTCCTACTACCGGTGCGTCCGATATCGCGGTTTCGTTCGTCTTCTCGGCAGTGTCATCAGTTGTCTCTTCCTCAGCTCGTCCAGTCTGCGCCGCATCATCTATTATCGGCTCGGGAGAATCACGCGACGACGCAACAGGTTTTTCAACGGTATCCAATCCGCTCACAGCAACTTCTACTAGATTGTCCAGCTGCTCACCATCCGAACTATCTTGTTCCGAGATTGATTCCAGACATTCCTTTATCTCGACGGGCACAGCGCCTTTATTTTCTGCCACAACGCATTCATTTTCGTCCTCGTTTACATTGCACGATTCCTCTTCTTCGGCTAATTCAACTTTGGCATCAATTTCAAGTTCAGATAACACGTTATCCTCGGCGCTACTCGAATCCAGCTCAGTTATTATAATTTCTTGTACTTCCGACACTGCTTCGCGCGGACTCTCCTCGTTATCTATTTCCACATATAAGTTTACATTTATGGCAGATTTATCGTCGACTGTTCGTAACGAACCATCTATTATTTCCTCACGATTACCAGCTTCTTTATCTTTACAAGTACTCATAGAGGCTGCATTACTTTCGCTTATACCTTCCACGTTTATTTCGCTTTGCGCTTTGTTATTTAATATTGAGGCTTCCGAAACTGCTTCAGTTCGATTTATGTTGATATCCATATCACATAAGAGTCCTTTAAAATGACTATCGACATTTTTCCCGTCCTTTTCTACGATATCCTTAACTCTGTCTAATAATTCCGCCATAGAATCAGACATTACGTTATCAAGCTTCTCACCTCCAGGAATGCTTTTTCGTTTATCATTTTCTCTAGCGATTATATCCAATATATCGTCAAGTTCGTCGTGGCTTTTTACCATGTGAGACTGTGCTAATGCGTCGTTAAACGTAACGTCCTGTACCGCGACGTTGGTGGATTCCCCTTTTGGAAGAAAGACCGACACGTCAGAGTCGCGTATTAAATTGCTTTCAGCTTCTTGATTTGTCATATCATCGACGCGTGATACATTCTTTTCCGAGAAATTATTCAAAGTATCGTCCAGGCCTGATTTCGAATTCTCGATATTTTCACGTACTCCAGTGCTAATCTCATCTTGCGGTACCACGAACGAATCGGACGTCGTCCAGTCGTCCTTATCCTGAGAAATATTTCCCGCGCTGACTGTGCGCGATTGATTTTGATCAGTATTAGACGCAAGTGTCATTGAATTTACGGTACTGTCGAGCACTTTTGTATGAATATCTTCATCGAGATCCTCTGATATCTTCACATCATCAGCGGCATCAATTCTGACTTCTGCCTCGAGAATATTTCTCGACGATTTCAAATCTTTGGCAACAACATGCGAGCTCTGACTTGAAGCTAAACTAGGCGCGCTTCGCGAATCGCCTTGTGATATCGTTTCCTTTGATCGATGACCGGCGATGATGGGAGACTGCATTGATATAGTGCTAAAATGTTCGGCAAGTCCCAGAGAATGCGCTCCTTTTGTTCGAGCTTTTACAAGATCCTTCTCAAGTATCGCTTCACTTAAATCGCACTGTTCATTTATACTTTTCTTCGAGTCATCGACAATCTGGGTTGCTGTCGTCTTCGCAAGACCGAGGCTCTTTCTACTCTCTGACACTTTGGAAAGAATTTCGGAAATCGATTTTATATCAAGCTCGGAGACCAAATCATTCAGCAACTCTTCATTTCCATCTTCTAATGCTGAAGTTTGATTATCGCCGCTTGCAATCTTAATATGTTGCGACAGTATAGATTTTTCTATTTCATTCATAATCTCTCTGCTTTTGGCTTCGTAATCGATTTCATGAGATAAATTAGAGATGGTAGGAGCTTCTTCCGGGATTATTGCCGATATTTCACTACTTATTCTGTCCGATATGTATTTATCATGGCTGAAATCATTGGAAGCTATTGATGTTTTATTATTTACCGACATAGGTGATTCGGTATCGACTTTCTTCTCAGGCAACACTGCTTGCCGTTCTTTATTTTCAATATCAATTATTTGATCGCTAAAAACTGATTTAGATATTATCTCTGATATATCCTGCGACGTATTCCTTTCATCATCTGCTCTAGACTTTTCATTCGATTCATTACTTAAGCGTGACATTATTTCTGAAAGCGCCTTAATGTCCTTCTCGAGAGAACTGATATCCTCGCTCAAGTTCTTATTGTTTAACTGCAGAAAATCTAACTTTCTCGAATAAGTAAGTATATTGGAATTGGTAACACGTGCAACATTTTCCGTAGAATACTCGGATTTGCTCGGAATAGATTTGGAGTATTCGACGTTACTTATTTCTGGGATCTCGGACAATATCGTGGGAGTCTTTGGCAGAGATTGATCGACATTAGTATTTAATCTATCATCTGCTGATTCGGTGTTAATAGTACTGTGATCTTCAAATCTTGCATCCGATATCGTTTGCACCTCCAATTCTGATTGTACCGTACTAGAATCAATTTTAGCGTTTTCCTCACCGTATGATACGCTGGTTTGTTTGATATCGGCAGTGGATTCTCCGATTTGTTTTTCAGAACGTGCATCGTTTGAAGTCGATGACGTCGAAGGCACCGTTCGAATTTTATCGTACGCTTTTGTCGATGTATAATCATCCAAAATAGTTCGAGCGCTATCGTTGGGATCCGTAGTGTCTTTTAGTGCGAAAACGTTAGCGCCCTTGATATTTTCAGATGTCATAAATTTCTGATAACTATCCCTCTCATGCTTCGATAAATCCTTCTGCTGATTTCTCGTCAATAGAAGATCCGATTCCGACCTAGATCTCAACAAATCGCTGCTTTTGTAGATGTCCTGTATCCTCTTAAGCGGTATTTCAGGTACTTTGAAGTCGGCCAACGACTTTGGCTCTATAGCTAACTTATCAGTTTCTTTAGTAGCTTTCTTCGATTCCAACTTTTTGCGCATCTCATGAATGGTCGTGTCATATTTCTGTCAAGTACAAAGAGAAATTTCATAGAACAATAATAATCAAATAATTATGTGCGTATATAAACTTACCTTGATTTGAGTCTGCAGGTTTGCTTCCAGAGCACGCAGCCGTTTTTTCGTTTGCTTCTTCACTTCTCTTTTTAGACGCGCCATTTCGAGACGTCGTTCCGCTAATTTCTCAGTGAGAAGTCCTATCCTTCCCTCGACGTCGCTCGTATCAGACGATAAGGTGGTATCTATAAAAGAGCACATACATCTCTCTGATCGTGATCAGTTTAAAATTATGCAAAAAGCTACACTTAATTAATATGTAATAAAGTAACACGTTGTCATAATTATTATGATATTTGCAAAGGATCTTGCAGCTTGTTTGAGTTACAGCTAAATTTAATTCAAAATTTATCAAAGAACCACTACACGTTATCAATGCAAGTTACGTGATCTTTTATATATGCAGTGTATGTAAGTGCATTTTTGTTACCCCCTCCTTGCTGATACAAAACATTAGACGCTGCCACGAGTTTAAATGCCGCCTTCTCCATACGAATAACACGGTCCTCTTCTGCTCTTAACCTTGCGTGCCACGCCATCCAATCCTCGACACAATTCTTGCGCGATGCAAGATCTGTTTCGCGTGCGTTCAAAATCCTAAGGGGCACAGAAGAAAGTGTACAGTTCCGAGAATACGCACATGCATGCCTGTTATGCGGATTGCCTCTGCAGAGAATCTATTTTTACAATGCTTCGCTTGATGCGGCATGGAGATGCACACAGGTTTATTATTAGATCTCCCAGCGTACGATTTTAGTGATTCAGGATTTTATTAGCAGAGCACACGCGTGTCGCGCCGAAAAACAGTGTCCGAACGTTTGCAATTATTAAAACTGAAAGGAACAATGTGATAAATGAATGTACGCATATAGGTGCACTTACTGTTCACATTCTCTGTCTTGCGACCTAACGACTATAGACCTCGAAAGATTTTTTTCGCTTTCTCGAGAACTGTGATGGGAAACGGCAAAAGTGCTAATCTGAGACGTGGATGCGTCTTGAGTATCCCGCTCGTTCCTGGAAAGACTTTGATCATTCTCAAATTTTCTGTTCGAAGCTTGAGCGGACCTGTTTCCCTTATTCTCGTTTGCTGTCGATAACTTCGAGCTTTTGTCCTTGGCCTTGGAATGCTTAACGAGCGCCTGAAGCGATGTTTGGCTCTCATTAAAATCTGATTCGTCCAAGATCGAACTTTCTTTGTTGTTATCTAACTGAAGCAATGCGTTCTCCACTCTTGTACGTTTATTATAAAGCTCAATAAGCTCCTCCGATATATGAGAGCTTGATTTGGACCGCGATATATTTTCCGATGATATACTAGAGACTGATTTCGTTTTTTGATACTTGGAATTTTTACGCTTAGAGCTTGTTTTCAGTTCGACATTAGGCTGGAACTTTTTAGATATGTCTCTGTCACTTGTGATAGACTTGTCAATCTTCTTTGAGTTCTTACTCGTACTCGCCTGTGATATTTCGGAGATGTGTGACTGCGTCGTCTTTGAAACGGTGTCTTGGACCATCTCTTCCTCTATAGATTCACTATTGGCAGTTGCAGCGTTAGAAGTTGATTCTTTCCCTTTTGCAGTTGTCGCGGTTTGTATGGAAGGATCTGTTACTTGCGACGTTCTTGATCTTTTCGCTTCGCTGATCCGAAGCGCTTCCACTAATGTGATCGTATCAGATTCTGATTTTACATAATCAGGTACCGACGCATCTACTTCTAGTCTCGGTGACTGCGACAGTCTGATCTGATCCTGATTTTCCAAGAGCCGAATATTTATTTTCATGGGATGAATCCGTTTCGACTCCATGTCCAGCTGATTTTGCTTCTGTCGCAAAATATCCGCTCTAGGCATCTTGTCTTCGTACTTTCGAGACCGCAGCTTGTATTTCGACATATCGCTTTTCCTTTGCAACTGCGTGGGACATTTCTTCTGTTCCTTACTCTCAACTAACTCGTCGAGTCTTGCCGCGGACGTGTTGTTTCCTTCGCTTAAACTTATTAATATGTTAGGCTTCGAATACTCAATTTTGGATGCATCACTCTCGGATACGTTCAGGCGCGTGTCGATCTGAGACCGATCATGCTGAGACTTATCAGAATCGATCAAGGAGCTCATAGAGCTATTACTGCGTATATCGTAACCCTTCATAGGACCCGATAATCTTCTCGGCGATTGGCTGTCTGCGATCTTCTTCAATTTCGTCAAGATATTCTTCGTTGACATTTGCGGATTAAACATGCCTCTCTGTTTTTCAAACATACGTTTCCGTTCCAGGCTTGTAAGCTCGTGAAACAATTTAAATCTATCAATAAACGGAATAGTTTAGTATAAATAAATTGAAAGTACAATATATTACACAAATGTGTCACTTACTTTAGAATTTCATCTTTCTCTTCTAATAGTTTTAGAAGCAGAGCTCTCTGTTTCTTTTTCACGGAACGGCTGTCTTGTCCGGTATCTTTCAATGCACGTTTTTGCTCTTCTAGCTGCACCAATTTCTTGGTTTTGTCGCTTAATGTTTTTTCTCGAACCTTGAGCCATTCTTTAATTTGATAGCTTAGTTGATTCTCGTCTCTCAAGAGTCGTGCTATCTAAAAACAAAAGTATAAAAAATATCCAATTAATATCAAATGTAAACGCACGTAAATAACAGAATATGCTTGCCTGTGAATCTATAACTTTATTAAAGGAGCACGTTACATCTCGAGTCGAGATACTAATCTCGGTCCCGGTTTCCGTTTTTATCGACGAGGTAGTTTCGTGTAAACTAATCTCCGACATGGTCCTCATTCTGCTAGGCCGTGACATCTCTTCTATTTGGTCCAAATCTTCGAATTGTATGGCCGAACTTACAGGTAGTTGAGACATTTCATTTCTCCTCAAAAATGGTTCGTATGGGTTTTCACGCATCTCTGACAATCTGTTTTGCACGTTCCGTTCGTTCGCGGATATGTCCGTTTGAGTCGCAATGTCATTTACCGTTTGCGTTTGTACCTCCGCCACTTTGACCACCGCTTTATTAAACTTTCCACAATTAAATCCATAACCCTCATCGACGTTGCCTTGGTTTGCCTTTTTTTCTACATAATCAGTTAGATTCCATGTTGCTGTAAAAAAAATATTCCAAATATTTAGTATAATGTATTTATATACATAATGTATTTCTACTGATAACAGGCTTCTTACTTTTCTCAACAGCATCGTTATCAATCGTAGTAGCTGCACGGTCTTCTACGATTTGCGCAACTTCCTCTTCATCTTTTTTATCGATTTTCTGCAAATTCTTTTGCTCTTGCATTTCGCATTTAGTGTTGTATAGACACTTTTCAACATCCATTATTTGTCGGAGGGACTCATTGCAAGAATCGTAAAGATGCAGTTCCGCCTGAAATTGCATATGCAAAGCTGTTGGATGTATCTGAAATTTCAATGCGCTTCCACTTTATCAAAAATACACTGTTATGACTGAATAAAACGTGTGTGACAATGTATTCATACTCACCAATTCTACCTCCTCTTGCTCTTTTTCAGATTTTACTGTCGGCTTGTACTTGGGGCATCTTGCATCAACTTCCGAATCATTGTTCTGCATCAAGTATCTCCTTCGTTTAGACTTGAACACAAGATTCATTCTTTCTGGCGTCATTAAGTTATGAAATTCTGGTTGGGAATAGCCCTCTCTGAGGGAGATTCTTCTAGAATCAAACAATGCTTCTGGCAGTGTACTGTCGTCCACATCATTTGAATCATCGTTGGTAGCTATTTCTTTAGTTGTAATAATGCTCTGTGAACATGACTCCTCGTCTTTTTTAACGCTCGTACTTGCAGACTGTGCCACGGAATGTTCTGTATATTTGACATTTTCTGAAGTTTTAGATGATCCGGCAGAATTAATGCTCTGTTTACCTTCCACAGCCGTTTCGAGATCTTTACTTTTTGATGCGTGCGTGGAACTTATAGGGTAAGCACTTATACGACTCCTGGAACTGTTTGTTTCAGACATAAATTCAACATCTTCTGATGGCTCCGAATTGACACTGTGTAGTTTATTATCTTCGCCTTGGTTATTCAACATTTTATTTTTATCAGACACTCTCTTCGTTTGGTCCTTACAGATAATACTTAATTTGTCTTCTTTCAATTGTCTACTATCCGAATCAGATTTATATTTCACGTCTTCCATTTCAGATTTTTGCTTTAAAAAATAGTGGCTCATGTCTTTAGATTTATTTTCGGTACTAGATAAAACGCCCATATTATCTCTCACTGCAACTTTATCTAGCACTTCCCAAGATGGAAAAACCGGAAAGTTGCTAGATTCATTGCTGGACATTCGAATCTTGGATTCTAGAAGCGTGTCTTTTGTTAATTCCACCGACTGTGCATTAAAAGGCTTCTGTCTTTTGTCATCTTTTTTACCAATGGATGCTACAAAATTTTTATCTTTTGATTTTACCGACGAAAAGTCATTACTCTTTGCAGTAAGGAATGGTCTGTCATTCTTTGGTACGTTCGTGTTACCCATATCTCTGACATCTTTTCTGGAGACGCGTCTTGGGCTTCGACTGCGTTTTACTTGGTCTTGCATGGATTCGTCCCTCTTTGCACACGAAGAATCATCCTTTTTCATTCTCTTAGATCTGTTTTCCTTTTCTCTGGAGCTGTCTCTACCATGTTCTTTCTTCTTGCTTAAATTAGACGATATAGAGACATTTGGTGCTTTTAACGGCTCGATGCTTTCGGACGTAATAAATGACGATCCGTCAGAGGAGAAGTCTAATTTTCTCTGTACTCTTTCACCAGTTCTTAGACTTTTGTCAGATCTGTCGTGCACAACGTCCATTGCAGCTATTTCAGACTTTATCGAAGGCAGCTCCTTTGAAACAGAACTTTCTCTGCTGGAGAAATCCAGTGTTTTTGGAGAAATTTTCAGATCTGGTACTTTCAGCGGCTTGATAAAGTCCATTTTTTGTACACGTTGATTCCGTGTATTCAAACTTTGCGTACTAGCCGCTTTCAGTATCGAAGAAGTCAAACTTTTTGCTTGAGAACTTGAGTCATGTGCTTTGGCGCCAATATCAATACGATCTTCTAAAGCGAGCTTTTGTTTCACTGCGCTAATAAACGTAAAAGGATATGGCTGTACAGGATAATAGGATAGCAAATTTTCTAAGCACTTTATGCCACGTGCCGGCACTCGCAAATCAGCTGCGTGCTCCTTGAAAGTCTTCTGTTGCGCCTCAAGTTCTCGAGTAATCTGTGCTGCCTGCAATAAAAAAGCAATATAGAATTTTATATATACAAGCAAAAAAGTAACAAACAAAAGTCACTCACAACAGCAGAGGTCTCGGCGCGTTTGGCAATAACATCTGGATCCGAGAAGAAAACATATCTTTTTTTATCGATGGATCCTTCTTTTCGGTTACTGCTCTTCATATTCTCATTCTTAAACTATATAGATAACATCCCATAAAATTATCATATTGTCATCCATATTTCTCGTGCACTTATGAATGCACTTATAATTATAGTGGAATGCAACAGCATCTGAAAACAGTGCAAAAAATATGAGTTAATATTAGAAAAAAGATATCCTCTTAATGATATAAAATAAAATAATATATCTGTACGTCTAATCAAATAATCTCGTCATTTACAACTTGATTGTTTAGTCACAGATCATGTAATCAGAATTGGGGATTCACGAATTGACATGAAATGGGTTATCTTATAAATTTTTACAATACACACACACACACACACACACACACACACACACACACACATACTTCGCCGCTCTGTTGTCACTCATTTAGTGTTCTATTTGCTTACATGAGCTTGGGACACCGAAGTGAAAGATATTTTCTTAATAATATAAAATATACCTTTATGTTTAATCAAAAATAACTTGATCGTTTGTGACAATGCTGTTTAGTTGCAAGTCTTGCAATCAAAATTGAGAATTGGCGAATCGATTATTTTACAATTTTTACAATAAACATCATTTACATTCTAATTTTACATTCTAACTTACAGGTTTTAGCTTGGAACACCTAAGTACAACGATCGAAAAAGGTAAACCTAATTAAGGCATCGCAGGTGAACGATTCTTTCTTGAACCAACTTTGCTCGGCGACGAGAGCAATCGCGCAAATGTGACATCTCCATTCTCCACAGGGGTGCGTTCATCAGGAATTACTGGAATTAGGCTAAATTTCCATGTTGCATCTTCTTCTTCTTGAGTTTATATGAGGTTTGTTCGCGTCGCATGCTCCACCATCATGCTCCTAATGCTGGATCTACAATGCGAGTCGCAAAGTCGTGAGTCGCAAGAATTGGCCAATCACAGTCGAATTTGAGGAGAATAATCGACTGTGATTGGTCAATTCTTGCGACTCACGACCTTGCGACTCGCATTGTAGACCAGCATAACTCCAATGGACTCCAAAAACTCATCTGCTCCAATCGCCACCTTTTATCCCTGATCCAAGTGCTCTTGGTGTATGCGACGCGAACAAACCTAATGGCTCCGCTTCCCTATAGGGCGCGACAAATGGCTGTGCTTTGCCGAACCTCCGCTAGCTAAAGCGGGGAGCACACACTTCTGCACAACGCATAATACGTAAGCATAAGGGCCCGGACACACACTTTTTCGTAACAGTAACAGTAGGATTTCGACCAATCGTGTTACTCGATTCGGGAACGTACGGCCGTACGTTTTCGAATCGAGCAACGCGATTGGTCGAAATCCTACTGTTACTGTTACGAAAAAGTGTGTGTGGCCAGCTTAAAGGCCATTGCACGTAACAAAGTTTTAGTCATAATCGTAAAGCCGTAAGGAAATAGACCAATCACAGTCGATTATTCTCCTTGAGCTCGAAGAATAATCGAGTGTGATTGGTCTATTTTCTTACGGCCTTACGATTATGACTAAAACTTTGTTACGTGCAATGGCCTTAAGAAAACTGATTGGTCTATTTCCTTATGCACATGTGTATGAACCAATCAATTTTCTTATGCTTACGCATTATGCGTTGTGCAGAAGTGTGTGTTCCCCGCTTAAAGGTAGGTTTTCATGGGCAGTGAAATGCAGCACGCGCTGGTGTCGCGACTGGCGACGACTCGCGACAACGACGCCAAGCGAGCAAAACACACACACGTACAGACCGTTTAAATTTAAAAAGATAACGGCATGTGCTTGCCGTGGCGTCTCTTTCAGACGGGAGTGACGCGCGTGAGTTTCTTTCGTGCAATAAGATTGACACTTTACTGAGATCGAGGTACGTATGTGACAACGCACAATTTAAAGAGGCCGTGCTCTTAACTTGCAATATTATTATTTTCCGAAGGAAATAAAGACGTGGGAACGATGGCTGATCAATCAGAGTGGAAGCCTCTCGTACAAAAAATGGTTGTGGATTTCGAGTACGCGCTCGACGAGCTGCAGAATATCTGGGAAGACATCGGATGCACCAAGGACATGCGAGTGATGTACTATGATCAAGCGTACGAGCACATAAAGGGCTTGCTGGATGATATGGTGGCCGAGGCACAGTTGAAGAGGCAACGTTTGTTCGATAATATACAGGATATGTTAAAACAAACAACATCACTGTACGCAGAACTACATATGGATAAGACACCTAAAACGTACGAACAGACCCCCTTGTGCAAGGTCGAACAGATGCTTCAAACGGATCTGCAAAATTTGGAGTGCATGAAGAAGGAACGTATGATGATCTTGAAAGAGTTGTTGACAAAGGAACATGACATTTGCAAGAAGCTCGGCTGCAAGGCGCTGAGCATCGCCGCGAATGTCGTGCCCACTGAGCAGGATCTCGAGAGTTTCAAGCTTTATCTGGAGAAACAGGAGAACGAGAAGGTACATTTAGAGAGCGTTTTTACAGACATACGTCGTTCCATAATCAAGATGATGAATGAATTGGATATCTCTCCATCATCGTCGTTCCAAGAGTTGATCTGCAAGAATCCTGAGGAATTTGTGCTGAGCGCGAGCAATATGACAAAATTGAGAGAGTTCAGAGATGAGCTGAGTACGCAAGTGGAGGAAACAAAGTGCTACGTTGAAAAAATTAAGGAAGATTTATTGGCGTTGTGGAAGTATCTTGACGAGCCTGCCGACGTTTGTCAGTCGTTCCTTGAAAGGTATCCTGGTTACAGTACCAATGTTATAAATGCCCTCAACGCAGAAATAAAGCGTTGTAAAGAGAAACGGAAGGAGAATATTCTTCAGTATGTTACGCAGATCAGATACGAATTGCTGAATTTATGGGACTTGTGCAAATACTGTGAAGCGGAGAGAAATGCATTTGCACCGTTTCATTCCAACACATTCACAGAGGATCTGCTGACGTTGCACGAGTTAGAAGTGGAAAGGCTGCGCAAATTTTATAACGATAACCGAACGATATTCGAGCTTCTGGAGCAACGTGAGAAGCTGATAAAGAAAATTAAGGACTTGCTCCAGCGAGCGAACAATCCCGATCGCTATTACAATCGCGGTGGCCAATTGTTGATGGAAGAGAAAGAGCGGAAGGTGATACAAAAGAAGTTACCCAAGATAGAAGCGGAATTGAGGCACGCGATCAGCGAATACGAGGCTAAGCACAAGCAGGTGTTTACCATTAACGGTACATCGTTGGAAGATGTTTTAGCGGAGACTTTGGAAACTATTAATCACGAGAAGGAGTCGATAAAGAAGGCGAGGAAAGAGGCGAAAGATAAATCGATCAAAAAATCGCCTTTAAACAGTTCTAAACGGACGCCAGGTATGTCCCACTTGAGCATTCACAGAGGTCCAATGCTGGGACTATCGAAACGCAAATTGTTCACCCCGTCTCCCAACTCGTCGATAAAGCGCAGAAATAAAAACGGTGACAAGAACAAGCCCACTGTCGCCGCGTCTAAGGTCCGAAGGAGTGGAAAGCTTCCAAAGATTCAGAAGCCAGGCAGAACTTCGAAAGGCGGGCAGAAAAGGAGGGAATCGTCGTCGCCCACTAACAGCATCACGGACACGACGTATAATCAGTTTCTGGGCCACGTGACGGGCAGGGAAGAATTGCACAGCTCGATGTTGCCGGAGCAGATACTGAGGAGCTCCAATAAGCTCAATATCAACAAGACGCCGGTACGAACGCCCATGAAACCGCTGAGGAAACATCTTTTAACAGCAACGCCCGTCACTCCCGGCTCCACGCGTAAAACGCCGCACAGTCCCAGAGTCATTCACACCCCAAAACTAGCGACGGCCCCGAGTAACTTACCTTTCATCTTTTAAACGCGATAATAAATTTTTAATGTGACATAATAAACTTTCTCGCCTGCGAGAATAATCTCGAATCTGGAAAATGTACGTTCCACGAAATCCTCACTCCAATCGTGCTGAAAATTGCCTCAAAATTTCAAATTTCATATCACATCACATCACATATAACATATAGGACCGTGTAAATGTGGGAATCGATGTACTTTTATTGCTTGGTGAAATTGAAATGAAAAAATGTATTAAATTCTCAGACAGCACACATATCTAAAAGACGTAAAGATATTTAGAAATGTTTTTAAGATATTTTAGACATGCCTGCTTCCAACGTGATCAAATACACGGTTGAGATTAGTTTAAGTTAATAAATATACGCGTTAGTAATATACGATAAAAAGTAAAGGCACATCATTTATAATATCTTTCTTTCACCGAACGGGAGTGTAGTTTGATGCAATTTTATTCGCAGCTGTAGTATATTAAGTAGATTAAATGTTTATTATTATTGTCACACATATATCTATGATTTATTAATGAACTAGTATGTATAGACATCTTTTTGTAAATTTTAACGTACTTTTAAGTAGAATAATATTTCTGTAACTTACGAAAAAGGCTACAAGGTCTTTACACATTTCACGTGCTCTTTCAACATGTATGAAACTTAATTCTTAATATATGTAATTATTCCATGTCTTAACAAAACTTTTACTACTCATTGCAGCAACAATAGGATGATATTAAACTATTTGAAATAAAAGACAAAATTAATTAAAATTTATAAATATATAATTTTAATAGATAATAAATTACATAATTTATTAATTAAAGTGAATTGCAATTGCGATATTTCGTTAAAACGGTAATATGTACTTTCACAAATGAATAGCAACTGTTATTCTAATATAAACTAGACTTTTAATGTTTTTCATATGAAATTGCAGAAAAGTTTGCTATTTAAATCCTGTGGCGCATTCTAGGATTATATTCGTAATGTAATTCATGTCAGGTGAGGTTAGGTTAAGTTAGGTTAAGCTAACCTACGACGCTACACATCCGGCATCGTCTGATCGTCTCTAACATCGCTCCTTTTGCAATGGAAATGTAAGCGAGAGGCTTGCTTTATTATACAATTTATTATTTCCTCGTTGGCCGAATTGATCCCGTAGGAGATTAGGAGCCATTTTAATTAAGAGGATTATCCCTCGCGAACGATAGAAGAACGCTATAACAACGCCTGAAACCAGTGACAAGAGACTCGAAAAAAATGGGCGATATAAAATCCTTCTTTCACCAATGGTGTGCGAAAAACGGAAAAGAACCGCAGTTTGATGTTAGACCAACAGGTAAATATACATCGCCCGTGTTATTTCGTTCAAGTTTGATGTATATAGATGACATGGGTTTTTTGCGTCTTGCAGGGCCGAAGCACAGGCAACGTTTCCTCTGCGAACTGCGAGTACCCGGCTTCGACTATGTCGGCGCAGGAAATTCGACTAACAAGAAGGACGCGCAGGGAAACGCCGCGAAAGATTATGTCAATTACTTAGTGCGTATGAATCATGTAAATCCAAACGACGTGCCAAAGGACATTGTGACGCTGCCGGCAATAGCAGCAGATGGCACGAAATCCGAACCCTCAACGCCAAAGCCGGTGTTCCAAGGAGGCATGGGGCCGAACGACATTGGCCAGGCGTATAGGCCGTATAACGAACGCGGTCAGAGTAATTACACATACATGGATAGGCTGGCTGATCAAAAGAGAGTGGAGGACGCGGAGGACGTCGACGTGAATTCTGGGATACATGGAAACTGGACGATAGAAAACGCCAAATCCAAGCTTCATCAGTTTATGCAAACTAACAAAATTAATGCCGATTACAAATATACTCCGGTCGGTCCGGATCATACGAGGTATGGAGTCTTGCAATGGAGTATTTTCTAGCACATTGGATTGGCATTACAATGTAGTATATATATATAACTCAATTCACAATAATTCGCTGTTTCAAACAATCGCTCGCCGATTGTTGTTGCCATTTGAGATTTAACAAGGCCATTTTGGAGTATATTGCTTGTTCACGTTTAAAGCTGGTGCAAGAGAGTGATCGTCGACTCTCTTGTGCACAAACGATGATATGGCATGGCGTTAAACCAAAACTTTTATTAAAATGATTTAATAATGGTTTTGGTGTAATACAAAGAAACTTCCTTCAATGTACTCCAATGTGGTCGTCTGTGACATCTTCAAATGGTAAGTTGTTACTATTCATTGTAATTAATTGAGGGAATAAATGGAACAAAAAAAAGATTATCTTTGAGATAGACGCTTATTTTATATGCTTCGACAAGTTTCATAAGAGATTTTATAATAAAATCGACGTACAAGAATTATTTTTCAGTATCAACAATTTTCTTCAATTTTCTTCAACAGTTGTAAATGTTTTATTCCATTATTTAAGGTATCTTTTTCTTATTCAAATTGTGTTATCTGACATGTGTGTTTCTTTCACATTGTTCCCTTAATTATTAATTGCATTAATAATATACAATACCTTTTATAATATCTATAATAGAAATTTTGTTTGCAGGAGTTTTATGGCAGAGATGACGCTTTATATCAAGCAACTTGGACGAAGTATGTTAATTTCTATTCTATTTACTGGTTTATTTAATTGTGTCCAGTCATATCACATACTAATTTTCTAATATATCTTGACATGTTTCAGGTGTAACTGGTCGCGAAACTGGATCGAACAAACAAACAGCTTCGAAAAGCTGTGCCTTGTCCCTTGTTCGCCAACTGTATCATCTAGGTGTTATTGAAGCATTTAGTGGCACATTAAAAAAAAATAAGGATGTTGAACAGATGAAACCTTATCCTGTGAAGATTTCACCAGAGCTAGAAAATCAGATTCACGACGTCCTAATGGATTTGAATATAAAACCAATAGATATTAAACAGGTAATAATCATTTCTTTATTCTTTTTTATGTATGTGTGTGTGTAAATAAATGTATCAAATCATCTCATTAGATTTATATAATAAAGAAATGAAATATTTACTTAAAACATAGCCACCTGTAAAAGGAGAAAATAGTGCACCTGCGGTAAAAGAGGAAAATAATACATCAGCTACTGGCGTATCTTTGTTGACGAATCAAATTTTGGATGACTTCATGTCTTCTGTACCACAACCTGCTGGCGTTGTAAGCTGGTCGCCACCTCAGCCAAATTGGAATCCGTGGACTGGATGCAATATAGATGAAGGGCCGCTGGCGACAACGTCTCTGGATCAGTTGTCGGAAGATTTGATGAACGAGCAGCGCGAGAAGCTGCAACAGGATTCCAATTTACAGGCGAGCATCAAGGAAAGATCGAATCTGCCGGTTTTCAGCAAAAGAACTGAAATAATGAACGCGATTAATGATAATTCGGTCATTATCATACGCGGAAATACGGGATGCGGTAAGACCACGCAGGTTTGCCAGTTTATTCTGGACGATTATATCGCATCTGGCCAGGGTGCATATTGCAGCATAGTCGTCACTCAACCCAGAAGAATTTCGGCTGTGTCCGTGGCTGACCGAGTCGCCATCGAGAGATGCGAGCCTCTAGGGCAGTCGGTTGGATATTCCGTGCGATTTGAGTCCTACTTGCCGAGGCCCTATTCCAGCATAATGTTTTGCACTGTGGGTGTACTCTTGAGAAAGCTGGAGGGTGGCCTTAGGGGCGTGTCGCACGTTATTGTCGACGAGATCCACGAGCGCGATGTCAATTCGGACTTTATTATGGTGGTCCTTAGAGACATGATCCATCTCTATCCCGATCTCAGAATCATTCTCATGTCGGCTACGATTGACACGACGCTGTTTAGCGAGTATTTTAACAATTGTCCTGTGGTGGAGGTTCCCGGCAGAGCGTATCCCGTCCAGCAATATTTCTTGGAGGACTGTATACAGTTGACGGGTTTTGTTCCCCCTGCTGGTTCCGGGAAACGTAAATCTAAGGATTCGGACGATGTGCCATTGGGGGACGGAGAGCCGGAGGAAAATCTGAATAAGGTCATCGGCAACAATTATTCTATTGAAACGAAGAACGCTATGGGACAGCTGACAGAGAAAGAGATAAGCTTTGAGTTAATAGAAGCGCTACTTATGTACATAAAAAAACAGGAGGTCCCGGGTGCCGTGCTGATCTTCCTCCCTGGCTGGAATTTGATATTCGCGTTGATGAAACATCTTCAGCAACATCCTGTCTTTGGCAGTTCGTCTTATCTCATTATCCCGCTACACTCGCAATTACCGCGAGAAGATCAGCGTAAAGTCTTTGATCCCGTACCGCCATTCGTAACAAAGATTATCTTATCTACGAATATCGCGGAAACCTCGATCACGATCAACGACGTCGTCTACGTTGTAGATTCTTGCAAGGCCAAAATGAAGCTATTTACTTCGCATAACAATATGACTAATTACGCGACTGTTTGGGCCAGTAAAACGAATCTGGAACAACGCAAGGGTAGAGCGGGTCGCGTTAGACCGGGCTTCTGCTTTCATCTGTGCTCGAAAGCCCGATTCAATAAGATGGACGAGCACATGACCCCGGAAATGTTCAGGACGCCTCTGCACGAGCTGGCGTTGAGCATCAAGCTGTTAAGACTCGGCAATATCGGTCAATTCTTGTCGAAGGCGATCGAGCCACCTCCCATCGACGCCGTGATCGAGGCAGAAGTCGTCTTAAGAGGTATGTGCCTTTTTCTTGAATCAATTAATTTATAGAGAGAGTGATATCTTTATATCTGTATGTGTCTCACGCAGAAATGAAGTGCTTGGACAAGAACGACGAGTTAACGCCTCTTGGCAGGATCCTGGCGCGTTTACCTATAGAACCGAGACTGGGAAAAATGATGATTCTGGGATGTATGTTCCGCGTAGGCGACGCGCTCTCGACAATGGCCGCGAACAGCACCACTTTCCCCGAGGTGTACAACATGGGCCCGGATATGAGAAGGCTGACTACTCAGCAAAAGTGGTTTGCCGGCGCGAGGTACAGCGATCACGTCGCGATGTTCCACGCTTTTCAAGCGTGGGAAGACGCGAGATCCGGCGGCGAATGGGCGGAACAGGCGTTCTGCGAATCGAAAAGCCTGAGTCTGCCAACTTTACGGATAACTTCGGAAGCTAAGGTCGGCAGAACCGCGACGTATATCTCGCTGTCCTAATGTACGCGATAATAACCTCCGTTATTTCATTATATGTAGAATCAACTGCAAGCGCTGCTGCAAAGCGCTGGTTTTCCTGAGGAGACTCTGTGCCCGACTCCGTTAAATTATCAGGCGGTCGCGGACCCGCGTCTTGACATCATCACCGCGCTGCTGTGCATGGGCCTGTATCCCAACGTGTGCTACCACAAGGAGAAGCGGAAGGTTCTCACCACGGAATCGAAGGCCGCGTTGATTCACAAGACGTCGGTAAACTGCAGCAACTTCGAGCAGAACTTTCCGTTCCCGTTCTTCGTGTTCGGTGAAAAGGTAAATCTATAAACATTTGTCTCTTTCTCGAATCCCGATAACCCTCTCTCCATCTTGTTTCGTTAGATCCGCACGAGAGCCGTGTCCTGCAAGCAAATGACGATGGTGTCGCCTATACATCTGTTGCTGTTCGGGTCGCGTAAGGTGGAGTACGTGGACGGCGTGATTAGATTGGACAACTGGATCAACTTGGACATGAATCCACAACACGCGGCGGCCATAGTCGCTCTGCGACCCGCTCTGGAGAGTCTCGTAATTCGGGCATCCAAGGAACCAGAAACGGTCCTAGAGTTAAACCCAAGCGAAGAAAAGGTATAAATCAAATTTGGATTTTTATTTTTTTAAATGAGAGTGCCTCCGACTCGAGAAAATTATTCAGCGCATTTACATCTAGATATATTTAGTCTAATAATCTTGGATTATTTTGAAATTTATATATATTTAATTGGTGTAAAAGATTCTCTGTCGTTTATTTTTATTAAATTTCATATTAAACAAAGAAATCCAGAGTTTCTAAAGAACTTATAAAATTTCTAAATGAATAAAAATATTTTTAATTGGGAAAAAGTAGGTATATTGAAGCCAGCGACGTCAATTTCACTTTGATTTCGCTGCTATTTTTGTTTCCTTTTGCGCTTATGTAACAACATGATTTTTATTATATTTGAAATAATAATTCTCTCTTTCTCTTTTCTTTTTCCGCACCATTTGGTACACGATAATGTCTTTTGAAAACGCTGATGAAAACCTTGTTCTCTTTCCTCAGACGTTAAGCGTGATCAAGGCGTTATGCAGTATGAACGCTTGTCGCCACGAGCTGGAGCACGTAGCTAGCGATGGATTCCAACCTCGAGCGAGGGGACCCGGCTTTCGCTCGAACTACAACGTACCTCCGAAACTGATGCGCGGAAGCGGCGGTTACCGCGGCCCTATTTCGAATAGCGAGTCCTATGGAGGAGGCGGCGGTGGCAGCGGTGGCGGTTTCAGCGGTAATCGCGGCGGTGGATACAGAGGAGGCTACGGCAACAGGGGACGCGGCACGGGCAGTCCGCGCGGTGGAAACTGGAACGGCGGTGGTGGATTTCGCGGACGTTATTTTAATAATTAAGTTACTAATTAATATGTTATTTAACATCCGCTGTAATTACCGTATCGCTGTCACACTTTAGATTGTATGGACCGCTTATGTTCATTTCTACCAATGCGGATTAACTTTAATCTCGGTTTAATTTACTTTTTATTTTTTTATCATTCTTAAAACTAGAAAAGGATAAAAAGTAAGCCGAGATTCAAGTTAATTGGCATGGCATTGGTAGGAGTGGACATTAGACATATATACAAGTTTGCATTGGATAAACCTATTGACATTGTACCATTATATAATAGTGCGAGGGTCGTTCAATAAGTCCTTAGAAAATCCTAAAAGGAGATTATGTTGAAAATTAAAAAAAGATCTACCCAAAATAACTTGTTTTTCTATCTTTTTCTAAGGACTTATTGAACGACCCTCGTATACACCTACAATACGATAGGCTGCATTCGGAAACTTCGTACGACTCAGGTACGTGCGTCGTGCACACCAGCGTCGTTTTGTCCTTATTAAATTTTTAATAACAAAGAACGATGCTGGTGTGCACCCGAGCGAAGTTTCCGAACGCAGCTAATGTAATATCGAGCATATAATGTATGGACAAGTAATTCACATGTCTACACATGTAAAGGAAATTTTGTTTCTTCTTTCTTTTGACACTCGTACACATAATATGAGAATACTTTTCTTTATCTCTTATTTGTTAGTATTAGGAAATTTTCTAAGTTATCATTGTATACAATATAATCGTAAATAAATTGTAACGCGTTCATCGCAATCGCGTGTTTGGAACGGCTTCCGGATAGACCAAAAATCCATTCCTCCCAGACAGCACGCACATGTCTATTTAGACGTGCGCTGTCTGGGCTGCCTTTTTTTTAATTCTCTCGTGTATCTATGTGATAAGGGAATTTTTTAAATCTCGCATCGGCGCGATCGTGGCTGCGCCCAATTGCGCCACGTATACATACCACGTAGATTCGCGTCGGTCAATGATAAGCGCGCGCGCTATCAGTCGCCCGTCGGGTGACGCCACCGGCCACGGCCACCTTGCCACCTAACGGAAGTGAACCGAGAGTAGGCGAAGGCAACATCGACAACGTCGTCCGTCGCTGTCCGTCGCGGACGGGGGATGTCGCGCATCTATTTCCGAACACGTTGCACAAATCGGGGTCGAAGGGGACTGCGGCTGCGGATCGCTGGACGCTGGTTGACGAGAAATGGCGTTGGCGAGGAGGAGCCGCGCGCCGTGAAGGCCGATCGTGTCTGCTCGTGTCACCCTCGATTGACAGTCGCGCTCCGAATTTCCTGTTGATTACGCGGAAGAGAAAGAGAGACAGGCGGACGGACGGACAGAGCAGACGAAGTGAGTGAGCGAGCAAGTGAGTGAGTGAGTGAGTGGAGTGAATGTCAAAAGACCCATCTCGCCCGAGCGTTCGCGAAAGAAGAAGGAAGGAGCTCAAGGGAAGAAAAAGGAAGAAAAAAGCGTGATCTCGCGCGATCGGATCGGTCCCGTCCGTTTGTTCGTCCATTCGTCCGTGCGTGCGTGTGCGACTCGCACGAGGTGGACGAGGTGAGTCCACGACGGGGGACTGGGGAGAGAGAGAGAGAGAGAACGACGACGACGCGCAGATGATGCGATGAGACACCGCGCCGACCGCGCGTCGAGTCCCCGACGTCCCCGTTCGCCGATCCTCGCGCAGCGAAACGACACGAGGCCGCTCGAGCGCGTCCGCCCGCGTTCCCCGCGCGACTCCACGGACGGTGTCGCACGCAGGAGGTTATAAGCGGAGTTATGCGCCTGACGTCCGACCCGACGACGTACGTCGATCGCGGTGGACCGCTGCCGAGCTCGCCCACGACGCCTACCGCAGGTCCCGCAGGTCCGGCGAGTGGACGGCTTGATGCCCCACGCTCGAAGACGCGCGCCCCTCTGCGCCCTTTAACGCCCTCGACGACGTCCCGTGCCCCGGGATCCGTTTAACTGGCTGTGAAAAGTGCAACGTAACTGTATCGAGTCCAAAGAGTTGAGTAGTGCGACAGCATAACAAATATCCATACAGATCTCTGCGTTTCACGCTTCTTCTTTGTGACCAGATGGTGCGAGGAGTCTCGGGATATTGAACGTATCTTCCTTTCCCTAGGAAGTGAAATGCTAGCATTTTACTTGCAGATTCGAGTAGACTGAGTGGAGTGTTGCGGCAGATTGACATCAACCACGTCTGCATTAATCTCGTGCTTTGCCAGCCTGCTAACGTAATCTGATTGCCAGCAGAAACGAAGCAAAGTTGTGACATTTTGTAATCATTCAAACAGAATAGATCATTTAGATGATTAAGGGATGATAGATTCTTCTCGATTTCTATGGTCAATCTGCCATTGCACTCTATTAACAGATTTCTACTGACACTTTGTTGATAAAATTTGTAGACATTTTGCAAAATCTGTTTTTAGTGATACCTAGAAGTATGTTAGCAATTTGCTTGCAAATTTGAGCAAAATGTTGCAGCAGATTGGCATCAATTGCATTCATATTAAAGTTATACTCTGCCAGCAGAATTCGACATAATCTGACAGCAGACTGCCAGTAGAAACCGAGCAAAATCTCATTTTATAATCATTTAAATGATTACAAAACAGTAGATGTCGCTCAGCTTCTATAGTCGTTCTACCACATCTGTTAGCAAATTCTACAAAATTTCCACTGGCATTTTGCCAACAAAATTTATTAGATAGATACCATGCAAAACATGTTTTGATAAACATGTTTGATAAATTGGCTATCTGGACTGTTGTCATTTCTTATACTTTAGACTTACAGAATATACTTGAATCATTTAGTTGATATGAACCCATACGTCGGTAATAGATTTTTGGAAACTAAACGTTATTATTGAATCTTGAAAATATATATGGAGCCTAATTATTCATTTGGTTCTTTAATCCCATCTGAATGTTAGAATAATATATAATATTACGTTCTTCTGTATTATTGTTGCAGGTATATAGGTAGATATATATATATAAAAACACGTCAAAATGGAGATCAATCAAGAAACGGTCTACGGCACGCACGAGGATAGCCATGTTGTCATGTCGGAGAAAGTGCAGTCTTTGGCAGGCAGCATTTATCAAGAGTTCGAGAAGATGATAGCGAGATACGATGAAGATGTAGTGAAAGATTTGATGCCTCTCCTAGTCAATGTGTTAGAATGTTTGGATATATCATATACTGAGAATCAGGAACGTGAAGTCGAACTAGAGCTATTAAGAGAAGATAACGAGCAACTTGTCACCCAGTACGAAAGGGAGAAGCAATTGAGAAAAGCATCAGATCAGGTAATTGCTTAGCTTTTTTTTAAATTTCATCATAAATTATAAATTTCTAGTGCACAAAATAATAATACAATTATGCCGTAATGTAACGTAATGTAACGTAAATATTTTTATAACAGAAACTTCTCGAACTAGAAGATGTTTCCGAGGATGAAAGGAAGGAGCTTCTGTCGAAGATTGATAGCTTAGAATCTATCGTAAGAATGCTGGAACTGAAGACTAAGAACTCTCACGATCACGGTACAAATGCCATTGGCGCTTCCAGTCTACCCATTCACAGTTCTTCCCTCTACAGTAGAGTAGAAGATTTTGTTCTTTTTCTTTTATTTATATTCTTGTGTACTATTCTGTGCGAGATACATAGGGTGCAGGTTTACTATACATTGTTCTCTGTTCATTTGTAATTTTTTTTCATTCATTCTCATATTCTATTATTTTATATATAATTTTTATTTATGATGCTGTTGTATATTTGTCATTTGATGCTTTATTTATAAATGGTTATTTACTTTTGTTTTTACGCTAGTGATAAATGCTTGCTATTTAAATGACGATTACTTAAATTGAAAATCTCTTGCTTGTGTTAAATATTGTTTACTACATGTTTTGAAAATGTGGAACACGTTCTGTGTCCAGAATTACTTTACATACAGATTACGCATACATACATTGAATATTCAAATTTTTTTTTCTTAGTTGGTCGACTCGAGGAGAAGGAAGCTGAATTGAAACGCGAGTATTCCCGGCTGCACGACAGATACACGGAATTATTTAAGACCCATGTCGATTACATGGAGAGGACCAAAATGCTGGTTGGTAGCACAGAAAGACTGGAGAGCGTGTCATCTGCCACCCGTGCACCATCGCGGTTACCTTCCCTTGGACTTGCTCATATGTCGCGTAGTTCCGGGCCGCTTAGTTACGGCTTTCAGAGTTTGGAAGCTAGCATAAACGCCGAAGATGTTCAAGAAGATATCGTACCAAATGTCGCTAACTTGAGAACCGAAATGTTGGATAGTAGCAGTGAGGCCGCTATCGAAACGTCCGACAAAAGCCAACTAACTGATCAACCAGTACAAGAGAATAAGACTACAACTATATCTAGACGTATGTTGCGTTTGATAGGATCTTGTAAACTTTGCAATGTGAGATTCTCTAACTTAAAAATATATTTTTGCAGATGAAAGTCCGGAAACGGAAGTACCGCCAACTTTAATAACGCCAACGACGCCGACCGCGGGCATAGAGAAGTTAGCAACTACGCCGGGAGGTAGAAGCAGGACCGAAAGAGAGCAACGAAGCGGCAATACGTTGTATCAAGAACTAAGTTTCCAAGACGCGGATGCGCTAGGCGAGATGGACGAAGGCGCAGATATCACCGGTATGTACACTTACATTATATGGAAATATTATCTTAAAATTTGTTTTTCTTTTCGAAAAACTAAATCGATACATTCGATTTTTAGGAAGTTTAGTACATCCTGGAGAATACGCTTCATCAGGTACGTTTGATACGTTCACGACTTTTGCAATATGTACATATATTCATTCATTCATTCATCTTTTGAGTTAACAGTTTCCTTAACTTGTATTATGTTTCATTATTTGCTACCGCATCCTGTGCTGGCTCGTGTCGTACTTCCAACACGCGATCGCATGACACTAATTACCATGCAGTCAATGACAACTTCTTCGGTAAGATATGCTATTAATATGTACAGTATATCTACACGATGTACGATATACATTTTTCCAATAATTAACATCAGATCTGTTGACAGGATAGTTATTCTCAAACATGCTTCTTTATAACAACTATTTACGAATAAAAATCAGAAATTCTAGTTACAATATATATACAATGCTTATTTTTCTTAATTGTCTATTGCTATGCATGTAACATTGTAAATAAAAAATTTTAAATATAAATCTCTAATTAAAAAAATTAAACAATATTTAAGTACAATGTACTTGATTTCTAAAAGAAAAGTTTTGTTATGTTATTATATATTTATCTGTTTTTTACAGGCATGGGAAAAGAAGTAGAAAATCTTATTATGGAAAACAATGAATTGCTAGCAACAAAGTAAGTTTTTCATTTTATTAATAAGGTAACATATCTTTAGTGTGTATTTCAATAGTCTAACATTAAATATTTTCTTGTAGAAACGCGCTTAACGTTGTCAAGGATGATCTAATTGTCAAAGTGGATGAATTGACGAGGTATGTCATTATTAAATTTTTTTTATTGCAACATTAATATAATTTCTAGATATTATTAGAAACTTTAACATTCCAGTGAGCAAGAAATATTACGAGAGGAGGTTCGAGGTTTACAGCAGGCGCGTGAACGATTGCGGCAACGAATTGTCGCCCTCGAGGAAGAACTGAAGAAGGTCAAGGAAGAAGCAGAAGCGGCAGCTAAAGCGACGAAAAGCGACGACGAGGAGGATGTACCTCTGTCTCAGAGGAAGCGATTTACACGCGTGGAGATGGCAAGAGTGCTCATGGAACGAAATCAATATAAGGAACGATTTATGGAGCTCCAAGAAGCTGTCAGGTGGACGGAGATGATAAGGGCTAGCAAGACCGATCCTTCCAGCATCTCGGGTGGAAAGGGTTCAGTGTGGAAGTTGTACGTGTCTATCGATCCAATGAACGAAAACGAGGAAGGAGCTAGACTAAAAGAAAATTAATCTGTTCTTTTCGTTTCAGTTTTAGCAATCTCTTCACAGGCCCAGCCGATCGAGGGACGTTAGTGCGTTCCGGGCACACGTTGCCGCATGTACGGTACAGTGCACCGGCGAATCAGGTCGTTCCAGCACCGCCCCTGGATGCCATGCGTAGACGTACGTTGAAAAGTCGCCAAGACTTTCTCGACCAAGGAGACACCATGTGAGAAATCAATCAAATTTTACTACATGCACGTAGATATGTTACGTCGACTTGACACATCGAAACCTGCCTAATTTTAATCTATTAGTTAGATTTTACTTTCATTTTCTTTTATCATTTTATACTTCTTTTTTTCCTGATCTGATCATCATTTAACGATCTTGAGTTCGTTTTCTTTTCCAAGGAAAATATCTCTCGCGAATACGTAATGTTATACACAGGCTACAATTCAACGCGTAACCTTGGTACTCTTTATTGTCAAAATAGTGACGAACATACAAAAGGTAATATTCTAATTTTATAATTCATGTGGGGCTGAATAATGAGAAAGGAATTTAGTATGACTTTCTGAATTGCTCATCTTTGCAGATTAGAATCCTCTTTGGTCAGTTGGGATCCATAATCTTTTGTCGTGATTCACGATATTAGTCTCAATTGCGCTAAAAAGACGTGAGTCTTTTTGAATAATTTTAGCCTGTTTTACTGGCAAGTTTGCGCGCATTGATGTATTAACCAGTTTTAGCTTCATTCTGTAATCTTTTTGGCTTTCGATGAGTATCTAGAGACGAAAATTTTATTGGATCCGGGCATATCATCAAAGTGAGAACAATGTAGCGTTTTGTGACGCTAGCAAGATTATTCTTCCCATGTTCTGTTTTGATTACTGTATATTTAATTCTATTTTTAAATTTCTTTACCAAATTACTCGTTGATCAAGTTTTATTGTCAAGTTTTAGCATGGTTTGTATATTACGATGATATATATAAAAAATTTGTTGCTCATAAAAGTGCAAGAGTTGCACTAATTAAGCTACTAGATAGATAGATCAATTTTTCATAGTAATATGTTTGAACAAAAAAAAAGAAAGAAATACATAATTTTGTAAATACGAATTTGTACAATTTCTGGAAAAATAATAACATGCGATCATTATTGATCGAAAGAAATAAATAAAGTTTTGATTACGTTATAAACTTGGCCTTCATTTCACTCTTGTTACTGCGCTTTTGGTCTTTTTGTTGTTCGGGTTTCGTCCTTGCCTCTCCCTCGTGGCGTTGTCAAGAGATACCTGGTTTTTCTGGCTTCGGGTGGGGTGCTTATTGGTCAGCAGGTAAATCTGTTCCGCTCTACTTCTAACTTTCGAAGTACGATAGAGAGCCCATAGATATATCCGTATCTAACATTCCGTATCCTATATGTCAGTAAATTTACAAGAATGAGACTATTGTCGGCTGTGAGAATCGGTGGAGATGGAACCAAAATGATCGGAAGATGTGTATGGTGAAATGGATGGTCGGACGGACAGTCAACAGTCACAGTTTACTATTTGCTAACTCGGAAAAGTTGCAACGATCTTTTCCCTTCTCGCTCGAGACTCGTGAGCGTACGATAATTAACGTAATCATTCGTGTCGTCTTTGCAGATCGTCCGAGAAGCTCGTAGCGAGACGCGCGAGCGAGCGAAGAGAACAATATCGTCAGGTGCGGGCGCACGTTAAAAAGGAGGACGGTCGTCTGCAAGCTTATGGATGGAGTTTACCGGGGAAGCCAAGCGCTCCCGTTAGACAACCACCCGTCCCAGTTCCGGTATATTGTCGACCGCTGCAAGAAACCGAGCCAGGCATGAAGGTACGTGTTATATTATCCCGTTTCTTGATGAAAAAAGATCGATAAGCGAGAATCCACTGTTGATTTTGTTAGATTTGGTGCGGCGCCGGTGTAAATCTAAGCAGTGGTAAAACACGTGACGGCGGATGCATGGTCGGCGGAAGCGTGTTCTACGCGGCCGAGGCCCAGGAAACGAGCAACACGAAGGTGGAGGCTGAAGATGCTGTTGAGCACCTGGACAAGGAGCTTCAGGAGAACGAGAACCGACGGCTCGAGGCGGAACGGTGGGAGCAACAGCTCAGCTCGCTCGTCTGGATCTGCACCTCGACGCAGAAGATGTCCAAGGTTACGGTGATAGACGCGAACAATCCGGCGGACGTTCTGGAGGTGTTCAACGTTTGTCAGGGACATTTGCTCTGCATCGCGAGCGTGCCTGGTGCCAAAGAAAGCGATTACACGCAATCCTCGAACGAGAATTCAATCCGCAATTCGGCGAACGGCACGGCGAATGACAGCGAGAACAACAACGGTGCCTGCGAGGATGTCACGAATGCGAACGAGAACGACGAGCAGAACGGCCAGAGGAATCATCAGGACGCCGAAACCGCTGTCGATAAAAATAAAAGCGAATCTGACAATCAGTCAGAGGATCAGGCCAACGAAAATACCGAAAAGTCTGCCGAGGATCAAAACTCCACGAACGAGCCGCAAAGTCTGGAAAGTATAGACAGCGAGACCGCAAACTTGGGAAAGGTAAATTTCGTACGGTGCAATGCTGAGGCGCATCCTTCGCGATCGAACGACAAAGATGCCGCGAACGAGGAGGCGAAGGAGGAGATCGTTGAAGTGACACCCATCGAGAAGATGTCGTCCATACAACCGACCATGTGGCTCGGAGCTCAAAACGGCGCGGTGTTTGTTCATTCGGCCGTTGCTAAATGGTCGATGTGCCTGCACTCCGTGAAGCTGAGGGATGCAGCGTTAGCTATTGTGTACGTAGCTCTTTTGAGTAGTAAGGACCGTAGCATACAAAAAAGGAAACTTAAGTAAGAGGAAACTTAAACAAGAATTTGATGCTGTAGTCCTAATTGGAAGATTTTTACTGACGAGAGATTAATGGAAACCTCTCTTCTCATTAGACACGTGCAGGGCCGAGTTCTGGTCGCTTTAGCAGATGGAACTGTAACGATATTCCGAAGAGGCGCGGACGGGCAATGGGATTTGTCTCAGTACCACGTGATCACCCTCGGTAGCCCTCAACATTCCATTAGATGCATGACCGCGGTTAGCGGAAAAACAGTATGGTGTGGATACAGAAACAAGATTCACGTGATCGATCCTATTTCGATGACGCTTGAGGTACAGAATTGACAATGAGATAATTCTTAAAAGGATACGACAAAAAGCATGAAAATTAAGCTTAACAAATTAATAAAACTAAAATTTCAATTTTACAGTGCACAGTGGACGCGCATCCTCGCAGAGAATCTCAAGTGCGGCAATTGGCGTGGCTGGGTGACGGTGTGTGGGTCAGCATCAGGCTCGATTCGACGTTAAGACTCTATCACGCTCACACGTACCAGCATCTCCAAGACGTCGACATAGAGCCGTACGTCAGCAAGATGCTCGGCACGGGAAAACTTGGATTCTCCTTCGTGCGCATCACCGCTTTGCTCATTTCCTCGAACAGGCTGTGGATTGGCACTGGTAACGGAGTAATAATCTCAGTGCCGTTGTCGGAGAGTAAGTAAAGAAACAGCACGATATTTTCATTCATTGGCACTCGCTAATTTTGTAACACCGTGGTGCTGCAGGTGCGGGTGGTTCAATGGCGGTATCCAGAGTGCAGTCAAGTAACAACAAGAGCGACGCCCCGGGAGTCGGTGTCAGGGTCTTCGCGTCGGAACGAGGCGTCACACCGGGAAGTTTCATACCTTACTGCAGCATGGCCCATGCGCAGCTTAGTTTTCATGGGCACAGAGACGCCGTGAAGATGTTTGTCGCTGTACCTGGTGAGTTTCAAAAAGATCGATATCATCTATGCCAATTATTATTATTATTTTTTAAGATTGATAACTTTAAATCAAATCGTTTCTAGGCCATGGTGGTCAGAGCGCGGTGACGGATGGAACGCAACCTGCGATGCTCGTTCTCTCGGGCGGTGAGGGTTACATCGATTTCAGAGTTGGTAAGCAAATTTTTGTAATGGTTTGCAAGGTATGCCATCTTAATTACAAATCCTAAATAAACTCTGTAAAAATGTACCGTTATAAGAGAAGTGAATTTTTATCATTATTATCTTTTGTTATACGAAAATTAGTAAAGATTTATGAGTTGTTACTTAAATTTGAGTTTAACGAGTTATTGCAATTTTAGCAGATGAAGCTGAAGACGAGAGTGATGTGGCAACACACCTAATTGTGTGGCAGATGGTCAGGTATGCCCCCAGAGAGAAGCAAGAAGCGTGATTGATTTCTATGTCTCAATTTGAATGAGCATTTCTCTGTCCTGACGAATGTCACTATTAATCGGTGCATCCTTTACTAACAAAACAATATTTCCCACTGTTGCACGGTAGAACAAAGTTCGACTAACAACATCATTCCTATAATCTTTGCATATTGAATATATATACAATATATAAATATGACTGTGGGGTGTCTCGATTTTCTACAGATTGCTTGCGTATTTATCGCACATGTGCAAACATCAAAGTTTAAAAACAAGTATATGAAAAAAGAATTTAATATTCTGATTTTTTAAAAGCGATAGTATATCATATATCTTATTCTCTGGGGGTTGGGCTTTCCCATCTATCATGCATTATCTTGTAGAAAACGCGACTTGTGCCTGTTTTCTCTCATTTGGGGATATCCATTCGGTATCAATAACTTACATTTTAACTACCTTTCAGGTGATGGAGAGGATACGGATGAAACCATGGACCGATCGAATACTACGGTCAGCAACGAAGAACACGGTGAACAGAGTCATCTGATTGTGTGGCAAGTGCAATGTCCCTTACCGATGCCAATCAATGGCTAGCCTATGGACGGGATCGACAAGCGTGGCTTGCTGGATGGTTCAACTTGCAACATGGCATTACATGTGTCGTCGATGGATAACCGGATCATGGATTATTATCGGATTATGGATAGTGAATCATTGATACTCGAGCGAGCGATCCTCGTCGCTGCGAACTAATGTGTGCTACCTACACTTAGATATACTAATATAACAATTGTAGCAGAGTTAATAATTCCCAAAGTAATTATCACGATTTTTCATATTAACAGAGCAGAGACGATGGTATCAAATCATATAAATTTTTTTGAATCATGAATCAGTTATCGCGCGATATTCTTCCATAGCAGAGGTATATTTATCGTGTGACGTTTCTTGCATGCATGCGGGCAGAAATTTTCGCAGGGTGTATAAATTTTATCGACGCAAATCATTGAAATCATTTTTAACTCCGTTGTTTAATCATCTCTCGCTTTCTTGTTGAGCCGCGCATTCCTTAACTTAAGCCTGCGTACGTAGGATCAAATTGTTTAAGTGACATGTGCCGAAGGGTTTCTCACGACGAGTGTTCATTTTTACAATATCACGTTTTACGAATGGCGGGGTGGTAGCGTTATTTCAACTAACCATTGTGATAATGCGACGACGACATTACAACGCGGGACGGGATGAGTTTCGAAGCTGCCGTTGCCACATTGCTACAATATAAAAAAAAAAAAACATTCGTTCAAAGTACTTCGCGTTATGTACCTGTCGCAAGAATATTTCTCAGTCGCCGTTGTTATACACGCAGTACGCAGAGGATGCGGACAGTATAAGGTGCGTGCAAACTCAGGCAGATTCCTAGGCGTAATGTAATATTAATTTTCCGTCGGAGAGTATATTATTTTCCAGACCTAATCGATTTTCTTCGCGTACATCGTGTCGAACATAATGATAATATATATATATACATATATATAATTATTATATATATTCTTCTCTTCTCTCCCCTCGAGCATTCATCGTTAGATCGTGCTCGGCGAAATGTAGCGGTTTACACGATTATTAGGAGCGACTCGCCAATGATGTAAATAACAATAAGATGTTTATATAGCGTCGTTATGTAGATCTGTTATTTAATTTTCTTTTACGGACGAGCAGCATTAATTTACAAGTACGTAAGACCTGTAAAATCCTCTATTCTTGCATACTTTAGCTCACCCTCGGTATGCTACCAAAGAAGTGAAACGACGATCAGATGATGTTGTTTGTATTATTTACAACGAGAATTATGCTTAGAAGAGGAATGTTTTGCTCTTTGTCCTTTTTAGCTCTCAGCCGAGCCAACTGATATCCGGACTGAAATGAAATTTTTGTAAATTCCCACAATGAGGCGGCGCGATTTAGACGGCAATTTTTAGATACGTGCGATAAGAGGGCTGCGCATTATCGTGCGAGCCGGCTTTTAATGTCGAGCTCGGAATTGTACCTGGCTCAGGTGGCGTTGTAACGGCATTAATAAACGAAGTTATGGAACTTAATCATTTGCCATCGACTTCTCTCGTAGTTCCGGTATGAATTAATGCATGCAACGTTTTGGAACTGTTCTCACTTTCCTAAAATGAAGAACAATGACGTTTAATTAATTGTATATTGTGATTAATACATAGCACTCGACTTATTTCCATGATGTAATAATTAAGACTCGACAGGAGTTTTATTATATAATACTTGTTTCTTTATCGCTTTTCTAATTTTATGAAATAATGTAGCTTATACATATATGTCAGTTTATATTGATTTTTTAGCACTCCAAGTTTCGCGAGTGATATGAAATGTGAATTCTATTTTTACCGAACAAAATGCAATCTATCAGTAACTGTCAAGCTGTCCGCTTGGACGTGCTTGGACTCGTAAATAATTTTGCTATCTTTAACGACACTCTGGAACACGAACAGTGATAATTTAATCAGTATATTTTAAGGTACATTTTTTAATCATCGTTTTGCATTCATCTCTTGTGCACAAATGCATATTCTGTGTTATTTAACCTGTGATTAGAATGCTATATATTTTTCTGTTTGCTTTATTTAAATTATAATAAAAGTAATAAAAAAGTTATTAAAATAATCGCCGCTTTATACAAACGTTTTGATCTTTTGATTCCAAGGAACGTAAAATTTGTATAAGTAAAGTACTCATAAAATTTTTACGTCGAGAACACTTGGATTTTTTATATGTTTACTTGCAAGTTATAAACTGCTTTTATTTTTCAAGGTAAAATTATAAAGAGTTCAAAAATATGCAAACAGATTCGAACCTATTTGTAAAATACTTAATCTCATCACTAAATTATTAAGATATTATTTGGATAAATTAATCGTTTATAGACGATATTATTATGTTAAAACTGATTTTACGACAAAGCTGTTCGAGTTCAAATTGACCCACGCATAACGCAGTGTATTGCAAGGATATCTACTATTAAAAAAAATCCAAATTTTAGAAATAAAGTCAAGAAATATTGATAATAAAAAATTTCTTTCTTAGAAGTTAATAAATTATGCGATGAGTCCAAAGTAATTTTGAATAATATAGTCTATGAATGTTAAAATCTTATATTTAAAATCGGACTGTAAATACCGCCCTATATAGGATCGATCGCTCGACGAATCGTACCGAGGTATGCCGAGGGCGCGTTCGGACTTGGGCCGGTTTCTTCAAACAATCCCGCTTCTCCGTCGACGTGAAGTTGCCGCGAATCGCGCGCTCTCCCACTCATCGCCATTGCCGTCCGCTACGTTCCGAGTGTTCCGACTCCGGCACGGACATGATAAAAGCTCGCCGCCGTCGTCACACGCGCCACTGGCCAGTCGCCGCAAAACGCCGGAAGACTTGCTTGTAAATCGCGTCGTGTTCAATTCCGCGCCTCGTGCATCCTCGCCTGGACGATTTTACGGTAACTGCAAGAAATCGACCGTCGAGATGGCCTCCCCGATCAGGGATCCCGCTGCGGAACAGCTGAACGATTACAAGAGGAAGCAGCAGGTAAGGAAATCTCGTATCTCTCGCCTTTCTCGCCTATACCCAACATATCGCGTAGTTGACAGTGATGCTCATTGCTCAATCCTCGTCGTGTCGTGTCACGCAAGATTGATTGCTCGTCCGCAAAGATAAAAAAAAACAAGCTCAACTATTTCAGGAATCTTGTACTTTCGTGTACTTAAACTTTTTTAAGGGGACTGGCAGTGAGATTTATCGAAAATAAAGATTTTTTTGAGAATTTATTACAAAGAAATGAATTGAAACAGACTTGTCCTGTAACACAATGTTTATTAAAATTGTAAAATCAGGATTAAATTATAACAAACAATTTTTTTATTAAGTTTATGATCCTAGTAAACATTGCGTTAAAGAACAAGTCTCGGCTTTAATTCATTTCTTAATAGTTCCCCCAAAAAAACTTTATTTTTGACAAATCTGGCTGCCTAGTCATTTCGTATGTATGCGTGAGCTAGTCGATGTTTATCGAAGCGAGGATGACTCGGCTATTTACAATATATAAACGCAATAGCTGTATTAGAGGCATATGTTGGTTTTTCAGCAAAAACGAATATGTCTATTGTGAGTAATGAATTAATTAGCATGTACAATGTCTGCAATGACGTCGTTTTTTATCAATATGCACGCATTGAATGCAATAATTCGCGTTTAGGCAGTTGCGGTGTAATTATAACTGTGTTGTAATTGTAATTTTGATAGAAAGTAGATCTAACAATAAGTATCTAACGAGATAAAATTAATTAAATTAATATATTTGAAAAATATTACATTTGCTTGTATATTTAAAAAAAGATTGCAATTTATAGCACTTCTTCATTTTTATATTTTATTTCTTCCGTGAGATGAAAAAATTGAAAAGGAAAACAGAACAGATGGAGACTCTCTGCTTGAAATGCTAAATTTCTCTGCTAAAATTAAACTAAATTGTATCTGTATTAATTAATGATGGTTGACGATTAAAATTTGATACTCTTTTATTTTTATTTTATTTCTTCCGTGACGTAAAAGAAGTAAAACGAAAACAAAATAAATGGAAGTTTACTTCTCTGCTTGAATAAAGTTGTGATTAAGATTATCTGAGAAATTTAGTAATTCTGCGATTGGGAAACGTCGCTTATTATGTACATACACACAGGATTAAGAATGCACATATAAATACTTTAACGTGTATCGGAGCGTGAAATTTAAAGCTTTCTGTTTAAATACTCATCGATGATTATTATTTATTCGCGAATGTAAATAGTAACACTTCACTTTCGAAGCAGCAGAGATGATATTTTGTAATCATGTCAATTTAACGAACAATGATAATATAATAATAATTAATAATTAATAATATAACAGTAATACTATATTTTTCGAATAACCGACAATCGTAATGCGCGAATATTTAGATAAGAAACGTGGGTCACGAGTGTGTCCCAATATGTGCCTTATATATTCACGTTTATTAACCCTTTGTTTATTAACCTTTATTTAGCATATTTTATCGAATCTTAGCATATGGTATTTGAGGTCACTGATTGTAAATCTGAAGTCAAAATTTAAGAAGTCGAATTATGGCTTATACATAACTAAAATTTTATACGTAAACAGTTTTTAAGCTTTTTATTTCAAATCTGCAGTTAAAATTTAAAAGTTCAAAATAGAACAAGTATTGAAGAAATCTTTGTTATTTTATAAAGAAAAACTCGCTTTTAACGTAGTCCAGATAATAATGAAGATGTATAAGCGAGGAGTCTTAAATGCAAATTGCAAATATAATGTTTCAGCTAAATATAAATAATTTTTTAAAGGACGATGGATAAAATGGACTACGTTTGGCCTAAAAAGTGTAATGTATAGGTACATGTGTTATGTGTTATACATGTACCTTTACATTTTTTATGCCGTGCCACGTGCTGTGGCATTAAAATTCCATGTATGTTTATTTACGAGCGTTGCACGCATAACTGTTCTTACGTTATTACGTAATAACACTCGCATCGGACAGAACGTTGTGACGTGCAAAAGACATGTCAAAAAGTGGGACAGTCGCATTAAGTAGAATCGTAAACATCATGATCGATCACATGCATTATCCTACATAGGTACCTACAGGTTGTTCACTGAAATGCGCAGTAGACACGCGTATGAAATAGTTGCGACGTATTGTCACGATACTGCACATTTTATTCTGTTTTAAAGGAAATCCATTGAAACCATGTACTATATTGACGACGTCGAATTATTGCGTTTTATTTATCGGAAACATGTTACACTTTTGAAGCTTTTGATTTAGCAGGACTTTCTGCGTTTTAAGGAGCCACTTAGGCTTCAAATATTCATTAAGGAAGAAACGAATGCTTTAAAAAGTTAACCTATCGACTTCTGTACTTCGGCTCGGTTACCTTGTATATTCATTTAATGATCACGATTCGCCAAATTAAAAACAAAGCTGTTAACTTTGTTTTTATCGCTTTAATTCTCTTATCTCTTGCATAAGCGAATTTTTTACTAGATAAAATACACGACTCGCAATCGCGTATTACATGTTATATCTTATATCATCCCTGATAACGTGCGAAGGTTCGAAAATATTATGTTATCCGATGTGGCACAAGCCCGATATCATAATTTGATATTTTAATTCCCGCGATCGAGATCAATACCATCCTTTATTCTTGAGTTAATTCTTTGAAGAGCTGTATAAGTTCCGCAAAGTTTAATATCTAATATAATTATAACTCAACGAGTGCTTCTGTCGATTCTATAATCTTTATGATAAAAAATTGACCAAAGCGTATCGATTATACCAAAATATTTGCGATAAACATCTACGGTAACTTCTTTTTAAGTTTCTTGTATGAATTTAGTTCCAAATAGTCTACGAGAAAGAATCGTGTCCCGAAATCGCTTAAAATTAAAACTCTTGTGTTCATTTCTGTCAATAGAGATTACTTAACTTCAATTCTTTTAAAACTGGAAAAATATAAAGAGTAAGTTAAATCGAGATTCAAGTTAATCTATATTGGTAGAAATTGACATTAAAATGTTACTACTAAAAAAAAAACGCTAAATACATCGTCGCGTTTCACTTTTCTTTCACATATATCGGGTGCAAAGTATTCAAATACAATATGTTTGACACAGTTTCGTTACGTTGGAATTTCTATATATATGTACACCGATGATAATCACCCATTGTTAGCTGAAAAATAAATGTGCACGATACAGCGATACAAGCTATCAGAAGGATTCAAAGTACGCGATTCCATCAAGATGCGTGAGCGTCGATGTGCACACGCGTAGTAGCTTCCACAAATACTGTTCACCTATTAATAACTTTCTAATAATTACTTTAAGATCTCAACGTTCCCAATATAACTAACATTCACTTTATTATCGCGATATTTTCATGAAAATATACAGGGTGTTTATCGTAACGATCCGCGCAATTTTTGAGGCAATTGCGACAATTTTAAAAAAATATTGTAAGGAAAACATTTATTTATTTTAGGCAAGCTGTAAAAAATTGCAAATATTTTTTTATAAAATAACCCAGGTAGCAAGATAACGTCTTAATGACGTTAGAAACGTATATGACTAAGTCTGTATAAATTGTATCGTGATTAATGATATTCCTCAGTTTGCATACATTGCGCAAGAATATATTTGCTACGTTGTCGAAGGCTAAATCATACTTGCAGAACGAGCTCGCAATATCGCATTTTATAGCAAAGTTGCGCGATAAATTTTATTGATATAATTCTGATTGATATTAGAGTGTATACCACAAACGCAGTTTCAGATCTCTCCGATCAATTTTGTATTGTTTTAGAAATTTGTTTCGTTTCGAAGGATTAATTCCGCTTTAAACATTATCAGTGTCCTAAAAACGTCCGACAAAATGCTAATGCTTCTTTATGTCATGCTTATCTGAGGCTCAGAAGATGAAAGCGCTGTAGGTAATAAGAAAATTATCAATATGGAAATTGATACGTATGTATAATTTATTTGAAGAAATTTCAATGTCGCTGCAGACATGTTTTTCCATTCTGGAATGTAACATATATACGAAGTATTAAAATATTAATTATTTTACACTAAAAAAATGTATTATTTGCAAAAAATAGATTTCGTAGAATTTAGTTTTCTTAATTTAAATAAGTATTGGGTATAGATTTAAGAAAACATTTATTTGAGTTTAAAATATTTTCTTGGATCTAATATACTTCTTTGAATTAAGGAAACTAAATTCAAAGAAATCTATTTTCTTGCAAATAATAAATTTTTATGTGTATATATAAAAAATTACAAAACTGCAACGCAAGCACACCGACAGTTATATCTCTTATCATAAGAATTCCTCATGTCACGATTTAGATAATATAAATATTGTAACTTTACGCGAGATGTGTGTGTGTGAGTTCTCACGCAAAAAAAAACTCTTGTTTCGATAGACGCATTTTTGCAGGAATTTTTGAAATTAAAATTTAACTTGGATTTGAAAACTCCATAAGATATCAAGGCTCCGGACATAGCCGGGGGGGACGTTCGCTCTTCAGTCAAAGATTTACATTGTTTGAAATCCTGAGGAAAAGGCAAGAATTATTAGAACGTTTAAAGTGTTTGCTCGCACGCAATCGTAATTTATCGCTAACAGCGTTCTTGAGATTTCTCTGTACTAACATTCGCTAACGATTCGCAACCTTTGCCGTGTAGCTTCGGACATTTAATCGTAGAAAATATGACTGCAGTTATTATGACGTCCGTAGATGTGATTAAGAAGCGAGAGTGGCGTCAATTATTTTTTTTTGTATTTTTGAATGATTTGTATTGCGAAGTAAATTATATGTTTTAATAAGATGTAATTAATAGATACGGTTAAGAAAATAACTAAAGCTGCGTCACTGTGGCGTGATGAAGTGCAGATACGGATAAGTTAAACATATTGTCCAGACGAGCAACATTTTTCTCTAATCACATCTATCAGATTAAACAAATAAAATGGAAGATTAAACTCTCTCAATTCGTTTTATCTCGCGATATCAGCGCGACACACCTCGTCGTAGCGCTCAGGTGATGTCTCTCCGAGACATTTGAAAAGGAAAAATGTGCTTATCCGGGCGTAATTTACATTCTAAAAGACCTAGCAACGATACAGTCGAGTGCATCGAGTCGACAACGACGATTTAAAAACAATATACGCTGTGTCACGTTAGAAAGAAGTTCTCAGACATTGCGATACGTCCGGCGCGCAATTGTCCGTCAATCTCAAGCCGTGAAATCGCATGGTTAAACATTCTTTGAAAAAATAACCGATATACCTCTGCATTGCAACTTAATAAACGTTCTGCAGATTAACTAGTAAAACAAAAATAGAAAATAGTCACGATTTCATGCGATGTCCTTGATCCTTGGTATACCGCGACTTCCTGAAGTGATAAAACGGATTTCTTTCTTAGACCTTTAGCCAGTAGTAATAATATTATTTATTATTTAATACCCATGTAATAAAAGAGATATATGTGTTGTTAATGCGATGTATATATTTACAGTATTTAAAATATATTTAATATCTGTGTCTTTTATATGTCATCTATAACAGGCAAATTTTCAGTAGAGAGTGTCAAAAGTAACATGGGGTTAGTACTAATTAGTAATTTTACTAACACTCTTATTAGTATATATACGCGGACATTTATTACTGTTAGTATTACTATTATAGTACTTTAGTATTATTAGAATTACTAGCACTCTGTTATTAGTATGATGTTAATATAAGATCAGTTATTAGATACAATTAATGTAAACACACTTTAATTAACAGATATATTGTCTATAAGAATATTTCTAAAACATAATAACATATCATGTATTTTGTAACATATCACTATAGCTCTAATGAATTAATCATAGAAAAGAGAGACGAAGTTTACATCTTATGATTATCATTTGCAAACTGTTAAGTTTGCAATAAGCCTTGTTAAATACATATGATACAAAAAGAACGATGGTCTTTGTGACAGTATGATTTTTTACAGCTGCCAAAAATATTTATCACGTATAGAGATTTATGTGCATCAGAAAGATGAATCATAATTCTGGAAACATAATTCTCGGAGTATTACAACATCTGCGTAACTTAGGGTGCTCTTTTGCGCTTAACATGTTCTTATAGTTCCACAGTTATAGCTACTGACTTCAAGTAGCTTGCAGCAGTTGCTTGCCCAAGATTAGCGTTTTGTAACTAAAGAAAGAAAAAAAGGGAAACGATAACGTTGCGAGGAACAAGGTGCAGCGATTATGTCACTGCTGGTACTTTAGTCGTGGACGATAATTGCCGTGACGAGGCGACGAAGTGGGTCGCTGGCTTTTAGATGATAGATATAGGATTTCGAAAGTGCCATTTCTGGCAAATCCCGCACACCTATGATCAACGGGCGAGATTATTTCTATCGCATTAAGATTTTATCGCGATGTTTATCCTATAAAAAGCTTTCGCACTCGCTTCCAGATTGTTCATTAGCGAAATGAGTAGTGACGAAGGTTGTGCGGGCCGACGCGGTTTCTTCCTTACATTTTGGAAAAAAAAGAAAAAGTCTAATCAGGCGCGCAGGAAGACTTCCGACCCTTCCGACTGTGTAACGGAGCCTTTATACAGTTGCTGCTAAGATGATTAGTTGTGCGGTTAAATAAGCTAATAGAAAATGCCGGCTCGGCAAGCGTGGATGTCGACACACACACACATACACACACAACTCGGTTGCCTCTTATATAATTATATATTTTACTTACATTTTAGTTGAAGAGTAGTTTATTTGCAACATTGATAGTACTGCATCATCATACGAATATCTGCGCTTGCCATCTTGTATTGACCAGTTTATTTTTATTTATTATTTTTTCAAAACGTGAGCCAGCTTTTATTTTAAAAGAATTAAGTTGTTTGTTTAATTATATAATATATGTATACTATGCATAGTAATTAAAATTTGACAAGCACCATGCATACAATTTCTCAGACTTAATAACGTCGACCTAATAAAGAATGTTGCAGTAATTAATGATAAAATATTTAAAATAAAATCTTACGTATAAAAGAGATATGATTAACAAATAATTTTTAATAGAATTCTATAAGCATCGTGATACCATGGTTTTAGTGAAATTGATCAAATCTGCTAACAGTTAACGGAGTTTGTCAACATTCACGAGTATCACCTTGATTATCAGTCGACTATTTATAATTCTCAATTTATTTTTTTACAGAATGAGCCAGCCGTATTACTAACTGCCAATGGAGCGCCCATTGGCGAGAAGCAGGCCAGCCTCACGGTTGGTCCCCGTGGGCCAATGTTGCTGCAAGACTTCGTTTATCTGGACGAAATGTCGCATTTCGCTAGGGAGAGAATTCCCGAACGAGTTGTGCACGCGAAGGGAGCCGGTATGTTCTCTAATTTTCGATACTGATACACTTCTTATTATTGTACTCAACACACAGACGTGCACATAAATTCTGTTCCTAAAAAGATTTTTTTTTATAACTGAAATAAAAAGTATACATATTGCATAAAATGTATACATATTGAATTGATCAGTTATAATATAAAAATATTCATAACTATTAAAAATGTTCACCTAAACGGGTTTCAAACTCTCGTGACGCACGCAAAACCTCGCACATAAATCTTAATGAGTATTGACGCTGCCTTCACCAAATCAATCTTTAAAACCTGGATATTTTAATGATATTTAGAGCTCTTTCCTCTAAATGTTAGATTTATATTCTATGAAATATTAAGGTTTAAAGCCTGATGAAGGCAGTAGAATCGAGATTCTGTGTGTTGCGAGAGTTTGAAGCTCGATTATTTGAAAAAATTTGTAAAATCAAAAATGGATATTTTTAATAGTTATGATTATTTTTATATTATAATTGGTCAATTATTCAATAAAATATTTATGAAATAAATCCATTTTTCTTGGAATAGAATTTACAGCACGACCTATGTACATAGGTATCTTTCTACCATTTTTATTATTATTATAATCATTAACTTTATAACTTTTTCTTTTTGTAGGTGCGTTTGGCTACTTCGAAGTTACCCACGACATCACCAAGTATTCTAAAGCCAAAGTGTTTTCCAGCATTGGAAAGAAGACTCCTATTGCTGTAAGATGCTCCACCGTTGGTGGTGAAAGCGGTTCTGCCGACACTGTCAGGTAATAAATAGAGAAAATGCCAATGCTGTGTGATAGAATATTATTTAATTTTGATGCCGATGATTTAATGAATGTTCGAAGAAGGTAACTATGTTTCTCACTTGCCTTTTTGCACATCCAGTGTAAAAATGTATGGCAATTAGATTTTTTTGCATAAACTGGAAAACACACATGAAGTTACATTTTATTTTGACGAGTATATTGAGATAAATACTGCAGTATTTATTATGAATGTTTGCAATACCTTTCTTGTGTATAGGGAATACATACACATGAATCGTCTTTGTGTCGCCCTAGTTAGTTACGAGCGTATCTACATCTATATATCACTCCAATGTTTTTTGCAGTAGAGTAACTTTTTATCATTTCAATGTGATGCAATCGGGAACATGATTCACAAGGATTGCGCGCTGCACTTTTCAGAATTACGCTTTACTCATCTAATGCAACTAATTCGAGTGGTGAAATATGCGCGATAAAAGTAGAACGCAAAAATTCTTGCGTACGTTCATCTGATTACTATCAGTCTGCTTATTAAGTATATTATGTTTTTTTTTTTAGAGATCCACGTGGATTCGCCGTAAAATTCTACACCGAAGAGGGTATCTGGGATCTCGTGGGCAACAATACGCCGATCTTCTTTATCAAGGATCCTCTCTTCTTCCCGAGTTTTATACACACGCAGAAGAGAAATCCGGCGACTCATCTGAAGGTTCGATCGAATTTAAAATTATTATTCACAAATTATAGTTTAAAACTTTATTTCTATTATTTAAAATAGTATTCGTATAAAATATATTTCTCAAGTTATAAAAGCTAAATTTTATATTGTACTACAAAGCCTGTATCAATAAAACCTTTTTTCAGGATGCTGACATGTTCTGGGACTTTATCTCCCTCAGGCCCGAGACGACGCATCAAGTTATGTTTCTCTTTAGCGATCGTGGCATTCCCGACGGATATCGCCATATGAACGGCTATGGTTCACATACGTTCAAGCTGGTAAACAGCAAGAATGAAATGGTCTATTGTAAATTCCATTACAAGGTGTGTCTTATTTATTAAACCAGAAAAAAGTAACGTGTTATTAGATCTATTCATAATAGTTGTCCGAAAATAAATATTTAATGATTTCAGACTAATCAAGGGATCAAGAATATCCTTGCGGAGAAGGCCGCCGATCTCAGCGCTTCCGATCCTGACTACTCGATCAGAGATCTTTACAATGCTATTGCTAAAGGCAAATATCCTTCCTGGACGTTCCATATCCAAGTGATGACTGCTGAACAAGCAAAAACTTTAAAGTGGAATCCGTTTGACCTGACAAAAGTAATTATTCTCTAATCCACTCGATATTCTAGTTTAATAGATATTCTTTTGAAAACTATAAATAACATATTTTCTTACAGGTGTGGCCGCACAAGGAATATCCGCTGATACAGGTGGGCAAATTGGTGCTGGATCGCAATCCCGAGAACTACTTCGCCGACGTGGAACAAATGGCCTTCGATCCGGCACACATGGTACCTGGTATCGAGCCGAGTCCCGATAAGATGCTGCAGGGTCGACTCTTCGCCTACGGTGACACTCACAGGCATCGCCTGGGCCCGAATCATCTCCAGTTACCAGTGAATTGTCCGTACAAGGTAACGTTTTGTAACATCTCAGTCTTTAAGATGTTTTTTAAACATACGTGCTGAGGTCTTAAGATAAACTATAATGGCTTGGTATTTTTATCAGCTATGATAAAGTTTCTATCCTTCCAGAAAGAAAAATATAAACATTTATCCAAATGATAGTTTTCAATCATCTTTATTCATTTATAATAAAAAAATTACTTTTAACAATTTATAACTTAGAGATAATTTATAACTTAGAAGATAAGAGAAAGCACGAAAATCTTGCGTTGGCTCTCAGAGAGCTTCTTATTTGATATTTGAATTTTAATCTTCTGAGCCATTATATTCGGTTTAATAATTATTAATTATAATTAATCAAGATACAATATTTACATAAATTTTTCGACTAATGCAATATTGATTTTGTAGGGGATTTCCAATGCGATGCACTACCAACGGGATGGTAACATGCCAATATACAACCATGGTGGCGCACCGAATTATTATCCAAACAGCTTTAATGGGCCGAAGGAGTGCCCAGCCGCTCGCTCGCCGCCGTTCCATGTGAGCGGAAATGTGGACCGTTACGATCCTGTAGATGAGGATGACTTTGGTCAGGCCACTATCTTCTGGAAGAAGATTCTCGATGAGCCAGCCAAAGAGAGACTGGTGCAGAACATGGTCGGGAGTTTGTGCCACGCCTCGACATTCATCGTCGAACGGGCCGTGCGAAACTTTGCTCGGGTGGACGTCGATCTCGCTCAGAGATTGACGGACGGCTTACGCAGCTGCAAAATATATATTAACGCCTTGGGAAAATCGGCCAATCTCTGAAGAGGATATACTCGTCTCTCTCTCTCTCTTTCGTTTTGTACTATAACTGTATAACACGTACTAAAATACGTAATTACGATATGTTACATTTATTTTTCGATTAATCGAACTTGTTTGTCAGATCTTTGCCGAAAATATTTCTTTCTACACTCTTTAATCGATATTTTCTTCTACAGTTATTGTTTTATAATATTAATACTATTTTACGAGGGTGTAGGTCTAAAGCTATCAATGGTGCCTTTTTGCGTAAAAACCGAGCGTTATTCTATTATTTTTTCAGATACTGCGTTTTACAGTGACTATTGATTGTGACGATCTAAACATCTTTAGATTTTATGACTCTTTTAAAGAAGAGATGTGTTGGGATTTATATGTAAATAAAACTGTAAATTCTTACAAACGAGAGTATTGTACTCTGATATTTCTGTACCGCGTTCCTGGTTTGCCTTATTCGTACAAAAGGATTAAAAAAACGCCTGATTTTACCTTGACGCGAATTCAAGGTAGACGGCGGTGAGTCACGCTGCCAATTAGGGTAACTTGTGCGACAAAGCCATTTCGACTCCATTTAAACTGCATACAAAACGCATCCGCCTTTATCCGTCGGTCCGGAGTCGAGCTGAACGTTTCGCAGTACAATTTACAAAAGGTACGTTATTGCTCAAAATTTCCTTTCTTTAAAAAAGTAGATAAAAAAATCTGACATTTTTTTCATTTTTCAAGATAATAAATACTCAAGAGTATAATATATAATAGTATATATTACTAATATATTATACATATATAAATACTCAAAAGTACATATATGATAAAAAATAAAATATATATGGATATGGGAAATTAGTTAAGAGCTATTTTAAACTCCGATTAACTTAATTAATCGGAGTTTAGACGGTTTAGACCAAGTCACCCCAAAAGAGATGAATTTAAGGGAAACATTTATAAGATTCTATCGCATAACTTTAATTATTTTATTTAATGCTATACGAATTTAAATCAATTTATATTTTTTGACATTTGTCTTTTTATTCTTTCTCCATTTCCGAATCCAGATATATTTTTTCTTTTTAATCGTAGAAAATGCAAAAAGTGCAGCTAAATTAATTCTATTCCTATCCCTCTTTTGTTTTCATTGCACCTTGTACACCTCGCCTTCGTTTTTAGTTTCTCTCCAAACACACGTATGTACATACGTCTCATTTTAAGATAGAAAACGGTGCGTTCGAGGAAGTGTTAAATCAAACGGACCCAAAAATCCTCTTGCAACTTTTGTATTTTTCCTTAAATTTATAACAATGCATTCATCTCTTTACGGGGAAATGTGCGGCTCGAAAAAAAAACAGAGATCACGAGTTTCGGAGCGAAGACGTTCGACGCGACGCCGCGCGTTGCGCGACACTTCCGGCCGAATTTACGCAGCCGACAAGTGCGACAAGTCCCGAGATGTTGTAGGTGCGCACTGCGCGCGGCTCCTTCACAGCTGTTTCCACTTTCCACAATTCCAAATTCTTTGACAGATCGTCGCAGGTCGCGGGACTCGCGGGATGCTGGCCAGCGAGCACGCGCGTTCGCAGACAGATTCGATGTGCCGGCGGGCCTAGGGCTGTACACTCTCTGTACAGGGTGAGGAACAGGACTCCTGCGAGTCCTGCGGTGACAGTCGACCGCGGCAGTGCGAGCGATTAACCTGCGTGACTCCGCAATTCTTCCGGTAAGGACGTCCTGCGCGAGGAAGTTGTAGCTTCGCCCGAATCCCATCACGGACATTCTTTTTATAGTTACAGCCTGACCTACTTCTCGTGCTGAAGCACGACCAGCAGCCAGACCCGTGGTGTGTATCATGCTCTACGGCTAGTCTTTTAAAATTATATATACATATATATAAATATATATACACATCGAGACACTCAGCACTATGCCAGACAGGTACGTCGCCCACGAGTTTTGTTTACATCGTAATCTGGCCGTTACTCCGGTTTTCTTCTCTGTCTTAGGAGTAGAATTTTACAAATTTCAAGCTTTTCTTTTAAAAATGAAGTTTTAAGAAGTCTTGATGTAATGTGACATTCAATTAGCGTTATAAGTATTAGTGACCGATTCATTTCCCAGGTAGCAGAGCGACGTAACGTCTTAATGACGTTAGAGACGTCATCTTGCTACCTGGGTTTTTATCTTGTTATAATTGATATTTTTCGATCTGTGAGAAGTACCTATAATTAGGATGAATAGAATACATGTGATTTGGTCATGCTTTGCCAGGAACAAAGTGTTGGTCGGTGCCGGAGTAATATGGGGCGTGACCTTTTGCTGTCTTTTGTTTAGTCGCAAGTTGAGACCCACAACATTGTTAAATTTCATCCCTGCTATATTATATCGGTCAGTTCTTCTTTGTCCGATAACAATTCTCAGAGTGTTTACAGGTTCTTGGTGTTACTAATCACAAAGAAAAAAATTTGAAATCTATAAATGTTGCTCTCTGTGACATTTAGCTAAACACAACAGTCCACAAGCTATATTATATTTTTATTTCTTAACGATTATTTCAAACTTTAGCTGCATCATCTTATTGGTCTTCGTACTTGGTTTTTTATCTTAATAACTTACTTATAAAATGTCGCTGGTATTATTGATTTTGTTATTAATCATAAGACGATTTTGCATATCTAATATTGCCATCAGCCATTTAACTAAATGTAACAGTCAACAAATTATATTACATTTTCGTTCCTTGATTATTTAAAATTTGGATTGACTTATCTTACTGGTCTTTCTACTTGTATTTTATATTATGAACAATGTACTTAGAAACTACTGATTTGTTACTAATCATAAAAATTTTATATATAGCTAAATGTAACAATCAATAAGTTGTATTAAATTATTGTGAGATAATTTTTATCAATGATATAAAAGAGGATCTTATATTATTGATATAAGTTATCACACATTTAGTTAAATATAACAGTCAATTTAGGCATTTAGCTAAAAATAACAGTCAACAACCCACATTACATTATCGTGAAATAATTGACCAATAACATAAAATTGAATTTTATATTATTGATAAAAATTATCATTTAAACAATTATTTAAACATAACAGTCAATGTAAGCATTCAACTGAATATAATGGTTATACAAGTTATATTACATATTATCGTGAGATAATTTTTATCAGTAACATAAAATCTCCTACTCCTTAATAGTTATTTTACTTACTTATTTTTCATTTTATAACACGTTACTTATAAAACTTGACGTTTGTTATACAGCAATCAAAAAATGAAGAATGAGGATGAACAGAAGCATAACCCAAATGACGCTGGTACATCAACGAACTGTGATACTAATGTAGATACGACTGTGCAAAATGAAATTCAAAATAGGTATGTAGTTAGAATCTAGAGCAAATACATGACAAAAACGACATTTTGTCATTACGAGTCATTACGATTAATGTTTCACGAATATTATGTTACATCTCTCTCTTTTATACATGGTTTATCTTTTGCCCATATTTTTTGTGTTAACGCAGGCAACCGACGCCAAATTTTATGATGGGTGGATTAACAGGAGCGTCACCACCTAAATTTGTGTCTTTCGACGAAATTGTAAAAGCTGCTAATGGAATGAAAAATATGGCCTTAGCACACGAAATTGCGGTAGATAAGAATTTTCAGTTGCAAAAATTGGAGGAAGACGGTAGTTTTCATAGGCGAGTAAAAGAAATAATGCACAAAGCTTTTTGGAATTTGTTAGCGGAGCAGTTGGCCGAGGATCCACCAGATTATTCGCAAGCACTGGTTTTAATGAAAGAAATTAAAGAAGTAATACGTCACTTTTGTTCTATGACGACAAAAGAAAGCGTCAAACAATATGTAACAATATGTTCTCTACTTGTTTCAGTCACTGGATGAACTCGTACCACTGCATAACGCGAAAATCAAAGAAAATATTAGAGAAGTGCTTGATTTAGATTTGATCAGACAACAAGCGGAGAAAGGCGTATTAGATTTTCGCCATTACGGGCAATACATAATCTCTGTTATGGGTAAAATATGCGCCCCGGTGAGAGACGAGAAAATCAAAGAGCTCTCGCAGCAGACAGACATCGTTGAGACGTTCAAAGGCGTCATGGAATTGTTGCAATTAATGAGATTGGATTTGGCAAATTTTACCATTACAATGATGAGGCCAAATATCATTGCCTCGAGCATCGAGTATGAGAAAGCAAAGTTTGCCGAATTTTTAAAGATTAATTCAAACGGTTTACAATACACAGAAAGATGGTTATTGAGACATTTCGAGCCAGAGAAAATCGCAGGCTCATCGAGCGACGGTGCCAATACTGTAAGACAAATCACTCATTCTTTATTGACAGAGGCGTACCTCGATCTTCTGGAGTGGGATTTCAATCCAGACGCAGAGGTATGGAAATATCTTATCAAAATATAGGATTTTATATTGTATATTCGATAAGTTTATTATAAATAGGATGATTTTCATTTAGACATTGATGTTGGATCAAGGAAGACTTCTGGAATTGCGTGACATAACCAGTAGGTTGAGCGTCGTTGGTTCTGTGATATTATTGGTTAATAATACAATTGGTGCACCAATTCATGGGGTTTCGAGCCTTAAGAAGAATATTAAGGAACATTTGAACGCACTGTTGGATTCTGTACATTCGAACAAGTACGTTAAGTTATAATTGAAAACAAGTTTAAATAAAATATATTATTTTTTACGTATATAGCTCACATTATTTCAATTTATATTCAAACATATTCAAAATTATTAATATGATTTTTACTTTTGCTATAGAGAGCTAGAAGCTGCAATGCCAAATATCGTACTACAAGTAAAAACAGATGTGAAAACAACATTACGAGAAGTCAACGCTCCCGAGTTGTCACCAGAATTAGAAACGCTATTAGGAGGTCAAATAGCCGATCTTGTAGATACAAAACATAAGATCAGATACCTCGTCAGTAAGTGTAAAAATGGCTTTAACACTTTTAACTATAAAATGACTAACACTTTTGACTATAAAATATGTTGTTTTAGGTCTACGTATTAGACAGTTCCTACAAAAAATCATTCAATCGCAATCCACTGCACCTCAACAAGTACCACTGGGCCTCTCCTCGCTGCAAGAAGAGTTAGCGGCCATTGCTGCCCGATTTGTAATACTTGTTTCGCATAATCGCAGCGTATTTTGCGAGTATTATCAAGATATTGTTGCAAACGCGCTTGCGAAAAGCGACGTTGACAATAATAAAGAGATACATGGAACACAGACTATGGAATTGTAAAAAGGAATAAATGTTAATATAAATAATGTTAATATACTCGGATCTCGCTATGCTCGTTTTCGAGATATTATTTCGTTATGTCGAGATTATCTGGTAATAACGAACAAATTGAGTTTCTCTCAATAAATCATCGCTACGCATCTCTTTTATAAAGGAAGACTTAGAACCGAACACCAATTTCGATGAAACTTGGCAGGATTTACAGAGAAAGTTTCCGAATGTAATGATACCCCCATTTGGGTGCCTGTCAACCATTTCTTATAAATATTTTAATAATAAATTTAGTAGCGTAGTGGATATGGTAACTGATTCATAATTTGTAGATTCGAGTTTAAACCTCACAATCAATTAATTTTTTTTATTATTTAATAATATTTTATGATTAAAATAATTGTTAATATAATGAAATAAATTATTTTAATATAAAAAATTTATATTATATAAATTATAATATAAATAGTCATCATATATATATATATATATATATATATATATATATATATATATATATATAAAATCTTTATATCATGACGAATTGAGGCATATCCACTATGCAACAAATATTTATATGTGAGTGTCCTAATAAACTCTATTCTAAAGACGCTACTAAATTTATTATTGAAATATCTCTGAAATGGTTGATTGTCTGCACTTAAATAGGGATGATTATATTCAGGGAAACTTACTTTGTAAATCTTACTTGTAATCTTGCCAGGTCTCAACGAAATCAGTGGAGTACAGTTCTTTTCCATGTTAGTAATAGAAATCTTTTTCGAGCGCTACATTGAGACACGCTATATCGAGGTGCGAGTGTATATAATTTTTCATATTTATGTCCATTTAATTGCATAATGGACGATATTCGTAAATTGTATATTACATGATTAACAAGATAGAAAAAAATGTCTGTATTTTTTACTATCATTCACGATTGCGACGATCATGATCATTAACACCAAACAGTAACATAGCTATATTTTTTCTTTCTTTTTAATATGTTATTTACAGGACTTAGTAACAAGTTATTACTAACAACTTGTTAGTAATATAATACATTGGCTAAATTAATGGTATATGACGTCTTTTAATTTGTTCGTGTTTTTTAACAGCTTTTTTAAATAATAAATTAGTATGTTTGATTACAACAAATTATGTGTAATAAATATATGTAAAATATACGTGTAAATATGTTCATGATTGCAATACAGATGTTTTTAATCGCCAAAGTAAATTTTATACTGTTATTACAAAAATAAAAAAAAAGATAATTTAGTTCTATCATACTTTACAACACTTTACATTTTCAAATTTTTTCTCGATCTCACTAATGATGCCTGTACCATTTTACATTCAGCATGAATAAGTCTAATCGATCTTATAAACTTGAATAAAAACACTTATTAAGCAGATTTTATTATTAAGCAGATAGTCTTTTATTAGTCTGTATTAAAAAATTAACAAAATTAAATTAAATAAAATAAAACTATACATATATGCATTTGTAGCATCCATTATCCTTTTAGTACTTCAAGTTGATGTAGCGTTAAGGCAACTTTAAATTCTTTATATAATCCTCAAAGGTTGCAATGTGTTGTTTCTTTAGAAAACTTTGAAATCCTAAAAGTAGAAACATTTTGTTTAAATCTGTTTTTACTCTTAATTCCACAGATTATTTTTCTTATCGTTTTATTTCTTCAATTTATGGACTTACCTATAAACAAGTGCTGTAGCTGCTCAGTCGGTGGAAATAAACTTGACAATGTCTTTAATAAATCGTCAAAATCGCCACTTTGCGTATAACTTTGTATCATAATTGCAAATATTTTATAATCATTCGCTGATAATGCCCGTTTTACCTATGAGCATTATTTCTGTTTAGATGGCATAACTTTTTACAGAAAGGTAATCGAATTGTCAGTACTTACGTCCTTTAAATATTGTTTTCCCAGTGCCTTTTTATCATCTTTACTCGTGTCATTTTGTATAAAATTTTGTGTGAAATTACTTTCAGGAACTGTTAATGAAGAAGTTGAAGGAGCGGAAAAATAAGAATCAATTCCAGGTGATATGATATTAATTTTTCTTCTTTTTGCAACTGGTTCTTCGAATCGATGTTTTGCTAATTCGCACGTACTCTGATTATCTTTTAATTTACAAGCAAAATTGACCACAGATTGCGGTTTCGCTAATTGTTTGTCCTTTGCATTTTCATCTAGGTACATATCTATGCTAAAACTATTCTTGGTCGACTCTTCTGTCGCAGAATTATTCTGCATCTTTTGTCTGAGAGAATGAGATACTGTTGTTTCAAAGGTAGCACCCACAGCAGGTAGTGATATATCATCAATATTCCCATATTGCGCACGAGTGATACTAGGTTGCGGCAGCTGAAATTATTGGTAATAATTTAATGGTATAAGTTAAAACATATCTCATTAATTACATTTTAATAATTACACTTAGTTTAAATAAAAACTTACTGTACTCTCCGCGTTTCTAAAAAATTCTCGTAACTCCCTTGTGATCATCCCAAAATTCGTAAACTTCTTTACATACGGTCTAAGCCAAGCGGACAATTGTTTCTTGAAGTTTGGATTTTCAAACCTACAATCGCATAGCACCACAGCGCCATAATCACTTTTGTGTCTTATTATCCTGCCAATAGCTTGATTGACAGCTCGGGATGCTTCAAGTTGATACCATTCTTGTCCAGTTAGGCTCTGAATATTAAATTCGTTCATCAGTCTTATTAGATCTTATAATCAAGTTATTATTTCTAGCAAAGTTAAAGTATCTATAATTTATACCTCTTTTTGTGTAGCCCTTATTTCCTCCAAATATCTTTGCTTCAGCATAATTCGCGGATCCTTTAAGGGCGGAAATGGTAGACCAATGATTAATACAGCCCTACCGTTTGCATTAGCAAAATCCAGACCTTCGCTGACTTTTCCTCTGCATACCGCCATAAAAACAGCCCCCTTGCAAGACGGGTCTCTAATTTTTTGGTAATACTCATTCATCACATTAACAAATCCCTCTTTAGAGTTGGGCTCTACATAAATGGGCTGTTATACAGTAATTAATTTGATATATATGTATACACATCATAAAATACATTATTTTGTAATGAGGATGCTAAATATTTCTTACCTTACGTTCAGCAATCTGCGTCCACAAACCCATATTCTGCCACTCGTCCCTGCACTTCCTCATGATTGGATACGAAGGAAAGAATATTAACAACCCGTGGGGAACAATGCAGCTAAAGTTATACACTGCTCTTCCGAGAGACGCAATATACTTTGGATCATTTCTGTATATAATAAAAACTATAATAGAGAAACTCATTTAAATCGCTATTTATTTCATCAATAGCAGCATTTACCTTGTGTTGTAAGACGAATTAAGTGGATGATTATCCGGTCCCTGACTAAGAACGCCAACACATACTTGTTCCTTCGTTACTATATGCGGATTTTCCAATTGGACTGAGATTGGTATACCGAGTTCCGATATGAACGGTTTTAACGGAGACAACGTGCCGCTTGTGAGCACTACCGAACGTATTCCTTGCTCCACCATTTGTTCCATACTGTAAAATATGTTTGTTATAAGATTTACATTAATTAAGATAATGTTATTAATGATATTTTTTCATTAAGCAAATTTATACCCAAAACCAGGACTGAAACACCAGTAACTAATGAGTTTTCCGTCTGTTTTAGTTGTCTTTTTGCTCTCCCAGACATCAGTTTTATAATTCTTCTTTTGCTCTTCCATTTGTATGTGGACTTTGTAGCAACGTTTCACTTTTTCCTTGTGACGTGCAATAGAAGCACCGCTATTGAAAGCAGTCCTCAGTAAATCGCTGAACTTTTGCAGTGCATTCCCTTTCCTTGCAAATGGCGAAGTGCTGGTAGTTGTCAGATATAAAATAATCTTGTCTAACTTCTCTACCACAATTTGTTCCTTACCATGTGTTAACTGTTACAAAAATTACACTATAACCACAAGTAACGTGCATATATATTATTCTAATAAATTCATTTAAGATTAAAAGTCCCGTACATCAACTTTCTCAAGTAATTCAAAAATAAATCCACCGGGAAAAGTATCTCCCTCACTACGGTTTTTTAATTCAATAGAGTCGATTGTTTTTTCCAATTCCAAAAACATTGCTTTCAAGATGCATAGATCTTCTGCTGTAAAATCTTTCTGAACATTATTCTCCGATAGAAAATCGTTCTGCTGATCCGAGTCCTTAGCCACATCTTGCATTACCGCAGTTACTTCGTCAATACACATTGCAACATCTGTACTGCTTATCTATACAGATACATACAAATATAAAATATATAAAGAGTTGAAGGAAACAATCTTGTTTCTTATACCTGTAACGATGCTGCTTCTTCACAAACTTTTTCAACATTGTGAGCCTCGTCCAATAAAACTACAGTATTTTGTAAATCTATACCCTGTGACCTTCGCGTCTTAGGATCCAGTAGATAATTGTAAGGCATAAAAATGATATCTGCACTCTGCTTTAATTCCTTTGCCAAAAAGTATGGGCAACATTTGTGCTTCTGCCCGACTTTAACTAAATCCTCTATGTCTAGCACCTCCTGTTTAAAGACAGGATCATCTTTTCTAAAGAACATTTAAAAATTGATATGATATATCCACTACTCTGCTTTGATAAAAAAAATCATCGAAATACACACAAATAAGACCCACCTGGTCTCCACATTATTGAAATAAAAACAAGTTCTTGATTTTACTTTAGAATGGCACATGTGTATCTTGTTAAAAGTACTGGTCTCTTTCGAAACTTCTGGATGAATGCACAGCTGATCTCGGGACCCCAGCACAGCGGTGGCCACATGTTTGTACGATGTCTTCTTCAATTCATGCATAGCCTGAGACAATTGAGAATGCGTCCGAGACGCATAAATGATTTTGGGCATAGCCCAGCCAAAACTTTGAACATTGTCCGGTACTCCTGCCGCTTTCTCAAGTCCACTGGTTAAGTGTTTAAAAAAATTTCCGCCAAAATCTTTCTTTTCTATTGCACCTGCTATCACTTGCGCCTGTAACTGAGCTTTCTTTGTCAACAGCCAGCTTAAGGAAGAACACAAAAGGCTCAGAGTCTTTCCGGTACCTGTGTGAAATATTTATAACATTTGTTTAATTACAAATCTGTTTAAAAGTTAGTAAAATAGATTTGATAGCGATTAAATAAAATCCACTTGAAAAGGAGAAAAATTAATGAAATGGACAGATGAAATGTATTAATCTAACTAAAAGTTATCTTAAGTTTTTCAACTTTTTCAACTCAAATAATTTTTCCCAAGTTGGAAATAAAATTACATTAAAATGCTTAAAATATATTACATTTCTTTCTTTGTTAAACAGGGTCTTAAATTATTAAAAATTTGTTTTTAATGTAATTTATTTCTCAGGAATTTTCGCTTATTCTTTTAATTAAATAATCAACCGTGCACACGGATGTACCTGTCGGCGACTCCAAGACACCGTGCTGGCTATTTTGCAGGCATTCTATCACTTTTCTCATATACTCCTCCTGCACGGGATACGGTTTAAAGGGAAAGCTGACGACAATATCGTTAATCGTGACGTCGGGCATCTCGAGGATTTGATCGAAAAACGCAACAGAACACAGAACTCCGTATACATACACCGCTTCCCGGCCTTCCCGCCAGAATGAAAAATCTAACCTAAACTCATCTTCGACCGGGCATTTCATTCCGCACTTTCTGCACTTGAAATAGCACAAACGACGGTGTGGATACTTTAAAAAGAAAAGGAAAGAGGCGACAGAGTGCAGAAGTGTAACTCGAGCAAGCGAATTTTACCTTCCTCTCTTTTTTCTCTTTTTTGTATATTTACATCATTGGAATTTTTTTTAGATTCTTCGTTTCTCCCCTTTTTTCTATTTATTTACCCATTTTAATATAATTTTTTGAGCTCTGTGTTTTCCTCTCTGTCTTCTAATTATTTATCCATTTTAATTGAACTTTTTGAGCTCTTCGTTTTTCCTCTTTCTTTTTTAATTGTTTACTCATTTTATTTAAACTTTTTGGCCTCTTCATCTTTCTCTTTCTCATCTCCCGTTTTAAGTGCAAAAAGTGTAATGCAGCGCTAGCAGAGAGTGCTAGCAAAGAACCAGCTGGAACCAGCGCTTGTTTACATCGAGGGTGTGCTCCTCGTTCACGCTCGCTCGCGATAAAGAAAAGGTTCGGTTTGCGCCCTTATCTATAATAGCCGTGATAAGGATTCACGTAAGGCGATGAGCTGACCGGGCTTGAGACGAGCAGGCAGCAGGCCGCCCACACTCGAGGGAAGACCGGGCCAGACGCTTGACGCGAGTTGAGGTTAACGCGCGCTAGTCAGCTGATTCAGTGACCGACCGGGGGCCAACACGACTCGTCGAGCGATCGTCCTGGATCGTCCAGCAGGTTCGTGCACCTCCAGACCAAGCTGCTCCTACGTATGTACGAGTGCGGCACGTTTTTCCTCGAACGGCATACGGCTCCATTGTCCGTTTGTCGCGACAGAAGCGAGGAAGACGAGTTAGATAGCACAATAAGTCGTCCTCCTCTGTCCTCCGTCCGCGGTTGATTCGCAGCGGGTCAGCAGCCGCTGGTTACCAACTCCGCGGTCAGGTCGAAAGATGATAAGCGAGCGCAATCAAATTACGAGCGAGATAACGTGTGTGTATCTATCGATAAGAATTTTGGCTACTCTGGTACCTACAATCTACGCAATACGTATCCTTTTGTATCTTGATTAGAAGAGGTATCATTTACAGTTTTTGTTGACGATTCGCCTTTAGAAAACTCATTTTCTGGAGTTAAGATAGCTGTAAATACAGATATTTATACATATAGATTAACGTACCTATAATGTGTGTGTAAAAAGTTTGTTTTTTTTACACGAACCTGTGTGCAGTGTGTATACGCACGGATTTTGCAATACTTAGGCGTATATAAGATAAAAGGTTACTGTCACTTTTATCTCCTGATATGTATGCGCAAATAGCTCTCGCTGTAGATAAATGCGGTAAAAGCCTGTTCTTAGTCGCGCTTAAATGTGCACTATGCCTCTTGTATTTTGGATTAAACTATAAGTAGTTCGCGTTTCTTTTAACGTACGAATGTTTCTCTTATGTGAATAATTTGTCGGACCGTCCAGTCTTGGTGATACATATCGACAAATCTATATTTAGTCAGATTTACATATATTCATTTGCAATAAGGGGAAAATTATACTCCAACAAATTAAATTTTAAAGTCAATATGAGAGCCTATACAGTTGTTTTTACGATATTATAATATTAGTTAGAGCTTGTATACACAGATACTTGTGTAATATTATAATTGCTATTGTTTCTAGGTTTGAATCGTATTGAAAAGTTTCAATCTCAGGTCAGGCCTCTTCAAACGGCAATCAAACGTGAACTCTCTTTCTCGCTCACTATCACATACTCGATAGAAAATACTTATTTTGGACTTGAAGAACATGGTCACTCCTGTGAAGAGTTAGCCCCCTTCAACATTTAAAAAATTAACTTTCTATATAGCTAATTTGATTGCTCATTGTTTGCATATTTCGAATTTTTGTTTGTAGATTTCTAGTTCAAACGTTATTCAAACTTTATTAAGAATGTGCAAACAAAAATTTATCACGAGAAAACATCTGTCTGTCTGCCATTACAGGCTGAAAACTTTTGGAACGGTTCTGCACGCACAGGAAGTACCGTGTACTTCTTTTTCTTCCAATTAATGGTACCATGTACGTGTGGCGTTCACGGTGCACACGTACAAGGCACGCACTTGTATGCGGCACGAAAGCCATCAACTCCACATGCTACCGCGGCTTCTGACAAGTCGTCATAGCTCGTTCTCTCCTTCATGTCGAATAATCATGAAAATCGAGGCCTATTATTGTATTTCTATAGCGGTTAATATATATTTTCGGGGTTTTTTTTTTACTAATATTCCTAAAGTGCCCTTCTAGTATATATCCGGTTTTTCATCACTTTCTTATTATTCGTTCTAATTATTAAAATTCAAAATACAAGATTTCCGTATGCTTTGTAAATGCAATGCATGGAAAAGTGCAATTTTTGATAATGATTATCTCGCGTTCGGTTAATCGGTTTGAAATTTTAATATGATATTAGTTTTGCTTTGAACAATATTCTATATAATTTTTAAACAAATTGCAGCATTTTGATTTTTCGATCACACCTTAAAACTGTTTCGATCCAATTTTTTCGTAGTTGGGGTGGGGGGAGCTAATGTGACGAGGAAGTATGCAGTATGCAAACGATGAGCAATCGAATGAACTATAGAAAGTTAGGCTGCGGTCCACTTGACGCTACAAATGCTTCGAAGCATTCCTCTTCTCTTTTCTTTCAATGAAGAAAGAAGGAGAAGAAGGAGCTAATAATTTCGGCGATCGTGAAGAAGAACTCAGAGGATATCGCAGGCAGGCGATCGACTTCACCTTGCATACTATTGTCGAGGAATCCTGCGAGGAGAGTGAAACAGAGCCGAGTTTGGCTGCGGGAAGTCCCTCGAAAAAGCCGCGACCACCTTCCGCTTCAGAATTAGAAAAATATTTTTTCTTCGGACTGGGAGGCGATGGAAATAGCTCCAGTTTCGGCACGTGCGAGGTCGACAACTTGTCGGAAAAAGCATTTGTAGCGTCAAGTGGACCGTAGCCTAATTTAAATATTGGAGGACTAATTTTACATGGATTATATAGTCTTAAAGGAAGGACTTGAATATCTCCTTCAAACAATCAAATATAAATTTTCTCTTTCTTTCAACAAAGACTACTTGCTGTTTATTTGATTAACTTCTGAGGAAACATATGAATTTATGAATTTAAGAACACGTGAATTTCAACATAATTAACGTATCGTGCGTAAATAGATTTAATGACAATATGAATTCAATATTAAAATGATACTAATGCGCACCTATTTATGTTACAGTGTGCAATTGTATAATTGTGTGCAATTAATATATATATACATATATTATTATGCGTCTGGTAATTTGCGATAACGTGGACTACGTCGCGGAGTGGTCTGCGAAATACGTTTTAAAACGAATCAACGATTTCAATCCTGATGAAAACAAGTATTTCGTTCTTGGTCTCCCCACAGGTACATAATACTATAAATAAAAAGGATAAGCCTATGTTTTATAGCTAAATTGATTTTTTTTAAACATTTGTTTATATACTAATCATGTGATATTAATATATTATATTAATATTCTCATCCTGATAATCTTTTTTTTGTTTTTTATTCCATCTAGGAGGGACACCTTTGGGAATGTATAAAAAGCTTATAGAATTTTATCAACAAGGCAAAATTTCCTTCAAGTATGTTAAGACATTCAATATGGACGAGTATGTTGATTTACCGAGAGATCATCCCGAATCTTACCACTATTACATGTACAACAATTTCTTCAAACATATAGATATCGACCCAAAGAACGTGCATATACTTGACGGAAATGCGACGGATCTCGAAAAAGAATGCGATAATTTCGAGGAAAAAATCAAAGAGGCTGGTGGAATAGAATTGTTCATTGGAGGTAAAACAACAGTTTCATTAAATATAAACACAAAAAGTTTTTGGGTATGCAACAAGTCTTTAAACAACTTATAAAATTATAGGTATCGGACCAGACGGTCATATAGCCTTCAATGAACCTGGTTCGTCATTAGCTTCTCGCACAAGAGTGAAAACCCTTGCACAAGACACTTTGGAAGCCAATGCGAGATTTTTCGGAAATGATATTAACAAAGTGCCGAAGCAGGCGTTAACTGTAGGCGTCGGTACCGTAATGGACGCTAAGGAAGTGATGATTCTTATCACTGGATCTCACAAAGCTTTTGCCCTTTACAAGGCCATAGAGGAAGGCATTAACCACATGTGGACGGTGTCCGCGTTTCAACAACATCCTCGCACGCTCATTATCTGTGATGAAGACGCTACTCTGGAATTACGCGTAAAAACGGTTAAATACTTCAAGGTAATCTCATCTGCCTCGTCATCCGCTGACTTGGCACTTTTTTTTTATTATTAAGTAAAGATGTCGATTAAATTCAGGTACAATGTTGAAATTGCGTCTCGTATTCAATTTGTATGCTATTTAGGCGCTCAGTGACGTACATCGCAAATTGATTGAGGAAGATGGAAATGCAATCCCCCGCCGCGCGGTGCAAAACAATTGAAGTGGTAGTTATCTCTATGACTTTTATGTTCAAAATCAAAATTCATTGAATTATACGAGTAATACATATCCATTTTCCTTCCTCTAAAAAGAAACATACATTTCTTTTTATGAAAGAATATATTAGATAAGATATTAACTCTATATTTGTCTTCATTTCTATTGTGCAAATTTATTGCAAAATTGTAATCACAATTTTAGTGAAATTTACAGTTTATCATCTTTTATTTGTAGAACTTATGGGATATTCATAGCAAATTGATCGAGCAAGAAAGCTGGCCAAAGTAAAGATTTTCCACCATCGGCAATTCGTGAAAATCATAACGAATTTACATGAGAAGGACAAACAGTCGGAAGTTTTAGCGCATAAACGATAATTAAAGTGATCAGAGATTGCATTATGCAATATATATATATATATGTATCTTACGTTTTTTATTTTAATCGTATATTACATATACAAAAGTTTTAATTACATATACTTAACACATATGCTCTTATACACAACTGCCATGTGAGTGCCAGAAAAATATATTTTTATATCATTCTGTTATTTCAGAAATAAATTTATTCTTTTTACCGCCGTACCACAGAAGCGTTCTCAGTGATTGTTATCCGAGAGTAATTAATCTAATCTCCTATTCTAGTAAAAAATAAAAGAAATATCATCAAAACAATGACATAATCATGTTTTTAACTGCAATTGATGGATAAATAAATATAATATAAGAGTTTTATACTCGTAAAAGATGCTTATTATGCGACACAGCGCGATCTTTGTAAAGACAGTGACAAATAGTGCACGGAGATTATGTGTGAATCACATAATAGTCACAAATTCCAGTCAAGGAGAAACCAGGACAAATTGATTGCCGCAGGCGTTGAGGGACTGAGCGTGAGAGAGTGAGAGAGACAAAGCTGGTAATCGCTGGTAGGGGAGATCACCAGCGTTTCTGAGCATGGAAAATCACGTTTGAAGCTTTCCGTGTGTGAGTCGACAACACGTGTCTCTACACGAAAATTAATCTCATCCGGCACGTGACAAGCAGCATAGTCAGTTCAGAGTTTATCTTTTTTACTCTACATTGGAAGGAAAAAAGATAAACTTTGAATTAGTGCAGCCAGGAAATAGACCCTATATGTAACGATTACAAAAATGTTGCAAGCGGCTAGGAAGGAGGCGGACCATGCTTCAGAGCCAGTGGAGGAGGAGCAGTCGCTGCGGCTGTCGCAAATGAAATGATTGCGCGCGCTTCTTTCACACGTAATATCGGCCAGTTGGTAGTCCAACGCGAAACGTGATAGTTGGTTGACGCAGATACGAGTCTTCTCCCGGCACTGTCTGCTTGTGTGACAATCATGAGCAACGATCAGCAACAGTTGAAGACGATCGAGCTGCGCGAATTGCAACCGATACTGAGCCGCACATTTGGCGATGGGCTGATCGTGGTTCGTTATACGACCAAGAGCCTGTTGCAGCCAGGCGAGAATTACGGCAGTACCATTTTAAGTGTTCACGCCGTGATCAAGCGCAACGATGAGGCGGAAGAGGAAGATCTTCATCTCATCGCGAAGATGCCGCCGCCGACGGAATTCCAACGACAAATTTTCGACAGCCCGTACACGTTCAGAAAGGAGATCTTCATGTATGAGAATATCGTGCCTTATTATCAAAAACTGGAGAGAGAAATGGGTCTGAAACAGGATGAAGTATTCGATATATTGCCCAAATATTATCAGTCCCGATTATCGTTGAGCCCGGATGTCGATTTCGACGATGATGCCGTTATTCTAATGGAGAACTTAAGGACGCGCGGTTATTACAATGGCGACAGAGCTAAAGGTAGCGTTAAATATTTTTTGTCTGTTTGAAAAGTTTGTGATAATCTTTAAGCTCATCTTATCTTTACGCTTTGAATCAAAAGTTTCTTGTTTTAAAGGCTGTAGACAAAAATGTTCAATTTAGCATAATAAATTATATTTAGTTTTTTTGAATTCTCCTTATAAACAATTTTTTTCTATGATTTAGGGCCGGTGTTCCAATGTTTTGGTAAGCTAACTAGTAGTTAAATCATATATGTGTTTTTGTTTTTCTTTCAAATTACAAAGGTAAACATATGATTTAACTGTTAGTTTACCAACAGGTTGGAACAATCGGCCTTTAACATGTAAATTTAAGTTTCTTAAAATTATTTATACTATAATTAATTATCTCATAATCTATATGAGAATGACAAGTGTATGTAATACATAAAATAAAAATGTATATATACATGAGATAACAAAAAAAGTAGAATTTTATAAATTGTATAAATTGTTAATACAGGTAATGATTAAAATTAACTGTTTATTTAAGACTTATGATATTAAAAACAGTGGAATAAATCGAGATACAGAGATTTGTAATTCGTAACACAATGATGTCATTTCCTTATCAACATGATTTGCGATCTTTGTAGTATTAACACTACACTAACAATAAATCGCAGATTAATCTGCTTGGCACCTTTTTTTCTGAGCTTTATGCGATTTCTCTTGATACACTCAGGAAATCTACCGAGTCATCAATTATGTCATGATGATTTTTATAAAATCGACCGTAAAAAATGTACGATATAATATCAATAAAATTGCATTACATTTTCGCTGATTACATGGAAATCTTTTGTGCACTTTTAGATCAGATTAGACTTAAGATTATCTGAAGTTACATAATCATTTTAATATTTACTATATGAAAAGTAAGTGACTTTTTATTTGACTCATAGGATGCGATCTTGAGCACTCGAGAGTAGCGATACGGGCGTTGGCGAGGTTTCATGCACTAGGGATGGCTACCAAGTACAAGCGACCGGAGTACTTCGAAATATTGAAGGAACGCAGCAAGTGCTTGGACCTGAAGCTCGACGAGTTTGAGAACTTTCAAAAAGACATGTTAAAGACGGTAGCGGAAGATTCGCAATTAGCTGTTTACGTTGATCGGTTCGAAGCTGCCGTACAAGACTCAATGGGTCGTGGCATGTGGACCGTACCGCCTGATGAGCCGTGGTCTACTATTATTCACGCGGACTTCTGGGTGAACAACATCATGTTCCATCGCGATGAGAACGGCCGAGTGGACGATATCAAGTTCGTGGATTTTCAGAATTATCTGTTTCTCAGTCCGCTGCGCGAGATGGTCTTCTTCCTGTTCTCTAGCACGGATGTGAGCGAGGATCGCCTCGAGGAACTGATGGATCTCTACTACGAAACGTTCTTGAACGTGCTGGATCGAATGGGTTGCGACACCGAGCAGTTCACCAGAGAGAATTTCGACGCCAAGTTGTCCACCGACGCCAGATTCGAGTCTATGCATTTATTTTTCATGCTTAAGATACTCACGCTAAACGTGCAGGAGACCGAGTTGAAATACGACAACATGAAGGAGTTTATGGTAAGCTACCAGGGCAACCAAATGTTTATCCAACGGCTGCGCAAGGTCGTGTTATATTTTATCAAACGCAACTGGATCTAGACAATGCAATAGGAAAAGAAGATAAAAAATATCCTGGAATGTTAAAATAAATACGTTCATTATTGTATCAACAATAATGCGACGTAATTGCCTACGTTGCATGAGTCAGCTACCCCAGATAGCCAAATTCTGTGAGTTTGCTGTCATGTTGCCAACAATCGTTGAATGCAACTAATTTTGATCAGGGACAAGGTGAGACAGCATTATGTTTGTCGGGTTGAACTCACATAAATTATAATTCTATTCACGGGAAATTTAAACGGATTACAATTTCATATTGTCAGCACTATGTTAACAACGACTTACAATTAAAAAACTTAATAGCTTGAAGACATATACGCAATAACGAATGGAAATCATTATATATGTGTTGTTGCCATCATGTTTGCAATGTTTACATCATGATGCTCAAGATGGAACGACGAATAATACATCGTTGTCATGTTGGCGCTATCTGGGACGTTATATATTGTTTTGTAACACTTCTTCTGCGCATTATAGAATAAAAGAACAAGACTAGTTTACAGGAGAAAATAGATGTACAATTTAGCAAATTTGATAAATATAAAATATATATTTTACAACTTTGTTAAGGTTTCCTTACGTTTTACAAATATTTGAGTGGAGTCGACGTAATTGATTGTAGAATTTATTATTTTCTCTTAACCTTCGGAACTTTCCTGTTTCTATTCCTATTCTTCACATTCGTGACTTCGTAGAAATCGCTTCCGATCTTTTTCCTTTTACTAGCGCGTTCTATAGCCCTTCGCTGTTTGCTCGTCAATTTTTCTTTCGTTTTTTTGCGAGATATCGATGAGACACTTTGCATATCGCTTGATACTGTTTTAGAAGGGACCATTTCAGTATCACTAGAATCATATTCATTATCTACGACGTCAAACACAGTCTGTTTCAGATTATCTCGTTCGATAGGTAAAAGCACTTCCGAATCTGAATACTCATTGCTTTCTTCCATATCAGATTCTTTTTTATCTATTTCATCATCGTTTTCGATAACATTATCATCATTGTTTGAGGAACATTCTTTATCTTTGACATTCTTTATCTTTGTTTTTTGTAAATCGTCAAATTTATCTCTTGCCGTACACGAATCATTTTCTATTTCCGCATCTTCCAATTCCGAATCCTCCAATTCCGACTCGCTTTCCACCCTACTATCATCCTCTGCGATACTTTCAGTGAAGGATTTATTCTGCTCTAGATTCTTAATATCGTCACCGGAATAAGGCAATCCAACGCGTATTTTTCTAAAATCTTGTGTCACTGCCAGTTGGCTCTTTGTTATCTCTTTTGAAGGTAGCTTATCGGTCTCTTGAGTCTTGTCATTATTGGTGATTGTTAACGTATTATCTTGCGTGGTAACTGTTTCACTCGTATTAGCTGTTTGACTTGATAACGGTTCCTCGAAGCCCACAGGTGGGACGTAAAAAGGTAGTTTACCGCGTTGCCAATCGTTGAGCACCATACGTGCGACGATCGTAATGTCAGGCTCTCCTTTCTTTAAAAGCTTGCCGCTTCGACGCGCCAATTTTTCCAAGAAATCAATATGATCTAGCCATACGTCTATCTTGTACGTCTTACGAATGTATTCGGGCTTCACTCTTTCTAGGACAGAGGCGATGTAATCTTCCGGGTCCTGAACGAGCTCCACTCTAACGACTCCCTTCAATACCTTTTCCGTGTCGGTTTCCGTCGACGGATAAACGACGCCGGGACAATCTATCAAATAGATACGGCGCATGAGAGTTATGTACTGCCATACTTTAGTTTCTCCAGCTATAGGCGCCACTTTGCAGACCTTCTTGGAACGCAGGGTATTTATGATGGAACTCTTTCCTGTATTGGGATACCCTATGAAACCAACGCTGATCTGCTTCTTGTCAACGTGCAATTTCGCAAATTGCCTCAACAGATTTATCAAGGAACCTTTGCCGAAGGGATGCGTTAAGGAAGCGTGAAAGGCGACCGTTGGATATTCTTTGCTCAGAATCGCCACCCACCTTTGCGTGATCCACGTCGGCACCAGATCTACTTTATTCAGGATGAATATCAGGTGTTTGTAAGGCTTCTCGGTTTTCAGATATTTCTCCACAGGCGGAGATCTAGTCCCCATCGGATCCCTGGCATCCAATATCTGCAGGATAACGTCGGAGGAGTCAATGACTTTGTATAGCTCGTTCCATATCCTTTTACTTTGTCCGGCCGCCATGATCCAGTCTCTCTGTGCGTCCTTCACGCCAGTGTCCTCACGAACAAGATCGTAATCTTTGGAATCTTTCTCCTTGTTATAAGTATCTTCCTTATTCTCGGCCAAGTTCTTCAATTCGTCATACGATGTTACCGGCAAATTCGGCCTCTTTCTAACTTTCTTCGGGCCAAAAACACTTTCAAAACTCTCTGTATCCAAAAGGTGTACTCGTGCGTTCGCCGCCTTCTGCTGAAGTAAGGTGATAGGCAATTGAGTGGGTTTCATGACGACTTTATAGGGATCCTTTATAGCGGTTCCTAATTCATTCTGAAACTTTTGCAGAGCATTCTGCGAGATAACTCTCGAGTTACCAAACCACCTTTGGGACGGCTCCACACGCGACATGGTTCCAGAGGTGTTCCAGCCTTGAAACGGCGCGGGGCTAATAATCTTCCCAGAACGATTGCGTTTTGGTTTCTGATTGCGATACATCTGCAATCTTTGAATAGTTGCTTTCGTCCGTACCTTACCAACTCCTTTCAATCCTTCTGTAGAACGTTCAGGATTCATACTGTGTCCTGAACGCTTAAAGCCCTGCTTTCGCGGGGCTTTGTTAGTGGTATGTGTTTTAGCCATCGTGTCTGGAACAAACACACATCATTCAGAAAATAATATCTTTCCCAAACTTAGTGCTCTTTAATATTAAGAAATCAATTTTAAAAAAATTGTAAAAGACATTAAATCATTTACAAATATATTTATAACATGTAAGATTAATATCTTAATTTAATTAATTAATTAATATCTTAATTTAATTTAATTAATAAATGTGTTAAATTTAATTAAAAAACATTAAATCAACTTTAATTTTTCATATAAAGAATGATTCTAAATTCGAATAAAATTTTTCTATCGAGTAACTTACACGTTTCTGTTAGCTTTGATTATAAGGTATAAATATGATGAATTACAATTAATATACTTACCAGAAATAGTACGTAATTGTAAATTTAATTAATCAAAATTCGTTAACAAATAACACAATATGTAACAAATATGATACAAATAAATTCAATGTGTCCCATATGTTAGGTTAAAATCGCACCATGTGCCTTTACTGAAATATACACTAGAGTAACTAGAGACCTTCTAGGGTGTGTTCACTGCGTTCCACCAGGTCTGTTCGTTTCCGCTGCACTTCTGAACTAGTGCAACATATACTACGTTTACGCGAGCGTTACTTTTGTAGTAATTAACTTACAATAATTTCTTCGCGTAAACGGGATTTTGTAGTAATTTACGATAATTTACTCCGCGTAAACGAGTGAATTATCATAATGCCCGATCTACAATAACTATAGTAAGCTGTAGTAAGCCTCAAGCCGTAAGAAATTGACCAATTACAGGCGAATGTGAGGAGAATAATCGACTGTGATTGGTCAATTTCTTACATCTTGAGGCTTATTACAGCTTACTACAGCTATTGTAGATCGGCCATAAGTTACTACAGAAGTAACGCTCGCGTAAACGTAGTAATAGTGCAATAATGCTAGGTCTACAATGCGAGTCGTAAAGTCGTGAGTCGTAAGAATTGACCTGCCTCTCATTGGCCGCGTTCAGCAGACACAACTGTTGAGTTCGTCTTATCAACACTCTGCGTTGATTGGTTGGTTCTAAAAGTAAGAGCCAATCACGTTCGACTGCTACTCAGCAGCTTGGTCTGCTGAACGCGGCCATTCTTCTCTCTGCTAGCACATATCGTGAATTGTCGTGGATACAAGGCTTAAGATAAGGGGGGATCATTTCATTCGCGGGCTCATATATACGATATACGTATATATAGATATATATATGTCAAATACAGTATATAACTATGTGTATATATATAGTTAGAAGTTGCTGTAGATATGTGTGGTGTCAAACTAACCATGCTGAGACGTATTACCTCTTATTAACCGCTGTAAGAATTTAGGCTCATCGACACGACCGAAAGATGGTCTCGATCATCAAAAATCAGCTGTTAAAACACCTATCGAGGTACTATTCATGCAATCGCGATTGATTAACCTGGAACACAATCTCACGGTCTCAAGTGACACGTAAAAAAAAAAAAAATTGTCCCGTTCTACATACAAGTCACACGTCACGTAACTCCTTTATCCTTCCTTATTGTCGAGACGTACGTCTTGTCATTGCGATACAGTTGTCACATTCTCCTTTCCCGTATCCTCTGTATAATTGTAATATTGGGTTATTGGGTACATTCGTAGAGCAGTTTCGAGAGAAAGTCACGAGAGAAAGTGCTCTTCCCAATCGCAATCGACACTCGTCATATGCTTCGTCCCTGATTTTTTTATTTTTTCATCTTTTTATTAGTCAAAGTTATTAGGATATTAATTGAGTTAGCAACAGTTATATGATATTATATACATAAAAATTTACAGCAATGCTAATTATATTTATATAAATGTACAAATCTCATCAAAGTACACAAATTAGATAATTTTTACATAATTTATATAAAACATATTGTTATTATTTGCTTTAAAATCCTCGTAACTAATGGCAAGTAATATATTTTGCCTGTTGAGCTTTTATATGGTGTATTGTAGGTTTACCAAGAATTTATCTGCTGATAAGATAAACCTGAGCACATTCAAAGGTGAAGGAGAGCTATCGAATTTAGAACTTGATGAAACAGTCCTCACGGATCTACTAGAGCTGCCATCGTGGTTAAGATTAACTAATGCTTGGTGCAATAAAGTTTCATTTCGCATACAATGGACCAAACTGAAAAGTGTTCCTATCTTTTTGGTAAATAACAGTTACAGATTGTAGATAAATATGACTTTCGCCATTATGTGTAGTGTACGCGTAACAAAACTACAAACAATTAAAATATTTGCAGAGTTTGGATGAGGTTCACATAGATGTAGAAACATGTGAGGATCTGAGAAGCATGTCTTCCCCGCAGGGTATAGCATCATACGCCGGTCCTGCAAAGTATTCTTTTATACATAAAGTAATTGATGGAATAACAATAGCTGTTAACACTGTGCTGGTTACATTTAAAAGTCCTGCGTTCATTGCCTCAGTCCAGGTACGATATTATTGTAGCACATGATATAAGAAGTGAAGTAAATTAGACGCAGACAGATTGACATTTGTTTAAAACTATACGTTGTATTATTTAGATGAACCGGATTATGGTGGAATCCAAGTCGGCGACATGGCAGCGTTGCGATCTCAGAACCACTAGAGTAAAAGATCCTGATCGAGGACAATTACTTATCTTTAAAGAATTAGAATGGCAGACCGTTAGAATAGAAGCTCAAAGTACTAAGGATCATAATCTGACGCCACTTCGTTTACTTACAAACCAAGCAAGATGTCGAATTACGATAAAGAAAAGAATATCAGGTTTGTAAGCATTGATGCTATTGATAAATACCTGTTGATAAATACGTTGCTCATCACTAAGTCAATTTTATTTTATTACAGATTGTTTCGTCATGGGCTCCAGATTAGTAATTATTTTAGATGATCTTCTGTGGGTATTGACAGATTCACAACTGAAAGCTGCGCTCCATTTTCTCGACTCTTTGGGTGGTCTTATCGAGAAAGCCACCGTTCTCGAGCGGAAAACAAAAGCTGCAAGAAAATTAGAGGTTTGCGCAATTTGTTTAATTTTTAATATAAAACCCCAATGATTTATTTATTTGTCTATTTTATAATTTAAGGTTTTACCAGAATATCAGGCGCAGGTATCTCAGCAGCAAAACAGAACAAAAAGTCAGTACACTACAGCGATTTCAAAAATATTTACGAGATATGATGTTGTAGAAACGTCATATCATTTTCTTTCGCAACGCATCGATCTTCACTTGTGCGATGATGCTGGTGGTAAGTCCAAAAGATTTTATTTGTTTTCACGTTGAAATATTTATTGAGAGCATGTTATTTACTACTTTATTCATTTAATATCTACTGAGTATAGTTCACGATTTTCTTCTGCATCATACAATATTTACTTTTATCTTATTATTAATTAATTACTAATATTATTGAAACAGGAGGCAGATCATTACATCCCGATCTGAAGGACGGTGGTGCATTACAAATTTCATTAGTTAGATTTCAAATTGATTATTATCCGTATCATCTGGCAATGGCGGATAGAAAACATTGGCCAAAATACAGAGAGAATGCTACACCTCACAACCAATGGTTGCAACAGTCGTTGAGTTCGTTCCGAAGTCAGTTTATGGATCTCATAGATTCTGGAAGAACACAACATTCTCCTTTAACAAGAAGCCAAGGGAACGTAACAGGTTTGTGTATATACAAATATACTGCCTATTTAATATAATACATAATTGATGGAAGAATTTGCATATTATTTGATTTTATGTGAAACAGGAAGTGGTACGAAAGGCTCCAGAGAGAATTTGGAAAAAAATAATCAACCACAAAATCCAAATGTCACACCATCTGAGCAAAAAAAGTCTCAGCATCCTAGTGGTAATCCAGTGAAAAATTATGTCTTGGAGCAGCTTGCCAAACTAATGACGACGTGCATTATTATCAGGATCGATGATTTTACCTTGTACAAAGTGACAACAACGTCGCGTAATCCAATGCCAAAAGAATTCATCTCAGGTATTATATGTTTAATACTTGTTCGAGTTATTTGTTTTTATCAGGTTCTTTATCGAAATAGTCGTATCAAGTTCGACAATAATTATTTTATTTGGTAATTGTACAGCTCAAACCAGGAAAAAACATACCCCAGGTACAAAAAATTAGTAGTTTGTTTGAATGTAACATCGCATATGAAGTTTTTAGCTGAATTTGATTTATTTTGACAAGTAGTTTTATTGCTTTACCTTTCTTTTTTATTTCTTTTTTATTTTCTATTACATGTAGTCTATGTTAAATAAATTAAGGTTAATCTGTAATCTGTAATATTCAATGTGCAATGTATACTTAAAAAATATTGATATTACATATTATTTGTAAAAAATCTTAGAGATTACATAAGATACTATATATTATTTACAACGATGTTGCTAAATGCTGTTTTAATATTTCGACAAAATGACGTATAATATTGCATGTGAGATCGAATTTAGGTAACTCTAGACTGAAATTTTACTTCCATTACTCAGCCTTCATTATATGTCATATCCTATATCATTATATTCATTGTATATCCTATATATTTAAATTAAACTTTTATTTAGGCGATCGTGACAGATTTAGTCTTCCAGAAGACGTAACGATACTTCATGCTGAGTTTACTTATTACTATTATCCGGGAGATATTACTTTTCCCTGTAAGCAGAAATTTGTACAAGTCTCTTTATTCTATTCGATAACTTCTTCACTATTAAATAATGTATAATTTTTTAGTGCCGCCGCCCAAGTTTTATGTACAGCTCAATCCCATTCAAATAAATTTCGACGTCTGCTCGTGCCTTTGGTTTAATTCTTTTGCATTGAATCTTTATCATTCTCTTATGGGAAAAGACAAGCAGCTGAGCTCTTCTCGTTTAATGTATTTTGATGTAAAAATAGAGGCTATACTTCCAAGAGTAAGTTAAAATATATCAGTACATACTTTAAATACATTATCCCATTTTCTCATTTTATTTTAGTGATGTGAATGTTTGTATTTTTAGATAGTCTTCGAAAGTCAACAGGATTACCCAAACCAGAAAGACAGACCCAAGTCCTTGCATCTTCAAACTTCCAGAGCATCTATAACAAATGTTCGATCAACAGAAAGATCTTCGAGAGCGGATTTGGCGCAGTGCCTCAATGCATTTCAAATGGGACAAATGTTCTTTGGTGCAGAGTTTCCCAGTAAATCGGGAGATTTTCATGTAGTAACGGATAAATTTCTAGCGCATTGTGCAGGTATGTATTTACGATATTGCCAATATCAGTATCACATCTAGTTCTTTTTTATCAATTTTTTAGTATCCTTTTTTTGTTCTGTATTTTAGGCGCTGATAATATTAGGCAAATACCGCCAAATTTCAGCAGCAATTCCGTAAATGAGTTGCTTCGTCAACTAAATAGAGAACTTTTGTGGACAGAGGCGAAGGACGTGTGGTGCTGCAACTTGGAGCCCGTTTGGGGAGACTTTTTCGGAGCACGAGCCGTCGGCCAGAGTCGGCCCGTACCGTTTCTGGACGCGTTCCCTCTAACGCTGTGGTGTCATTTTACCGCAGACTCGTTATTAGCCACGGAGAAGCCTTCGGCCGCCGATATTCACGGGCTGGCATATATAAGCAATTTAGTTAGCGTACAGATAAATCATTATCAATATTTATTCTTACTCAGATTGTCGGAGATACTTGCCGAAATGGCTACGTACCTGGCCGTGGACTCGAATAAGATTTTGAAAGTTGAGAGCGGCGGATCGGTGATCATAGGCGCGTTGATACCGCAGGTGGAAGTGACGTTTGTGATGCCGTCGCACACACCCGGTAAAGAGAATTCCGGCGGCGATCTAGAATCCGTTATGCCTGACTCGTCCAGCATAGCGGACGACTTCGTCGGCTCGTCCACGGTCTGGCATACTAGCACGGTGGGCGTGGGCGCACGTGTCGATTTTAGCGCTAAGAGAATGAACACGAGCAACGACGTAGAGACACCTCAGAGCGAGGCATCGTCCATGTTGTCGATGGATTACTCGCATTCCGCTCCGCCGGTCGTCACTTTTAAACAAAACGGCACCAAAAAAGGCGACCAGGAGGGTCCAACGAATGCAATATGGTGCATACCCGAGAGTTCCGGGCCGCAGTATATCGGCAATCCGAGCGACGAAAAGAAACATACAACGGAAGCTACGCATAAGCATAGCAAGTCAGACTCGAGCACGCCCTTCATTCCGAATAATTTCAACGTCAATCTCTCGTCTATGAAAAAGGGATTCAGCAATCTAATGACGTCGATCGATTCGGCCTTGAAGGCCTCTCCGGAAGACGGTAGTAGCGATACAGTGTCCATGAGAAGCGACGTTAGCTCGGACAGCGAGAATTATGTTTTGGTCAGCCTTCAAGATCAAGGGAAGATCGACGCGATATTCGGCATCGATAATTCGATTAGGATAACGGCCGTGGAAGAAGCGACTGAAGTTGTGGAAGAAACGCCGGACACGCAAAGTGAAAAGTCTATGGACAGCGTATGCAAAAGGAAGGATATAGTGAGTACCGTAGTCAGTTTGTAAATCAATTTTTCGCGTTTATCGAAGACGATAGAAATAGAATCTTATTTTCTTATCCGCAGGTTTCCATGGCGACGTTCAAGCTGTCGAAAGTCGAATTTATACACCAATCTTGTGATTATTCTTCCATTATCAAGGTTCAAGTTTCCAACATTGACAATGATGAGTGTTCATCTATTCCTTGGGACGAATTTCAGGTGAGCCAAATTACATTTTAACTGATGTAATATAAAGTAAACATATATATACGTTATGCTATATTATTACATAATTATGCTCTTTTTAAACGAACAAAATTCTTTATTATTAATCGTACTGCCGCAATAAAAATTTATTCTCCTTCTTTTACTATGGAAATTTTATTACTTTCACATAATATAGCTTATTCATTCAACATTATTTGTGTGCTAATTTAAAGTACCTTGAATATAATTAAAAAATTATATTTATACAGAATCTTATATTTTGTAATAACTTGATTGATATTTGAGTTTTAATCGTAAAAAAATTATTTTTCTTCACGCAACAATACATTTTGTTGTAATTAAAAAAAAACTGCATTTAACTTTTTGTGATTATAAGTCATAGTAAACCTTTCCAATTAGAGTATATATTTGAAATAGCGGGTTACTTGTGCATAAGCTACTACTAATACTTGAGTAGTTTCGCAGTAATTTGCTCATTGTTTTTACAATTTTACATTATATAACCAGTTGACATTATTATAAATGTATATTTATACAATTTCTGTCTTTTAACTTTTTTTGCATGCCTCTCCCGCGTCTCTCCTTCTCTTGTGAATGTTTTTATGTGGCACTTGTGGCAGGTCAAGAGAAAGGTATTGGCAAAACCATTCATACATTTATTAATCTTAGACACCGTTAAAAATGCATGTATTGATATTGAACTACGTAACATGCTGTTATCACACTGTTGATGGATCTCGTAGAGTCAACAAAATTTTAATAATGTTTTAACAAGTATAATATTATACAATAAGTATAATACTGTAATTACATAACGATACGAATTTACGTCATACCATTATTTGTCATACCGTTGATATGCAGTTGCAAATTTTTATGGAAAAGGAGCTAACCAAATAGAAGTATATTAAAAAATTTATGTATTTATATTATATTACATATAATGATAATTATTAAGTAAAAGAATAATCCGTATGTATAAAAACATTGAAAAGAAGAGGGGCAATAACCGAGTAACAATAGATGTAAAATAATTAACTTATTAATTTGCATATACATATATAAATTGGTACGTTTCGATTTTACCGAGTCTTCTTCAACCGTAAAATAATATTTAAAGACAGTAATACATTAACGTATCATAGAAACCAGATTGAAATAAGTCAAACGATGGAACAAATATAAAATAAATAAAGAAAAAATAAGCTAGAAAGTCGCAATCTAATAAAATTATCACAAGAAGCCACATTACGGTTTGAAAGCATGACGAATACATAACTTAAAATTGTCGTTGCATCTGTATGAAGTTAAAGATAAAACAGAGATGAAACGCAGTCAGTGATAGTGACAATTAGATAATCTATAATTAATTTCTCATTTGGAGGGAAGAATAAATTGGATCCAATAGTAAGAATTAATGATTTTCGTTTCTATGATACGTTAATGTATTACTGTCTTTAAATATTATGTTACGGCTGAAGAAGACTTGGTGAAGTCGGAACATACTAATTTATATATGTATATGCAAATTAATGAGTTAATTATTTAACATCTATTGTTGCTAGGTTATTGGTTGTTGGTTCTTCCCACTTCTTTTCAATTTTTAACAATAATTATATTTTCTTGCAATATTGCTTTATTAAAATGAGATAATTGCATTATAATGTTTCTGCTTTTATCTTTCTTGTTTGACAGAGTAATTAAAGACGTAAAATAAAAAAAATACAATTATTTTTTTATCATTAAATTAGAATGCTTACGATGTAAGTAAGTTACGCTTTTGATTTCTTATGATTTCCATAAACAGTTGATACAAATCGAGTTTTGAAGTTTTTATTGATTATAATTGCGATAATGAAATGTATGGCATGGTAATGAACTTGCATTACAATATATATATTTAGAATAATATATATGGCCTGATTATGCTAAGCATTGTAAATACATACGCATTATTTTATTTGCTTTATATATTATTTTATATGGGATTATTAATATTGCTTCACATATTAGACACTATACATAGAATTGCTTTAGCGCATCAATATGCTTTTGCATCTGAATGTGGCCTTTCTGCATAATAACTCTTAATCCAGAAGAGGCTTGGCTTTGACATTTCTTATTAACACATGTAACAGTAGATTTTCATCCTGTAATTAACAAATTGAATAATTACGTCTTTAATTCTCTTATTAAATTAAAGTCGAGTTGTTTATAATTTGTAACTGACATAAAAATTATCATTAAGTCACTCATTTAGCGTACAGATCATATTTCATCTAATTTCGCAACATGATATTGCAACTTGAGCAATAATGTAATCAATATGGAAATAGATACTTTACTAGCTATATTACACAGTTTCTAGATCTATTCGAATTTAATATGTTAACGCATTCTGTTTGATAGACCAAGTTCAGTTCGCGATCTCGAGGCTGGATAGAATTACCATCCGATTCTGACTGCAGATCACGTATTAAGCTACGTTTGGATCATAGCTTGAAAAATCCGGAAGACTCTCGTAGATTGTCGGACGCCAGTCAAAAAGACACGAGCGACAGTAGTAGATCAGCATCTCAAGACCGCGCTAGATTGTCTGAGCAAGATACATCGCGTTCGTCCGGGATTAATGTGCATGATAAAGAGAACGTTATGAATTTATTCGAGAATAAGCTAGAAATGAGAGTCGCTAACGTAGGAATGTCATTGTCGATGAGCTCGGTGACGGGTTTGGCGGATTTGGCAGAGGACGAGATCATACCTAAACCGATTCCTATGCAGGTGGGTATTCTCGTAAGATTGCCGAGTCTTCTGGACATGATCTCTTTTCGTTCGAGGTATAATTCCAAGATTTATTGCCAATACGCACATGTTATTATTTCAGATACACTTAGAAAATATATCGTTACGTTTAAACGAGGATCGTCCGCCAAATAACATAACTTCCCCGGGCCCGATCCCGATAGATTTAAATATTTCCAAACTCAGGATAGCACGGGACATGAGCGGCGTGTTTCACATCGAACCCGTTGGTAAGTAACACTCGTCGTCGGGCGAGGTGTATCCACTTGCTTCTGCCACTTGCAGTTGACATTGAGTTGACTTTTCTTTTCCGATCTTTATGCGATCTTAATCTTAGTTACGTCGTCCCTGCGCCTGTAAACACATGTACTTGTGAGTTGGTATTACATGTAGATTTTTACATTGTGGCAAGTGGCAGATTTCAGTTTCGAAGTAATTAATATTACATATTGCATAACTGTTCTCTGCACCCAGGCGGCCTTACGAATGTGAGCATTGATATAACACATGTAGACAAGTAGCTTTAGATCTCGCTGCTTATTACTATCGCACAGCTTAATATATTAATTATTTGATCTGGACATAATTGATATATGTATATATAATATAAATAAAATATTAGCGCATTTAAGTAAGCATGAATTATGATCTTATTATTGCATATAAAAATATTAATGCATATAAAGAAAAATTTGTTGGTCTACAAATAGCAATCATCTTACTTTTCATTATTAATTGTTTTATATTTTATGTGTTACTTATTAGATTTATATAGGCTACATCTTAAAATGGAAGAATTGGTAGCAGGAATATATTTTTTAAATAAATTTGAGATTGGTTGTCTAATTTAGGTAATTAATTAATTTATTATGAACAATAGGCAAATATTGAGTCTCAAATTGATTAAAAAATATTCTTTGTTATAAGTATATATATCCTAGTTAATATAATTTATAATCTGTATCTATTTTTTATCATAAAGATTATATATTTTATATTGCACATATCTGACGTTGGTGATTAAGGCTTTGGCATATGGAAAAACTTAAGCAGTAAGATTTAAATAGTAAGCTAATCACAGTTAAGAACTGAAGACATATCGTAAGCGAATCAAAACTGTTGATCTCCTTACTGCTTACGTCTTACTGCTTAAGTTTTTCCATGTGCCCGGGCTCTTAGACATATGTATATTTTAGTATATTTATTCCTTTTCAACTATTTCTTCTGAAAGAAACTAAATAGTGTTATATTTGTATGTTTTTGTTGGAGTTTACAATATAATTTGTAGTAGGTCAAATAATAATTTTCTTTTTTTATTTTATTTTAGTAACTACAGTAGGTGAGAGCCATTCAAATACGACGTTATCGAATGACAACAGTTACACGCTTAAGAATACGGAGTGTGAGAGGGAATTGAAAGCTCTAAGACAATCCAGTAAGCAGCTGAAATCGGATAACGAAGAATTGAGACGTCGTATGGGAGCTTTGGAAAGACTGTCGGAAGAAAATGCGAGATTAATGCGCGTGAAAGAGGAATCGGATATAATAAGATCTCGTTTAAGCGCCGCGGAAGACGACATTGCGAGTCTTCTGGAAGAAAAGAAACTCTTGCACGAAACTATTTCAGAGCTGCAAAATCAAAGACTGGAAGACGGTCCTGGAGGTAGTAATAGAGCTTCATGGTCTATTAAGAGATAGCATACCAGTTGTTTTGATTGCTCCACATGTTGCAGTTCTAATAAGTCCTAACCAGTTATATTTTTTATAATGCAAAAGACATTTCTTTTGACAAGTTTAGGATATCTTTATGTAAAGCGAAGAGACTTTTAGTTTATTTTAATAAAGTTATTGTCGTTAACAATATAATTTTTAACTTTACACGTGTGAATTAACGAGGATTAGGACAATTTAAATCTTTTTGGAAGCACTATCAGGTCTATAACTGTACTTTAAGACATTATTCTCGTCTGCCGTAATTATGCTAGTAACTGCCGTTTAGATCTTTTGCTTAAAATGTCAAACACAGTGATAAGAATCGTATGAATGCATATACGACGCAAACTTAAATGAGAAAATATTAACTTTCTTACCGTGATCGAATATAAGGCGATAATAAACTACAATATTAGCCCGTTTTCTGTTTTACTGTGAAATTAGTGGTTTGTCTTGTACGAATTTTTGATAAGCGATAAATCGTCGGTATGTCGGCTGTTTATGGGGTAGCGTGGCTGAAAGTTGTGTATGATCGTATTTATTACATTATGCGTATTTTTTGTTATAAATGTATGTATAGATAAATAACAATTTTTGTCTATACATACATACATACTTACATGGTATACATATCCTTCTGAAAACGAAATAATAGTCTTAAAATACGGTAAATATGTAGATAAATGAAGAAAACGATTTGTTTAGAACTGGATTTGTATTAATAAGGAAACGTGCTAGGTATCTTCAGCATTTCTCTGTTTTAAGATGAAAATTGAGTAGTATACTTGCATATTTGTGCATTATACTTATGAAGCGTAGTATTTGTATCAGGACTTTAGGAGGTTGTGTACGTACATGTACGGAAGAAGCAAGTGACTAGTCAGTACATAACAATTTAGGCGTATTGGTTGATTCTATACGTGGTCATATTTTTATATTTTGTTTTCCGTAAACATAACGATCCGTAAGAGCATCCTGTGAAGCACAATGATTTAAAACAGACGATTGTAACTTAGAAATATATGCTAGTTGAGCCTACGGATAGACTTTAAATAGGAATTGTGACCTGGTGGTATCATGCATTATGTCGTATACATAATTTTGCATTGACTGATTTAATGATTCATCGAATGATGAAAATTATAAATAATAATAATACAGTGACGTGAGACGTTTCAATAAGACTGTATAAAATTTGGAGATGTTGGTCTATAGTAGTCGCTCTAGAGTATCCTTGAAATAATTTATAGGAACCTTAGAATACGGCGAATTGACTCGATGAATTTTTAAAGGAGAGAATCGTAATATGATGGATTAATAATGGTCCTTTTAATACAAGGTTTTTTTTCAGTTTACAATTGGTCCTGATTAGCTCACTTAGAGTTTGATTTCGATAGATTTAGTTTCTACGACGGATTGCTGGTCGATCCTACATAAATGGAAAGTATTTTTTTAGCGTATACGAATACATGATGCGATTGAAATTTGTTTCATAATGTAAATTTCTGCTCTTAATATACATAATTTCATGTATCATAGATACGCCATTTAGATAGATTTCCATTTAAATGCGGCTTCGAACGGTGCGTTCCCTCGGCAAATATTTTCGTCTAAATAGACGAATACAAATGATCGCAATTGTATATCTATGTGATGGTGTATTTGCTTGAGACGGTTTGGTGCAATAAGATGTAGTTATCTAATATTTGACTAGTGAACGCAATGACTGAAGGTAGCATAATATATGTAGGCTTAGAAAAAGATGAAAACTAAAAGTTGAAGTTTTTGTTACTTTCAGATATATGTGTGTATATATATATATCTATATATATACACTAACATATATACGTATATACATATATACGGGGATAAGCTTTTTATAATGCACATATCATATCTACAATGAAGGATTTGCTTATATGTATAACACGTTTATACATATCTGATAACATTTTGTATTGCAGGAACATAGTCTCCTTGCAGTTCAATTGTATTGATGTCTCTTATCTTTCAAGTCTGATTTAGATCAACTTCCTAAAGTTTGCTCATAGTTCCTTTTTTGGAGAACTAATTACATTTATACAAACATGTTTGGTATTAATTAATATATACCAAATACGTTTTTATTGTATATTGAACTAAAGTTTTATTTGTTTTTAATCTTTGAAGTTTTATATAAAAATATCTATACTTTAAATGCACCTCTATATTATATATATGGAAGTATTTCATATATTGCGTGCATGATGTTTTTTTATGTATATTATAATTTTTTATATTATATTTCATATATAAATGAAGGATTGTTTATTTCCTCTTTCCATTTTCTAACGTAAAGGCTTTAAAATAATGTATACCAAATATATATATATCCAAAATAACGGAAAGACTTTATGTATAATCTTAATCTTCATATCCATTTAGCCACAAGTGCTACGTAGCTGTACATAAAATGAAATTGCTTCAAACCGTGCAAAGCTTGAATTCTTCCTTTTTATATATTCTAAGTACTTAGTTATATTATATTAAACATACGACACATACTTAATTATATCGTTAACACAAACTTTAGGAAGTTGAATGTGATGAATTAACCGCATAATAAAATCGTATAATATTACACTTCAGTAGAATGCGTTTATAGTTTATAATTATTTAGGCTTTTCAATATATTTCCATTTATATAAATGGTTTATGATTATATTAGACAATTGTCATTCCTGTATAAGATTCTTATATTGTTATCCGATGTTAAACTTTGTTATTAGCTTTATTTCAGTTATATTGCTATATATATTGTTTTGGATTGATATATTGATAACATGTTTTTTTTTATTTTAGCATTGTCAAAGCTTTTGGAGGCATGTTTGGAGACACAGGCAAAGCTTGTGGATGCATGTAATTCTATAACACTTACATAACTTTGTACTAGTTATTTTAGTTAGTAAGATTCCAAAAGTGTTACATATATAAATAAATAAATATATATATATATATGAACAAAGGAGGGAGAACAATCATGCCGTTTGGTGCATGAGCGACGGTCCCATTTCGTAAGTTCATATCGTATATCAACGGGCCATGTGATACATGGGTCGAAATAACGATGCAGCCATAATTTACGAAATGAACCTATTTTATATATTAGCAGAAATATAGTACATACATTTGAAGAGCGTCATATTTCGATAGTAAAGCGCTAAGAGATCCCAAGAGTGGGTTGTGCAATTTCCACACATTCGTTCACACAGAGAGCATAGACGAATCGATGTAAATCGCTTTTACCACGTTCGCTATCTCTCCGTAGCTTTTGTTGTCAAACATTACGGTTATTAGATAATTTACATAGGATAAGCACACATCAACATCGGGAATACATCACTTCAATGTAACACCTATTGAATTATTATAGCTTCGTTTCGAGGATAGTAAATGTGGCGTACTTTGTTGAAATATATTATTTTGATGTATATTTCAGCAATATTAAAATGAAATATTATATAATCTGCGTTGATTAATGTAATATGTGGTGAAATGAGTTATATAATACAAAAATTTGGCAATATATATTATCCATCTTCAAGTTAATATTATATCGTAACAAAGGTACTGTGTTATTGTTTCATCGATGAATTGTACAAGTATGAGTGACATTTAATAATTATATTTCCAGCTTTTTTTTGTGGAATTAAAAGAAGCGATGGCCAAAATGTAGTTTCATCTTTTTAATGTAAAGAAGACGAATATCACTTTCTCAATAAAGTCATTACAAAGATATCGAAAGATTCAAGAGAGAGAAGAGAGAGTGTTTCTGTTCCCCTGATTCGCGCATGACTTCCTCAAAATAAATACATATATACACATGTGTACGTTTATACGAAAATGTATACAATGTCGAGATTGTGTATGTAGTTGTACATAGACATATGATGTGTCTCGTTTTTTCAATGCTTTTGTCATTTAAGATTTTTGAAGGGGTTGAAGTAGTACAGTTAAATTAATCACAATTATACATTCTCTTTAAAGACAAAATTGAAAATCGTGCTTTGTAAGAAAAAATATAAAATAAATATCAGAAAACCGTACGTGTGAATCTGTTTTTCATTACGTTTCTTAATTTCTATTTAATCACAATGTATATATATATCGAATTGTATTATATCATGCACTATTATGTTAAATTTAAATACAACGCGATTCGGGGAGAAATAAATAACATATCCTCGGAGCCGTACACGTGGCGGCAAAGAAAAAAGGTGTTGCATTTTTCGAACAGGCCGCCACTGGCGAGTATTGGCGACCGTGGCTGCACTTGGCTGCACCTGCATTGCACCGCGCGATGCAACGATTGCAACGTCGGCGGTCGGCGATTGGCAGCAGTGTCGACGGAACGGGAAATACGGGGATCGTGATCGTGTGCGGCATCGTGGAGCAACGGGACGGAGCACGCACCACGACACGACACGGCACGGCACGGCACGGCAAGTCGACGGGGTTAAATCGACACCGACACCGTCGAGAACGAGGACGAGGGAAGGACCGAGCGGACTCGTGTTCCAGCCGAATACCGGCACGCGCGCGCTCACGAGGCCGGGAAAAAAAGGGAGCGAAAACACAGACGGGGCAGAGAGCAAGGAGGTCACCGTGGGACTCGCTGCCGAACGTGTGTGTACGTATACACGGCGACGGCTGACGGCTGACACGGCGGTGTTGTACACACGAGCCCTCGCTCGCGCGAGGTAAACGCGTGGAAAAAAACGGCGGAGTCGATCGCACGGCAGGGGCGAAGGGGAACGGCGGGCTTGTTGTCGCTCTCGCGCGACCGTTCGCGTTCATTCGCGTTCAAACCGGCAAACCTCGTCAGTTTAGCACCGTAACGCCGACCGCATCGTCGTCGCGTCGCTAAGCCCCGTTTGTGCGATTCACTCCGCTAGATTTTACCACGTATCGCACGATCATGTTCCGAACGAAATGGTAAGTCGCCTGTCCTCTCCCCCCTTTTTTTTGCATTCGTTCGCGATCGCCCGTCAGTTCGCTCGCCGATTCGACCTGCCGATCGACAAAGTTCCGAGTTCCGAGTTTTAGAGAATCCGATTTCTGTTCGCAGCAAGGAGCACGATCACTCGTCGTTCTACAAGTTCTTACAAATGGAGCACAACCACAAGAACCTGGACTGCTACTTCTTCTATTATTCCACGTGCAAGAAGGTAAGAACGGAGGGCCACCCTCATGGCTTTCGCCCCCCCCCCCTGCTCCGCTCTGGCCGATTTCCGTCTGACGTTATTTCGATAGTGCGCGACACGGGTCGTACCATATTGCTCCGGGACTCGTCGGCCTTGCCGAGGTTAGGTCGGCCATCTTGATGCCATGTTGACAGGAATTTCTCTCATAAATGTTGAGATATAAACGACACGAGTCGATCCGTTTGTCGGGATTTCCGCTCAATTTAGACGCGGGCACCCTCATTTACTCAATTAATTACGTATATACGATACGGCTTTTTAAATTGTTCTGTTCACACGTGACTTTATTCATCATGCGAATATATCTTGCAATATATTTCATCAAAATGTGAAAGCAGATATTTAACATTTGTCGAATTGCATGGTTGCCTTGTTATCTTTGGCTTATATATGATTTATGTTTATTTTAATTAGATTGAGCGATTAAAAATATATTTTGTGGTATTTGCAAGCCACGTGCAAGCCACGTGGATTGAATGGCTTCGTTAATCACGCTTGCAGTATTGACAATGTGAATTGGCACTGCAAGTCGTGCGCGTTGTTCCGCAATGATGATTGAAACGAGTTATCGAATAAACAACTTTTATATTTTACTGTTTTTATTCTCGCAGGGCGACTTTTGCCCGTACAGACACGAACCATCTGCTCTGGGTTGTGAAACCATGTGCTCGTACTGGCAACAGGGAAATTGCCTTAACGAACATTGTAACTTCAGACACATGGAATTAAAGGTAAATATCATTACAATGCAAGATTGTGGCAGCAATCTTTTCATCTTTCGTTAGGAACAGCTGCTCTTATGACTTGTTGATATTTTTTTATCTGTACACTGTACATATATTACAGCGAGCGATAGCGACTGATTACTTTATTGAAATATGAGTCCGAATGGATTAATGTTGTCACTTTGTATTCTCTCGTATTCATGATTTTTAAGTTTCCAATTTATTTTGAATTGTGACATATATGGGACTGAATTTGGAAGCCGAGTACGAGTCGACTGCTAAGAATTATTTATTTAGAGCAAGGCTCGCACGGCAAACTACGATCCATGGCAAATTTGACTCACCAGCTGTTTTTGTAAACATCTCCGTATAATTATTCTAGAATTCAGTCAAAAACACATTTGTTTTTTTCTCCTCTCTCTTGCCATACAAGTATCTACATAACGTCCTCGATTTTGCCTCTTAGCTTGCAAAGCCTAAAATATTTACTATTTGGTCTTTTATAGAAAAAAATTACCGACCTCTGGTTTAAAGGATAGGTACGAATCAGCAAGAGTAGATAAGTGTAGATATTCATGTGACGAAAGTAATGTATCACGAACACCTGCGCTTATCAGTTTGTACTAATCTGTATATTCTCTAAACAAATACGTCTTAGCTGGTTTGTGATAATTCGCACGAAATATGCTAATTTACATAATGCGATAAATTTACTGTATCGCAAGAACACTTGTGCTTATTGGCTTCAAATTTATACACGAGAAATAGTATTCTGCTGTTACGTACAACGAAAACTCTTTTGAGTATATTATATCATCGCACGAGAGAAGCATTCATTTTTCTTTTTAAGTGGCGCAAGGAGAAATTGCCATTGGCTTTTGATAGATCTTTTATTGTATAGTTATTGAGTATTATATTCCAAAATATAAATCGGTGGAGGTTTATTAATAAAGTGATACACTTGGCTGCTTTTTTATCTTTTTTTATTTTTTGTATTAATTATCTCGTTTGAATAAATGAACATATATGCAAGCAGTTTCTGGTTATATAAAGATTAAAACGAAATGATGTATGTCGTATGCGAAATAAAAATATTCTATATATGTATAAATCATAATGCTATTTAGTCAAAGTTATGAAATTAATTATAAGAAACATTAAATTTCAACTATTCTTATTTGCAGAAAAATCGTAAATCGATTCCTTGTTATTGGGAAACACAACCTGGAGGATGTAGAAAGCCACATTGCCCATTTATGCATACGACTCCACGCAATATTTCTAGTGACCCCATCAACCCTGTGAAGGCCACGGAAGTAGCAACAAAATCTCCGAATCAAGAGTGGCTTAACCGTCAAGGTGGATATTGTTCTATTATGCTAAAATTCGATTAAGATTGATAATAAAACTTATTTACTCAGTTATAATTATTAAAAAAATCTAAAAGTCTCTCGAATGCGATTATATATAAAACGTAATAACGATTTTACTTATAATTTTACTTGATGCTAATAATGAAGATTAAAGATAACGTTATTCATTTAGAATTAATGATAGGTGTAGGGTAAAAGGATAGATATATTGAATAGGATAAATATGATAATAAGGAAATAGATATCGCGCATATGGTAATATCGCGCGCATGGACAAGTATGTTTACATTTTTTTATTCCATAAAGATGACCCAAAGTATGACGGCAGCAGTACTACTGAATCGGATCAAGGTAGAGGAAACAGCGAGGCTGGAAGTTTTATTGGTAGTCCCGCCGTCGATCCTCTCATCGTCAAATTTGAAGAAGGTATGAGGCTTTACTAGCCCCCCCGTCCATCTTTCAACGTTCACTATCTTACGTCAGCCACTCTCTCTCTACCGCCTAGCTTGAACACGAATTTGAATCTCCCGAACGCGCTCAATATCCCGAAGAGCTTGACAATCCCCAACAGTCCTAACAGTCTCAACATCCCCAGTAACATCAGCGTCGCAAATAATTTAAACGTCCCACCGACGGCGAATTCGCAATCCTCTCCCTGCCATCACACGCTGTCGTATCCGCATCATCAACAAAATTTACACTCTCACTCCCCCGGGCAGTCTCTGTCGTCGATGCAAAATCAACAGAGCTCCCCTCTCCTCCAGCAAGCGCCGTACACGCCAATCCATACACAGCAAACTCCGCAGCCTCAGACTTCCCGATTTCCTTTTCCGTTCCATATAACGTCGTACAGGAGATTTTGAAATCGGCGACAACTGAAAACTTTGTAGTTTATGCAACGTATGTATGATTTTCCTCGTCCATCGTAGATAGATCTAATGAGCAACTAATGCAAAAAATATTCACGCGTATAATAGATACAGCTTACAATATCGTAAGCTGTAAAACTAACGATTTTTATTAAAACATGATTTATTCTATTACACATTGGTTGCTCTTATTGCGATGGTAATTTACGTACGTGTGACTTACTACACACATCATTTACATCCATTCGATATTCGTGTGTTGTCACGGGAAAGAGGGATAACATGCAGTATTTATAAATTGAATTGATCGCTTTTTTAAGAATTGGAATTTTTATCGATCTCGCGTAATATGATCATCGAAGTACAATCGCGTATATATTAGTCGATCTTATCGATATATCTTGCACTCGTGTTATCACGAAAAATTTAGTAGTAAATATCAATTTTTGCAGGGGCTGCTATATCTAAACTTTGCCTAAATTAGCCCTCTAATCGCCTATGGCTATCTTTCTCTGGCTGCGGTGTGATCGGACTCGAATTACCAGAATGGTCTAAGTTACGAAAAACGAGGTTCAAGTGTCTCCGTCAATACGACGACATGTGCTGTAAGATCGCGAAAGCAAGAACCGTGTTAGACGAAGAAGAAGATAGCTATGGGTCCTCGCTTTACCATACCCACGCACACACAAACTTTTTGATTCATACACAGATTTTGCTCTTAGTTGCGAAAAGCTGAAATTTAAATGTTAATCGAGTATTAATAACACGACGAATAAACCTTGCTTATTTTAAGTTTGCGTCTTTGACGAGAGAGTGTTTTGTCAGCATTTAATAAGTTTGTTTTAAATATCGCTCCCAGATGCGGACTTGCATCGCATCCCTGACGTGGCCGATTTAAAGGAATATAGAATATTGTACGTAGTATAAATCGGACTAGCCGACACGTATACATCTGTTTCACTAGAGACGGAAGAGACGAAAGGAACTTGCGCATTGTTCATCGGTCACGTCCTGGGTTGAGATAAGTGCAATGGCGAAATAGTAAGAGATAATTGAAATATTTATATCTGAACCAATCAACGCATATATGCTTTCTTTGTTGTCGCATTATTATGTGTGAGATTGTAGAAGGAGTAAGAGAAAGTGGACAGCGAAAGAAAAC